TGTCCCATAACCAAGGTATAATGTTACCTTACATATAATGTTTTAGAGTTTTGATACGTCGCATTGAAGTTTCTTAATGCCTTTCTAATGCCCACCTAACCATTATATCTTGTCTTTGAAAGGCTTGGAAAAATTTGGGATGTATCTCGTCCAATATACTAGGGGTACCAAGCTAACAAACAAACCGGTATTAGATTGTAAAAAAGAAGGCGTTTAGGACGGGGACTGAGTTGTGCGCTATTTAACGAACGGCCTTTAAGAATATTACCAATTGTCAATTATTAATAGAGAGGATAACTAGATACCTTTAAGGTATCATCCAAACTGACTGCTTTACTTTAAACGGAAACCTCCACATGCCTCGACTTCTGATCCCCCTTACCAATCTCCGACGCCGCATCATACTCGCCCCCATGACCGACCGACCCCTTCTCAGCCGCCGGTCCGCCATCAGTAACGCCAAACAGCTCATCCATATGCTCGAGCGAGATGCCCTTGGTCTCGGGCACGAAGAACCAGACAAAGACAAACATGCTGAAGCAGAAGCTGCCAAAGATCAGGTAGGTTCCGTAGCCGTGGGCTCCCACGGTGACCAGCATGGTGGGTACGGCGCGAGCGACGACGAAGTTGAAGAGCCACTGCGTGGCGGCGGCGTAAGAGACGTTGAGTGAGCGCAGGCGGGCGGCGGGGATTTCCGAGGCGTAGATCCAGCAGGCGGGACCCCAGCCAAATTGGAAGAAACTGTTTTACACAAAAAAAATTGTTAGGACATGAGATAGAGAATGGACGGAGGGGTGAGAGGAAGGGGGGGGGGGGGGGGGGGTAGGAAAAAAAGAACCACTTACGCAGCAAACAAAAAAGAATGCACACCAACGCCACGTATCCCGCGGGGGGTACCGACTCTCCCTCAATCGGGGGCGAGATGCGAACGTACAATCCGATATAAAACATCGCCAGACCCTGGGCGATCGACGTCCACAACAGTGACCTCCTACGGCCCAGTGAGTCGGCGAGGAACAGCAAGAAAATAATGCAGCTGGTCACCTTGACGATGCCGTAGATACCGGTACTGAACAAGCTCGTTGACGTGCCCGTGATGCCCAAGTTCTTGAAGATAGTCGGCGCGTACGTGTTGATGGCGTTTGTGCCTGTCATCTGCTGGCAGATCATCAAGAAGATACTAATCAGCGCGCGCTTGCGGTTCCCCGAAATGGTCCACATGTCCCTCGTCAAGTCCCAGTAGGTGGCGTCGCCCTGGAGGCGGCGCTCATGCTCGAGCTGGTCCTGGATCTCGCGGAACTCCTCGACGATGTACGGGTGTTCCGGGCTGAGGTTGCGGATGCGGCTGAGAACAGACTTGCATTCTTCCCACCGGTCGCGACGGGCCAGCCAGCGTGGGGACTCGTGGCAGAGGAGCATGCAGACGCACAGCAGGACGGCGGGCAGGCCCTGCATGGCCAAGGGGAAGATGTACATGGCTTTTCCCTTGAAGTGCAGCGAGACCGAGTAGTTGATCCAGAAGGCGATCATGCCACCCGTGACGATGAAGAGCTGGTAGAGACCGGTGAGCAAGCCGCGGATGGAGCGAGGGGCGTTTTCCGAGACGAAGACCGGGTTGATGCACCTAATAGAAAAAATTTAGTACCCATCATATGAAATCATATCCCTAGGTAAAGCCCTTACGATGCAGCGCCAACTCCTATTCCACTGATAAGGCGCCCTAAATATATAGGAGCGAGCTGGCCAGAGGCGGCGGATTGCATGATGATACCGAGGATGACGACGAGAGAGACGGCGATGAGACACCACTTGCGGCCATAGCGGTCGGTTAGGGGCGAGGCGACGAGTGCTCCGAGGAAGCAGCCGGCTTGCAGGGTGGAGACGATGTTGGCACCTAAGTTGGCTTTGGCTTTATCGTCGCTGCTGAAGCCAAAGTCGCGCTTGAAGGGGTCGAGCTCAATGACGCCGCCGATGACGGAGGAGTCCCAACCAAAGGACATGGCGCCGAAGCAAGCCTGTATGGAGGTGGAAGGGTTAGTAAGACAAGACCCTGTTGATTGATACTGATACTGCTCAGGCAAAGGAACTCACAGAGAAAGCTAGGAGATAGACGCGCCAGCCATAGATCTCTGGGGGATCTTGTGCCATGGCCTCATTTTTTACGATCTTTCGGAGGATCCTGTTTCCTAGTGAGAGACCCATCTTGACGGTTTGGTGTGAGGTTGCCCTCTATCGTTCGAAATATCTTCTTCGTGTGTCCAAGATGAGATGGTGAAACAGCCTTCGAGGTCTCTTTGGGCGTTGGCTGGATGTTGGCCGATGAGTGAGAAGCCTCCTTCCAAAGGTATGACCTCTTGATCCGGACCTGGGTTTATGGTAGGAAGGAGGATAGATGGATGAGTTGTGAGAGAGAAGATTCACAAGAACAGAAGATGAGTGTCCTCCAGCCTCCGGATAATATAATAGAAAGTAACGGTGCCGGTGTCCGGAACCCTTATGTAGTTCCTGTATGTCTGGAAGCAACGCAGTACAACGCCAGTTCGGCCAATTCTGGAACCCCCATGCAAGGTCAATAAGTATCGTAGTTAGGTATATCTAGCCCGAGATGTAGGTCTCACTTCCTTGGCGACTTTAACACGCCTTAATTGTGTAGGTTTTAGTGAGAGACGCTACCCCATACCTACTCCAGATTCCATGATGGTGCGGCCCCGGATTCTCTCTCCTCTTGTTGCAGCACTGGTTCGCTCGCTTGTATCACACCAGACGGAGACAGCTCACACGCCCTCTGTACAAGGGCTCGATGCTCTTTACCAGGCCTGATTGGAGTTATGGTTTGGAGAATGCATGGATGGTAATGCTGGTTCCGGCCCGTTTCCCTTTCTGCGAGTAAAAAGGTATGGCACTCAATGGGCAAAGGGTAGCCGGGTTGGAGCTAGAGCGTTCCCTTTCCTCCAACTGGGCAAAAGATTGGCCCCCTCCCCTGTTCGCCCACTACCAGTGGCATTTTTCCACCAAGGAGAGGGGGACGTTGCACTGCAACTGGCTCCTCCCTTTTTGTCGTATTTTGCCTTGTCGGGGGACATTGAAGAAAGAGTGTCGTCGTCTTTACTGTGTACTACGTACCGTCTTATTTGACAGATGTTAGCACTGGGTAAATTGGTATTTGGTATATCTATCATATTGAACGCTTCGATAGCAAAATGTTCGTGTAAATAGCTCCATGGAGCAGAGAGTCCTGAGTAAGCAACCCACAAGTCACGATCCTTGATATCATCCGAAATACTTTGTTGATAGAGGGGGAGCTCAAAAGCTGGAGGCTGGAATTCTGATCTCGGTCTCTTCTTCCGAGTGGCTTCAAAGATCAGAGTTCGTCAGACCGTGTTACTGTCGCCGCCGCCATTCCCTAACCCTCCATGTTCCCCCAGATCCCCATGGAATCGCCTTTCGTCCCCTTGCCCCTTGGCCTCCCACACTCCGCACGCATGCCGGCTGTTCCCCTCGCCACAGGGCACCATGGGAAGAGAATCCCGACGATACATGCCGTGTAAAGTGGAAAGTCCCCGCCAATCAGAGGGCGTGAAGAACCCAACGGCCCCGGGAGTGTCTGCTGAATGAACCACCTCTGATCTAGTGGTCACGGTGTTCCACGTGCCAAGCACGGGGTAAGCTATGCTACATAAAGTTCGAAGCTTGGTATTTTAGCCTATTGGTCCCGTGTCATTCGTGGAGGAATGGAATGGACATCAACAACCTAAAGTGCGGAGAAGAGCCAGGGCACTCGAAGGAAAAGGCTTGTTTTATATCCTTCGTGGGGGAGCAAGTGGAGTGGAGGACGACTGGAGGAGGATAACGAGGTCGAAGCTCTGTGAGAATTAGATATCGCAGATGAATAGAATCCTTCGAAGACAGTGAAGGTCAGACGTGGAACCTTTTTTGGTTATGGAATCAGGTCGGCTTGGTCGGCTCCTCCTCGCCCGGAAGATGGATGTTGTGGTGAAGGTTAGGTTGCCATCTCCACAAAGGTGCAGTCCGGGGAAAGGGGGAAATGGGGGGAAGCGCGAGCGGGAATCCACTGTGAGCCCGCTGAAACCCGCCGAGGAGAATGGGGTTGTACCCCACATCCCGCCAGCGACGTTACGGCGTGGTGGACTCGGGCAACCACGACGGGAACAGTCCAACATCACCAAACAAGGCAACCCGATGTTCGTGATAAAGTTGGAATTGTGATCTTCTGGGCAACAGGAGGGTTGCGGAAGATGTTTTACTGGATAAACTTGAATCAACAGGCTATCGTCTCAATCCATCACCCGTCTCGAACTCAGATGTTTTGCACCTAACTTCAACCTTCGGCCAGATGAAATAAAGATGTGGATAGGTAGAAAGCATCAGCAACCTAGCACTAGCATCAGGCAATACCTATGTTCAGCTTGCTCGTGAACCATGGAACAGAAGAATGGAAGAATAGCGTACGTACCAAAAATAAACGTGGATTCCGATTTATCCAGGAGCCAGCCAGATTCCAACCTCTCGATTCCCCCACGGGGCAAGTCTGCGCTAGACGGGACGGTTCTAGGTGGGGAACCTTCTTTACAAACAGTACCCCAACTTTCCACGTCCCTTTCAACCCCTTCCCCGCGCGCCGTGTATCAATATCACCACAAGTTGAAGCCTCGCGCCTCATCACCAACACCTGCAACCGTACACTACCACTACAAACGAGTTGCGGACTATATTGATAGCCCCTGTTAAGGGAGATCACAGTCCTCGTTCCGTTCCCAGGAGCTCGGTTCGCGACACACATTTTCTTGTAATGTGTGATGTCCTGAGTAGTGTACGGTAAAGTGTCAGAACTGACAAAGGCTATCTATCGAATATGCGGGGGCGAGAGGTTGGGGTAATGATGGCCGGAAATAAATTATCCACAAATCAGGGCGGCGTATTGGGCCTTTTCTTGGCGCCGCGTTGCAGGACTTGGAAGGTTTGAAATAGGAACTTCAAGGTGAAGTGAGCCACGTGCAACTCCGGCGTTGCGTTCTAGCTTCAGCTTGGCGAGCTGGATATCTTAAGGTTGTTTCGATGACATCTATAATATTTTGCTGGAAGGTTTGCTGTCGCGAACGTAGGGTTTCTTGCTCTAGGGAATTCGGTTTTTCGAGGTGATGGCGTCGGGCTGGATGCCCATGGCATTTTGGAATATGAAGTGTTCGGATCGAGGTAGCACTCACTGCGTGAATGCCGAGGGCATTAGCAGTATCGATAAGATCCTACAATGCCACTGGAGCGAGTAGCTCATCTTTGGGTGAGTCTTGTAGGTGTGTTTGTCACAGGATGCCCTTCTGTCTCCTGACCTCACCTCCCGTGAACTCTCCATACAGTAGTATCACTGAAGTTTCATTGTTCAGTGTTAACTGTTGTCCCTGCGCAAGATGTCTCCCAACAACTCAATCCTGAAGCCTGGACACCAAGACCACGATGACACTCAAGTGCAGCTGCCTCAACCCGTCATCACGATATTGGGATGTCAATCTGCTACCCCAGGTCGCCAACACACGCTCAACGCATACGCATTTCAGCAGGACGCCATAGTCACCTTCAACGGTTACCAGTACGCAGCATACTGGTCCAACAACGGACCGAACGACGGTGACACTCTGTATCTTTGCGTGGCCAGAAGACACCTACGGCCCCGTTCCGACGTGCCGGTCAAGAACAACAGCGACGAAACCAGGAAGCCTTCCAACACTGAGGGTGGACTCGACGAAACGGCCTACGAATGGCAAATCCTCGAGCTTCGTGACTACATGCAAACTGTCGATGATGGCCACAACACCGTCTCGCTTGGAATATGCCCGGGTGATGGAACGATCCATCTGGCATTCGATCACCACTGTGACATGTGAGTTCCCTCTTCATTCTTCCTCTCATCTAGTGTTTTTGCGTGTTTACCGCCGCCAATACAATTATCGAGCAGCCTTCGATACCGCTACTCAAAGCGGGACGTGGCCACTCAGCCCCATGCCGTCAGTTGGCATCCAGACATCTTCTCGGCCACTCTTGACCACCTTCCGGGAATCGCGTCCCTGCACAAGCCCCTCCGCGACGTGACATACCCCCGGTTTGGCTTCCTCGGCGAGAAAATGTTCTTCTCCCACCGCGACGGCAAGGCTGGACTTGGCAACGACCATCTTTACACCTACGACGGCAAAGACGGTGGCTTCAAGTACATCGGCGACTACCTGACAGGCGTACAGAGCAACCCGTACGTCAACGGGATTACCTCCCGCAAGGGGGTCCTCCACGTCACTTGGGTATATCGAGGCTTTGTGGAATATCCGGGGTGGGACGATCCGCTCGATACCAAACACAAGCAACAGGCGGGACCTAACGGGGCCGAAAACAACCATAACATATGTTATGCGCATAGTGAGGCCGACGGATGTGTATGGAAGAACGGCCAGGGTGAAGTGATTGCCGACTTGAGGGATCCCGTCAGTTTTTCCCACGACCAACGGGGAAAAGAGCGCACCATAAGAAACGATGCCTGTGGAATCGTGGCCTTTGAAATACCCAAGGGCAAGGGACTGATGAACCAAGAGGCACAGGCGGTTGACCAAGCGGGAGGAGTACACGTCTTGAACAGAGATATGATGGATGAAGGGAGAACGTACCTGTGGAAACATTATTACCGGTCACCAGATGGTAAGTTAGCGCTGTGCCGTGGTTCTGATATTGCTGGCAAGGCCGATTGACGGTGAATAGGGACGTGGACGCAGCGGGCACCGCAAGCCATCAACGAAGGCAGCAAACGTGGCCAGCTAGCCATCAGTCAAACCGGCGATTTATACACAATTCTCCCAAACTCGGCCACGAAGAGCATGCGGATCTTGAGGGCCACCAGGAATAGTGGATACACCGATTACCGAGAAGTTTGGAGAGGAGACGGCCTTGGCGGCGAACCGCTGGTAGACTCAGCCAGACTGGAATATGACAACGTGCTGTCTGTCTTTGCTCGCCACGATCCCGTCGATTCGGCTGAGCACCCCAGGGAGGAGAGTCAAGCTGTCGCCATCCTTGACTTTGAGCTGCCCATGTGAGGACAAGGATCCCAAGGCGGACGAAGATTCCAAGAGAGACACAAGTGATCCAAGTGACGTCGACGGTCAGCTCCTCTCTCTCAGGCGCGCAAGAAGCGAAGGACTGGCAAGAAAAACAAGCATCTGGAACGGGCCTTGCCGAGGTTTCGGAATAAGATCAAAAGCGGATGAGCTGCACTAGCTCAACAAGGGGAGCTCGTCAGATAGACAATCCGGGGGAAATCCCTGAAGCACTTGAAGCTCGTAAAGCCCCCGTTCCGACAATAGATACGCTCATAACGCAGTAAAAACCAACAAGTGTTCGGGACAGCGTTCGGAGCAGAGCTCGAAAATTTGCTTGAACGAACAGACGGAACAGTTTGTGCACATGTCAAACAAAGAGGTCTAGAACGGCAAACTCTCACAGAGCGTTCTGGCCTTTTGAGCGCATGGTGCAAGGCGTGCAAGGAAGTGATTGAGACGTCGGGAAGCCGTGCATATCGTTTTAGGCCCAAATCTCCCCGGCCGAGCCAGCCCAGGCGTCTCCCAGGCCGAGGTGATGACACTGAGTGAAGGACGTCCGGAAAGCCACCCGAGGGAGAGACATGATGGGCTGTTGCCATTGGCCAAGGCTTTCAATGGTCTCGGTGGATGACCTGGGGCAGTATGCTGTGCTCGTGGTCAGCTGGGCTGTTATCAGGACATGTTGACTTGACGGAGCACTGATATCCAGGCATGAAGCTTGCTGCAGCACGCAGAGGATACTATACAGTCCAATACTGGTTTGTTTGTTAGTTCGAGACCTTCGGTCATCCTTCCTAGGCGTTTACATACCTAATCGATATGTTTTATTCTATATTTAAAGCCTGATTCTATGCTGTATATACCTTCTTGTCTTTTGTTAATGCATTTTGAAATTTTACTTAGGCCTTAAATACTATTCTTGAACAGTTTGGGATAGTTTGGGACACGTCTTGTCCAGTAAAACAGATGTGCCGAGCTAACAAACAAACCAGCATTTATTTTGTAGTAATTGTTAATGCCGTGTAACATAATGCGTATCTTCCATCTGTCGCGGCCCGTGGGGTTTGTCCGCATCAGTATGCTGAATCTTGGGGCCGTCGTGCCATAGCACACGCACACGCACACACCCCGCTAGACTCTCTCGACACGCTTCCATGTAACGGATATTTATTGCGGTGAGCCTGCTGATGCTCCCAACACCCCACCAGATCTATTGTGTGTTTGAAGCCAGCAGCTGTCAACACCAACGATGCGGTTCTGAGAGGCGACAGGTCATCGTCAAGGGAAGCTGAAGACTATACTTAGCGCCGTCTGTCCGGTTCAGTGTCCAGTGGTGAATGCCGTCATCACACCGCGTCGGGTACCCGTGGAAGAGGCTTCGTCGATGTACTAGTTGGCAGTTTGTAGATCTAGTTCAGCGCGGCATGGTACATCCAATGTATTCTAGATGGCTCGTGGGTCCCCATCGGTCGGACAAAGGCACGATCTGCTTGCTGCCAGTGCCACGTCAATCTGGAACAGGCGGACAGAAGGACAAGGACTTGTTGGACTCGATGGGAGGGCGGAAAACTGTGCGTATGCGGCTCAACCAAGCCCGTCAGGCAAGATGAACGGCGCTGAGGCGGGGTCAGTGGGATTGACGATGATGATGATGATGATTATGGGTCGGCTTATTCATTTCTTCTTGTTAGAGATTGGCAGGGAACAAGGCATGATGGCATGGTCGCGATGATGTTTGGAAAGAGAAGCAGGCAGGAAGTCGGCGTGCCCCTGGAGTTGCAAGGTTCAAGATTGGGTTTCCAAATCGGAAACCAAGTTGCAGTGTTTTCAGCTGGCCTGGTGCGCCGCCGCGGGAGCCTTCAGCTTGCCATGGCTGACCCCACGGCCCTGATTGGGTCGCTAACGCTGCAGTGGCTCGCGAGTGGATACGGGCAGGTTCTGGGTCGAGGCTTGGCGGGAGTGCTCTTTCATGTGTGGACCACTCACAGCTCACGGCCGCCAGCCCATCCCATTACAGCAATCCATGGGCCACGAGCCAACCTTGCCAACCCTCATTACGATGGCGCCGGTGAGAACCCTGATCAGCGACCCTTTTTGCTCCATCTGGCATCCAGGTGGCATCCCAATCATCTCACCTCATTCAACACTTCCGGAATTCGACATTGCGTCTCACACCAAGAAGGCCCCAACAAACTCTCCGAACGACCGACACCGACCGCGGAATACGGCGACGACGGTACTTGCCAACAAGGAACAGACATGGAACGGTAGAAGCGAGGCAAAAGCGAGTGGAACCCAACCCTAGAGCAACCAACCTAGACTCACGATGACCTACGATACGCGAAACAAGTCCATCTTTTTCAGGTCTTGTCTCTCTTTCCACTCTCGATGCCATGTTTGTACACTACCATACAACATACAAGCATGGAGAAGGATGCTGAGCCTGAGGCCATCTGGCTACTTGGGTGGCGTGGTTTCCGCGGGCTTTGTTGCTACACTCAATAGGTTTCTAAAATTGAACCCTTGTTTGACTTGCCTTCCTTCACGATGGCGATGTGGCTATGAAATCCTTTCACTTTCACCACAGTCACGCCTCCAAATCTCCCGGATCCCATGATGAAACTCAGCAACCCTGCTCCCCTGACCCGAACGCCTGGTTTGCCGTTAACTGAACGTTGCCCGGCTCATAGTATTGAACAACAGCGAGAACCATGGTTTCCATTCCACCACCAGTCCATTCCAATATCGATTCATCATCCCTGGACCATGCCCTTCTTCCACCATGGAAGCCATTGCCTATAAGAGCTAACCAGATACGGAACCCTCGGTCGTGCTTGTCTAAAAGTCAAGAGCAGCTTGTGCCACCCGACTCCTCTTCTCAGCCAGCCTCTGTCTGCTGCTTTGTCCAAACTACCAGCATCCGCTCTTTATTTGGCGATACTCCAAGCTATTATACGTGCTACTGCCAACCTGGAATCCTTCCCACGATGTGAGCGCTTTTCTGATCCTGCATGATATCGGCCCCATAATCCCCAGTCACCTAGAGGTAGTCTTGGTCCTTCAACCCGTGGAGTTTGCTAGCCCAGCTGCCACTTTCATATACACGCTCGCCACGATCCTATCCCGATCCGCCATCTTCCAGCCGGCCATGCTACCCTGATTCACAGACCACTGAAACTTGTGTTGAGCTGTGTTCCTCTCCCGTCACCCTCTAGCGTGCTCGCAAAGGCGCACTAGTCCCGCCGCCACCACTTCCTTATTCAAGTGCCCACGGCAGCCACACTCATAAATGCCGGGCGTCATGGATGATCAAAGCCGCTGCAGACCAGATCTCCCTTTCCCACTTCGGTCTATTCATTGCTTCTGGGCAACTGACCGACCCGTAGACCACGAGTGGTCTAGACCCAGCTCCACACCGCACGAATTACGGGAGGACAAAGAGCTTCTTCGGCGTCAGAGCGCTTGCTCCAAGGGTCAAGTGCTGAACATTATCCAGGTATGACTTATACATACCTACCAAGTCCAGCCTAGTCTTTCATCCCTCTCCTACTCCCCTTACCCATCTCTTACCCCACCTGATCTTGAATCATGAGCTCATATAAGCCAAGTGTCCCAACCCCGAAGCTCCTTGTTTGCCCACCAGCCTTTCACCCAACCTGAGTATCGAGGATAATATCTTCAACATCAACCGCCCTTCCGAATCCAACAATATGCAGCTCGGCGCCTTCGTAATGAGAACGAGCAGCCTGCTCTCCCGGATAGCAGCTTCCGCCAACTTCTCCCTCGAGTCTGATCAGGATCAGGCCACCTTCAACCGGGCCATAATCTCATGGCTCAAAAACCCCGACTCGAGCCTACCCCATGGCCACATTACTGGTCTCTGCTGCTCCAGTCTTCTATCGATCCAGTTCCCCGACGAGTCCAGAGGCAGCGACGACCTCATCCCCGAGTTTCGGAGTTTCGTACTAGCAGCATCTCTAGCACACCGTGGACGGAGGAACAGCAGCAAGGGCAGCAGTAGCAGTAGCTCACGCCAAAAGCAGCAGGCATATCCCGCACGCCACGAATCCCGATCTCATCTGATCAGGAGGCTAGATGCTGTCCTAACCCCCCAATATCTCTCTAGCCTTTCCTCGGAATCTTGCCAGGTCCTCTTCCATCTCGTGCTTGGAGCTGTATTGGGAATGGGACATTCGCCATCGCCTTCCACCACCACCTCCTCCTTCTTCAACTCCTCCTCGTCATCGCGTGTCGCCCCTTCGAACCTCCTCAGCTCCGAGTTCCAGCAGAGTCCAACACTATGGCTGTCCACCAAGAACCAGCTTATCCGCACGCTTGCCCAGGATCTTGTCTTCCTAGGATCCAACAAGCTAGGGATCAGCCTCGAGGGAACGGCGGATCTGGAGAAGCTCATCATTGACATGGCGACGAGCAGGTGGAACGAGATGGAGTCGCGCATCTGGGTTGATAGCATCGGTGCTGCCGAGAAGGCCCCAAATTCGACTGGCCAAGGACCAGCACAGCAACAACCAATGCCATTATCACCACTGTACTCCCCAAGTAGATCCTGCTGCGATAGCAATAGCAAAAGAAGAAGACGCTTCTCTTCTTCCTCGACAGCCGACGACGACCTAGACCAAGACCAAGACCAAGACCAAGACCAAGACCGAAACCCGCCCTACTGGGAAGATCCCCCACCTACTCCTCCTCCGCCCACCGTCGAGCCGACGCTCATCCCCGTGATGCCTCCATCATATCACGATTACCAGTTTCAGTTCCAAGTGCCCGGCCAGTATGGTACATCATCGTCGTCGTCGTCGTGGTCGGAGAACCCAGCATCGTACTTGGAGATGACGGATGAGCCCGAGAGTTATTACCTGGCTACTGCGAACGAGAATAATAAGCGGGGGAGGGCAGCGGCAGCAGCAGATTTGGCGGCGCCACCACCACCACCACCACCACCACCACCTGTGGCAGCAATGCCGAGGTCGATGACGGATCCATTTCCTTTAGGGACTCCGAGCGACGGTAACTCATCTTTTTTTTTTTGGTCCTTCTGTTCCATGCAATCATTGAAAGAGTCACAGAGTGTCTGTCGCTAACAAGAACTGTTTTGCTGCTGTCATAGATTTCGGTTCATGGCGAAAAGTAAAAAGGCGATCAATGTGGGTGGTGCGGACGATTGACGCAGGGGATCAAGGACAAATAAGCGTTCATGCTCGGTTGCGGGGCAGGGAGGTGAATGATTTTGGGGTGTTTATGTAAGTCTAAGCGGTAAACTTTCTCCCAAAAAAAAAGACGAAAGAGAATTGAACTGAAAGAAAACAAGGGGAAGGAAGGACGTTAAGTTGCATGGATAGGCTTTTGTGGTTTTAATAAGTTGCATATGATGATTAACAAATAATGAAGAGCATGATGACTGGGCACTCAATTCACCCACTGACTGCATTGGATTGAATTAACTTGAATGATAATGGACCAAACGAAAACAATTGTTGTGATGATGATCGATGGCATCACTGGCGAAAACGAAAAAGAAAAGAAAAAAAAGTGGTAAGCGGGCAAAAGTGAGATGAAAAAAAAATATGTTGTTTGAGACTCGGATACCGGGAGTCGAACCCGGGGCTGTTGAGAGAGCAGTCACTCCTAAGAAGTGAGAGTCAACGATGTTACCGCTACACCATACCCGATTGAACGGATAAGGTCCGATGTGATTGTTGGAGTAGAAGCTTGGTTGAAACACTTAAGATCTCCTTTTGACTAATGTTTTCTCCGGGAGTGGAGATCCGCAGCTGGAGCTCATTCTCAGGGACAAGCTCACCCAAAAAAAGGGGGGCGGCTAAGTGGGGTAACGTCATATCCTCATGTCACCGGCATGGCTTGGCGCTGTGAGGCATCGAAGTCATCGGAAACCAAAGGAAACACCCGGTCGCCGAAAGATAGTAGAAGCTGAAGCAAAAAAAGGGACAAAAATGAAAAAGAATTGAGGTCGTGCCCGGGTTCGAACCGGGGTTACTGGAAGAATTGAAAGTTGTTAAGTTTCAAAATCCAGAGTGATAACCACTACACTACACAACCTTTGGTGTGTTTGTTGACATACAGCCTTGGATCTTTGCACTATGTAGCTACACGTTACAGTTACGTCATTCACAGCAAACACACAACAAATACGACCATTACCATCCTTTGTAATTGACGAGCACTGCTGTTTCTTCCTGTCTGCCTTTTTCATTGTCGGCGCGGAATCATATTTTACGATTTACGATTTACGATTCACGATTATGCGTGGTTCCATTTCATGCGGTCTATTGAACTGCGGAGATTCGTGTGCATCGGTCTCTTTGGCCATGAGCATCGTTTTTTTTTCTCCGCGCATCTTGCTTCCAACCAGTTAGTCCCCCTGGAGGGGAGGACGCATTCACACAATCTTCTGGTGTTTTCAGAAAATTAGTCGGTGACCATGACACCTCAGCTTTTTTTCGGATATTCAATCACATGGAACTGGCCATCATGGTTTTGGGACAGCGATCGTACCTCGATGATCGCCGCAAGCTTCATTTGTTTCATGCGTTGGAAAGTCCTACTTCCGGCCAGGGCCTTTGGAGCGAGTGAATGAGATGCATCCTTATCAAAGCTTCCGTTATTGTCCGCGCAGCTCTGATAGTGCAGTAACCCCTTTGGATATTCTCTCTTCGATGTTCCAAGCCGGACACCACCAGAACCTCCACATGCCACACAAAATAATCCCTTCCAACCTTTTTTTTCTCTCTTTTTTTCTTTTTCTTTTTCGCCCGGCCAAAGAGTACAAAGAATTTCCGATTAGTTACCTTGAAAAAGGCATCGAAACATTCACAACGCACCTAAGGACCTACCCAATCCCCAAGATACCCTAACCGTAACACCCTCCATGCTCAACCTCTCAACTCATCTACCTAGGTTCGACGCCAATCCTCCGCATTTCTCACACAACCTGTTCATATCCTCAATCATGCTATGAATCCATCTTCAGCATGAAAACCACACAAGAACCGAATCCAGTCAGAGTCACAAACAACATCACTTACGCCTTCATAGCTCTCATCGGCTCATCCTGACCCGGAAACAAACAACAAAAATGTAATTCAAACCGACTGCTCCCTCTCATCATGATTAGCATTCCACTTCTTCTTGCACAACCAAAGAGAAAGAGAGGGAAATAAAATTAGGGAACAAAAATTGAAAAAAAAAACAAAAAAAAACAACTCACACAAAGAATACAACCTAACCCGGTCCTCAAATTCCTCCCTCGGCTCAGCGGGAGGATACAGCCTCTTATATTCCCTCACAAACTCGCCCTCAAACCCTCCGATTCCACACCTTTCAGGTACCCAATTACCCAGCTCATACTCGTTGTGCGTGTAGAAGGCTGCAGGGTCGAAGATGACCGGTTCTCCTCCTCCTTCTCCTGTGTCAGTAGTGTTCGTCCCCGTATTCCCAACCCACAAATCCCCATGCACCAGACACGGCTTTACCGGCTCACCCGTTCCTGCATCCTTCAGCCTCTCCGGGGCTAAAAGGTATGAGATAACCAGCTTGCACACCCTCTCAACAGCTGTTTTCAACTCGTCGTCGTCGTCATTTACCTTCTTCTTCTGGCTACCTGTACCACGACTCCCGCTGAGTTTCTGTGAGGTGATGATCTGCACATACAAATCAACCATCCACTGCAACCCTTTGGCAAAGAAAACATCCCACCTTTCTTCCCACTCAACCAGCTGCTCGATGTTGCCGTTGCAGGTAGGTACTCCAAAGCCGAATAATTTGTCGGTGGGACCGCCGGTGCCGGCGGTGGATTTGTGCAGGGCGGCAAGGCGGGAACAGAAGGCGGTTGGGTTGAGTGGGTTATGGGGGGAGGGGGACATGGGGATGTAAGCTTCTAGGAAGAAGTAGAATGGTTGCTTATCGTTGTCGTCGTCGTCGTCGTCGTCGTTGTTGTTATTGCTATTGTTTTACTACACGGTCCGAACGCAATAGGCTTAGGAGCAAATGAGGGCAAGGCCTCGTGGAGAGCTGTCATGCCGGCGAATTCGCCGGTGAACATCTTCTTGGCGATGGGGCCGCGAGTGGTTTTGAGGAAGAAGTAGGCTGTGATCGGGACGGTGTCATCACTGTCACCGGTCTCATTGGAGGTATACGTAGAAGGAGAAAATGAGGTCTCGATCTTGGCGGTTTGACACCAGAGGGAACCACCAAGGGCGGTAGCTTGGATGAAGGTGTGTCCTGGTAGGAGGGCTGTGGTGAATAATTAGTGAGAAGACCCAGTGAAGGATTGGAGGTCGAAGAGTTGGTGTGAGTGGGAAGCATACCGGCGATGATGGCTGGGTCGATATCAATTCGCTGACCGGTGCATGGATTCGTCTTCTTAACTAGTATCTCGGCCTGGTGGTCGGCCTTTGTGTTGACGTAGGGGGGATTCGGCGATGACATCTTGGCTCGTGGAATATGATCGATGATGCCGATTTCAGAACGCTGGTAGTATGGGTAGAAGCTCAGTTGACAATGGTGAGAAGGATGATGGAGGTTGCGGTGTACCGATGGAGGTTTGATGTGGGAGGCTAACAGTAGGTAAGGTTGCAATGGAATGGACAATTCCCAACGGCTTTTCGAACGAGCCTTGTTGGTATAAGCCCTCGCAACCAACAACTCGAACACTTTCCAATCACACACAAGCAAACTGCAGGGTCATTACCTAACGATATAGTACGTACATATTCGCACAGGTCAGTCACCGTGGCTATGAGTAGAAGAAAATTAGGATTGTCAACTTGAGGATGTCAGTTAAGGACATTGTTGACGATCCCTCCAAGAACCTCAAGATACCGAACGTTCGGTTGCCTCAACAAGGAAGTCTTGCGTCATGAATATACCGCTGGTATTCGTCTCCTTCCAAGGTTCCTCCACATTGGTTACGCTCCAGTCAAAATTCCGCATCAACTGTTATGATGTTAGCAAACCTCATGAACAAAGTGCTGAAAATATCAACTTACCTCAAAAATAGTCTTTCCAATCTCCATCAGCGCAATCGGCTTTCCCAGGCATTGGTACTTGCCATAACCAAAAAGCATCTCGTGGACCTGGTTCATCTGAGCCAGCTTCTTTGGATCCTCCTCGTTTAGCCACCTCTCAGGCCGATAGTAATCGGCATCCGCTCCAAAGATCTTCTGGTCCCTGTTCAGTCCCCAGACACAGTAGCCAATATTGGTACCGCCAGGAAGATAGACCGTCTTGCCTTCCATCATCACGGTATTCCCCCCAGGCGGTACCTTCTTCTGAGAAGAGTTTGTGACCGCGGGGTGCATCCGCATGCCTTCCTTGCAGCATGCCCACAGATAAGGAAGTTGCCTTTGCGTGGCATTAGAAACGATATTCGGGTACGGCGCTGCTCTTCCATCCTTAACGGCGGCATCCACCTCCGCTTGAAGCCTGGTATAGACGCGCGGGTGCGTAAGGAGGTACAGCATGATGGATCGCATGGAAGTGGCAGCAGTCTCAGCGCCGGCAATGAGCTGAAAAATGGACTCGGTAATGAGTTGCTCTTTATCCAAGCCATGACGAAACCACGAGGCGAGCATGTCTGTTCCCTTGGACATATCGGGGTCGTCCTCGAGGCGCTTGGAAATGATTCTGCGAGTGTTGGCCGTCATTCCCCCGAACCCGGTCTTTGCTTTCTCTGACCGTCCCAAGAGATGCATGAGTGGCGTGCCGAGTGCGAGTTCTGTCAGTCCAAAGCCCAGCAAATAGACTGATGCCCTTGTGCCCTTATCGACGTCCTCGATGTAACCACCCACATCTTGGTCTGTAACAAGATCGCCAAATGGCTCGCCAAATCCAATGTGGCTGATGACATCGAGAGCGAGGTACTGAGTTTTCCTGGCAAGATCGAACGGTTTCGTCTTGGTCTCGGTCGAGCAGTGTTTAGTCCGGATAAGTTGGACTAGTTCTGCAACGTGGATGTCTACCGAACTCTCAAGCTCATGGTTTTCCTTGCCCGAGTACTGTGACGTCGTCATATGTCATTAGCGATCCAGCTCACAAATTATATGCCTGCTAAGGATGTTCATACTCCGCCAGCCATCTGAGCTCTACGTTTGTTGTGTATATCTTCGTTGAGCTCACTGAAAATGGTGTCTCTATCTGGTACGAAACGGCCAACCAGGTACCACCACCTAGTCCGCGTGTATCCATTTCTCGCTCCATTGATGTGTGTCAGTAACTCGATAGACGAAGTCATAAGCTCATTAGGTCCGATGCGAGCAATAGGTCCTGTAAAAGTTGGGAATCGTTATTCAGTGTGTGCACACGTAGCTGGGTTCAAACACCGCCGGCATACCGTATTTATCCGTAGCCTCCTTGAACTTCAGGTGTGAATTTTCGGAAAGGTAGGCAAGGCCATGCCAAATCTCGAACCAGCCGGTGCCGAAGGGTCCTTTGAAATGGCGCAACCGGTAATACTGCTTGATCTTGAGGGCCACCCAAATTGCGAGAGCAACTGAGGTGAGGAGCCATCGAGCCTCGTAGATGAGAGCAGCTACGCCCATGGTGAGACAAGTCCTGTAGATGTTGATAGGCAGGCTAAGTCATGAGTTGGAAGGACAGGGAGAACCATCGTTGATGAACACCGTCTCTCTTATAGCATCAGACCTGAAGCGGTTCTTGGCCGCTTCTGATCCGGTTTTTCTCTGGAAGTTGACTGGGGCTTTCTTTTCCGGATCGCAGTCACCGTCACACGCCATCCAGCACCATGACTGCATCGGTGTCACGGTGCTCTTTAGATTGGAAGAGGGGTATCAGGATCTGAAGCCTCCATCAGCAAAGGGACACTGCATAGGTATGCTCAGCGGCGTAACTCTCAACTTACTCTATTCGGCACTGATAGACATAGCAGCCGCCAGAAAATATGACTGCATCTTAATATCTTGACTAAGACTGATTGGCCCGTCTCACCGTCCACCCGGCCTGTAGAATACTTTCCGCGGCGCCGCTGGAATCCTACTCTGGAGTCTCGGCGTGGGATCAGAACTTCATTCTCGTCTGGTCTAAGTATCATGACGGGTGACGGAGCCTTGGCCGGCAGCGGTGGTTGGTTGTCTAGGTATAGATAGTCTGTGGAACTCTCAGACAACATGCCATTTAAAAGAGCGGTTCAGGACAGGGACTGCGGGTGCGCTATGCAACGTCCTTTGCGAATACATTGTTTGTACCGTAAAAGGGGAGAACGACGGTGCGGTGGTAGATTCCCCTGTTCCCGGCTCAGTTCGTAAAGAAAATTATAGAAGTGAGGATGAGCTTGATTGTTATCCGACCTCCCCGTCTGTTGTTGTTTTGAGGAAATTCCATGGAGCTGTGACCGGGAGATCGAGCCACCCCGCCTCCAGGGCGTCAATGGCGGTCCTTATTCCGGCCGCTTCCCCAAATGGCCTAGGTAGCTATGCAGCCCAGCGCGTGCATGAGGGCGCTAATAACTAAAATCATTCACTGTACAATCTAATGCTGGTTTGCTTGTTACCTCGGTACTTTAATACACCGGAGAAGATACATCCTACACCGTCCCAATCCTCACAGGGACAAGACGAAATGGCTAGATACGGATTTGAAAGACATTGGCGAAGTCCAAGATGATATATGGAAGGCAAAAACAGGCGTTAGTTGAAGGAAGACACAGATCAAATAGACACCCAAACGCCTAGGAAGGTTGACTACAAGTCCCGAGCTAACAAATAAACCAGTATTGGATTGTACCACTATGCAATTTGAGCGCTGCTGACCTAGGGACTAGAGGAAATCTTCGAACTCACCTCCATCACTCATCGATTTGAAGCCGCTCCATATCTCTTCTATGCCTGAATATCTTGGTGTGATCGCTTGATTTGCGGGTTATATTTAATCGATATCGTCGCACTCTCGTTGGGTTCGCTCAGAAGACAAGACAATGGGATCGTTGGCAGCTGCGGCCAAACCCGCTCCTGCTACATCTGCACCTGCTATCGGATGCGAGACATCCGCCGGCAGCGACTGCCTTCCCTCTTACTCTTTTACTTGTCATACATACAAGACTCTGACACCACCAACCGCCCCTTTGAGGTCCTCACCATAATACCTAAGGGGATGATGCATGATGGACGCAAGATGAACACTGTTAGGCTCAGCCGCAGCTCTGTTATGAACATTTCACAATCTGTGTTGACAAAGGCATTCTTTGCTTTGTTTTGCTAACAAGAAAGAACTCAGCATTAGCAGAAACAAACTTCGGACTTCATGGGGGAATCTCCGGCATCGCTGAAATCAAGACGGCGTGTCAAGATGACGACCGTAACTCCTGCTCATTGTTTCTCGTCCGATGACTCGTTCTTTCCTGTTTTGTCTTGTTTCGTCAACAATCGTGGAAGGTCTGAACATGGTCATTTTCCCGCTCTTTCTTACACTTCTTCTGTAGAGAAGTCGCTACTGCCAGTTGCCATCCAAACCATACGATTCCTTCTTTCTTGCCCACAATGTTCATTTCACCCCAAGAATCCCACCTGATCTCCGTCTGCGCGGGACAGGGTGATCTTGCTGGACTGGCCGTTGCTGTCAAGAGTCTTGCTCAGCGGGAGAAGGTGACCGAAGCAGAAATCTTAATCTCGAGCAAGGACGACTTCCAGAGAACGGCGGCGCATATTGCAGCCCAGCTGGGAAAAAGGTGTAAGTCACTCGACGGAGCCGTCCACTACCAGCATTCAGCAAGCCTTCATTCCTCACCATGGTAGAGACTAATGGGATATTTCGGTTTTAGCTTCCATCGAGACATTGGCAAGCCTGCTCGGCTCAGAAGAGAACAAGACCACTTACTTCAACATGGCCAATCGCTTTACGGGCGACCGGCCGGTCCATACAGCAATGCGATTCGGCTACCTCGAAGTATTGAGAGCTCTGGTTGCGCATGGCGCTGACCCGACAGCCAAGAACCGATTTGGAGATACGGTGTTGGACTATCCAGGGGATTATGAGATGGACGAGGCTAAGAGCATTGTCGACGAGTATAGGGCAAAGTCTCCATAGACATGCCCCTGAGTATTTGACGTTGATGGAGGGAGAGGACGGAAAGTGTACCAAGACAAGACATCAGGAGGTTGGCGCCGCCTTCCCATCGGCCGGGAGTCGAGCAATGGGGATTTCCTTTCTGGAAGGTCCAAACACCACACGCTCCCGATGTGCCGGTTGTCTACCTGTTTCTCGTTCCCACGCTAGCGGGTGTCGTCCGTGCTAAATCGAGAAGGCGGTCGTTCCCAAGGATCGAAATTGACGTCAAGAACGGGTCATAGGGGACATGTACTGGGTGGTTTCCTTCCTTGTGAAGATGGAGACGGACAACCCTAATGCTATCATACAGCTCCAATTTCCTTCGCGGTCTCTTCGCTTAACACATTTCCAAGCAGCAAGCATCATTCCAAAGACAGGCCTTTGGCTGACCAATTGGCATAGTATTTAAATCTTTTATCATTTCGACATCGGCTCAATGACATCGACACTAGTCGCAACTCGCTCAAGGATTCCTGTCCTCCGCGCCGCGAGACATGCCAATATACCGGTTGCGAAGCCACTAAGATCACTGCCACTCAGAATAACGATACCTTTGATCAAAATGGTGGACAGGCCTGCCTCCACAGTCCACAACGGGATTGGGGCCGTCCCTACCAGCATGAAGCAAATAGGAATCGCCAACAACATGATCATCGAGGCCCCCGGCGTCGACTTGTCTCCGTACAACAAGATCCTTGTTGGCGCTGTTTTAGATGTAAGACTGTCTTCCTGACCAAACAGTATATCACAAGCCCACTCTTTCGATGCTGACTTCTATTTCTTTTCACCAGCTCTTCGAAGGAAAACCTACCCTCAAGCACCTCTCCCTCTGGAACCCTGATGCCACCTTCATCGACCCTCTCACCACGGCACAGGGGTACAATCGATATGCCGCACAGTGGTACGCTCTTGCACAATTGTTCAGTCCTGTTGAAATCCAGTCCCACGAGGTCGTCTCATCCGGAAACCCGATCGAGGTCAAACTCCACAACAAGTACACTTTGCCGTCAATCAACAAGCAACAGGATATTCACAGTTTAGTCAAGATATGGGTTGATAGCAATGGCAAGATTGACAGAGTGGAGGATAGGTGGGATGGGCAGTTGCCAGAGGGAGCGCTCAGCGAGGTATGTCTAAGGGTATCTGGCAAGGACAACCTTGGAAAGCCTCTTTGGCTAATATTCAAATGCCTCCGCTGAACAGGTAGTGTTTTGGTTTGCCAACACGGTGATGCGAATGATGAGGAAACTTCTGGATGCTGCATTCCGGGTGTATTGCAGTGCAGCTTGGTGGCTGCCTCCCATTGTGGTATGCTCTGGCGATACCGTTGCTGTGATTCACAGATCACTCAAAACGTTGCTGACATCAATTCCATCTTAGGCTTTCCGAAAGGTACTCGCAATGACAATGCCCGTCATTGTCAAGGTCCCCAAGAATGAGGAAGAAGACGTAAAGATGAGGGCCATCCTGGAAGGGTTCGAAAACAAGAAGTAATAACGAATTTACAATCCGTTTACAATACTGGGACGGGGCTTCGGCAACAATACCAACAACAACAACAACAACAACAGCAACAACAACAATAACAACAACAACATTCATACGACGAACTGGGTCTTGATGTTCTTGTTTTACCCGCATCTCCCTTTCTCATCCCGGTGGATTAGGGGACTTACGGTTACAAGACCAACATGGGACGCTTGATGTATTTCGTTGGTGAATGATATGTTATGACTGATTATAATGATGCTCTGGCCAGACACTTCACCACGGCTTTCTCCGTATCTTGACGCTTTACTAACGTACAATCCAATCCTGGTTTGTTTATTAGCTCGAGACCTCCGGCCATTCTTCCTAGGCGTTTGCATGCCTAAATAATCCCTTTCTGCCCATATTAAAAGCGTAATTCAATATTGTATATACCCTCCTGACTTTTATTAATGCCTTTTCAAATAGTATTTGGCTATTAAAGACCATTATTGTAAGATTTAAGACAGTTCGGGATAGATCTTGTCCAGTATAATAGGTATACCGAACTAACAAATAAACCAGCATTGTATTGTAAATACTCAATGATCAGCATATCCCAGTCCAATGGTCAACCCCACGTATTTAACTAGGTTCAGAGAAATGGATGCAGGCCACTAATAAATACGTGGAGCCATCACGGTACACGGCATTGTTCCCAGGTTAGTTTTAGTTCTTATGTGCTTCCTCCATATTCCATGCAGATCGTTTTCTAACTCCATGTATGCTCACTGGAAACTATCAACCACCATTTAGTCCTCTTTGTGTGTAAGTCTTGAATATGTGAGCACTCCGACTCTGGCCTTGCTAAACTAAAGAAACAAAAAGAACAGTCTTCAGGATGCCCTCTTTTCGGCAGCGTCATACAAAGCCTGTATATCACTCTTCCACTGCGTAACATTGACCCTAACCACGCGACGGTCATACGTTACCAGGCCGTTCACCTCGCCTTCCACATCCGTCGTCTGTGTGTACACAGCGCCGCTGCACGCATATCGTTCCACCTGGTCGCGTAACTCGCCAAGAAGCACGTGGGTGCGGTAGTTGTACGCATCTAGGTCGGCAGCGAGCTCGTATGTCTCGGGAATTGTGGCCACTGCGGCGGGATCAGGCCAGAGGCTGGGGTTGGACACGAGTCTGTTAGTGATGCTGCCACGACAAGGGAATTAGGAAACGGCATCTTACTTTATGGATTCCGGGACATGCCCGACTCCTCCGAATTCACCTTGGAAGCCGATTCTGTTGGGGTCATAAGGCGTATTGGGACTGCTATGCCAAGGGGTACCGCACTGAGGGCTGGCGTAGTGGTGGTTGTCGTGGAAATCACCAGCTCCATGATCGAACCAGCCAGTGACCGAATTGATCAATCTTGTCGGGTCAAGCGCACGGATGGCGTCAGTGATATGGAACTCGGGGTAGTTGCCGTCGTTGTGGACCTGGCCCCAGCCCTCGTTGTAGATCACCCAAGTGACAATACTGGGGTGGTGCTTGAACTGCTTCACCATGACGCTGAGCTGGCGCTCAAACTCGGCTTGTTGAACGGGTGTGGGAAAGTCATTTGCCTGACTAGCTGCTGGGCGCATGGAGGGCATGTCCTGGATGACGAGAAGGCCGAGTTTGTCGCAGGCATGGTAGTAGAGCTGGGGCTCGACTTTGATCTGGTTGAAGGGGTGAGTGTCTACTCCAAGCTATTTAGGGGGAACGAAGGAACAAAGACTTACATGCTTCCGAACCATATTCATCCCCAGACTTTTGATTAAGTCAAGATCGTACAGCATCGCCTCCTCGGTGGGAGGCAAGTAGATGCCATCCGGCCAGTATCCCTGGTCCAAGGGCCCGAACTGGAAGACGAACTTGCCATTCAAGAGCGGCCGCTGGATTCCGTTGACTACTCCCTTTGAAATCGTCCTGAAACCGGTGTAGCTTGTAACTTGGTCGTCGCCCATTGTTACGCTGATGTTGTATAGCACTGGGGAGTCGGGAGACCAAAGCTTGGGACTAGTGACTTGAAAACTGAACTCCTGGTCCGACGAGGCATCGGTAGTTGCGATTTCTTGACCGTCCTGAAGTACAGAAACTTTCACCGAAGTTGAGGCGTTACTGCTGGAGTGCACCGTCATCGTCACTTTGAGTCGACGTCAGCATAGACCTCCAACAACACATCACAAGTTAGTTTCACTCACCTTTCCCTTCCATATCAGCGGCAACCTCCAGATCACTGACATAGTTATCCACCGGGACACTCTCCATCCACACAGACTGCCAAATCCCCGTGCACGGGGTGTAGAAAATATGCGACGGCGTCCTCGTCTGCTTCCCATGCGGCGTGTATGAGCCCGGCTCATCAGTGGTATCCCGGACCAAAACCTGCAACTCATTTCCTCCCTCCTCCTTCTTCCTCAACGCGTTCGTCGCATCGACCGTAAACCGGAAATACCCACCACGTTATGCCCCAGCTTGTGGTCATTCACGTGCACCATGGCCTCGTAATCAACTGCTTCGAAGTGTATCAACACCCTCCTCTTCCTTCCATGGGCAGTTTCGCTCAGCCACTCGTCCGGGACCTCCAGCGTCCGCTTGAAATACATCCCCGTCACGTTCGTCTCGGCCAAACCGCTGAATCCGCTCTCAATGCAAGACGGGATCAGCGTCTCCTTCTCTTCAAGTACTCCATCGGCACCACCACCACCATCGTACTTTTCTTCTCCTCCCAACTTCATGTCAGGGGTAACATTCTCAATGTCCCTGTTAATCATTGCCGACGACGCAAAATTGAGATTCTGGTACCGCCATATTCCGTTCAGGCTCTGCCACCACTTATCATCTCGCTTCAGCTGTGGACGCGGATGTTGCGCCCAGTGCTTAGAGGGATCGGAGCCCACGGAGGCGGTCCATTCCGTGGTGAGGAGGGCCGGTTGAGGGGCGTAGGGCTGGGGTTTACTGTATCCTCCTCCTCCGGTGCCGTTAGGTCCGCTGGGGATTTTGGGCGGGTTTGCTGCGCCTTGACGGATGGCGGATGCGAGGGAGAGGGGCGTCAGTGTGAGCACGCTCAGGGACAATGCGAGGAGGGAAAGGGTTGTCATCGTGGTCTTTCCTGCGGGTTTACCGTTAACGCCGAGGGTCGCCGGGGATGGATGGATGAGGATGAGGATGTAGAAAGGGGGGAAGTTTCTCAAGAGTTTTTGGAAATTCAAGGATCTCGTGGGAGGTGAGAGCAAGTACCATATATGCCTGATCACCTACCAAGTTGCATCGGTTTGCAGTCTTCCCCTCTCGCTCATGATTTCAAAAAAAGATGGGATGGCACATGATGTTCGTCTGTCTGTCTCGGTTCAGTAGGTAGGTAAGGTAGTGTACCTTACATTACGTACTGGCGATGCATCACAACCAACAGGAAGATGGGTTACTCGACTCATGCCCATGCCCATGCCATGCCGGCCAGATAGCAGATAGGGTAGAGGTATGTATGTACGTCAGTGCCACCAAACAACCCCAACTAATTTTTTCCAATTTAGGATCGCCGGTCTTGGGGTCCGTTAGCTTAACAAGGTTTAGTTTATATACGATACGGACCATTTACGATGATGAGCACACGGGCATTGTTAGATCTGAAGATCTCCACTGTGCTCTCTCCCAATCCAATCCAATCCACTCCAAGCCAATTACTGTACCGAGATCATGGGGTGCAGTCCGGTCTCTCGTGGGGATTGTTGGAAATAACGTCACCACCTTCGCTTCATATGTATCCAAACACCACAAACATTCCATCTCAAAAATCAAAAAAATTATTGCTTGCTTGATCATGGGATGTCAAGTTCCAGACCGGCCAAGACCACGGCAGTCAGTCAGTCATTCAGTCCAAAACCTACATAGCTCGGCCGAGAAACGGTCAACCGCAGGCAGGCTCGTATAGAAAAAGACATGGAAGCAAGCGAGCCACTTACCTTTTAAGACCCACGTTGTGGTGGATGGTGATATGGTGATACCTGGTTTATGTTGTGCTTCTATGTGCGCCGATGGATGCTGTGGTGTTGTTGGTTGTGGTTGCAATGCGTTATACTTGAAAGGTACCTACCCACCTTACTCAAACTACTCTACCCGTCAGCACTTTTTCAATGAGACAACACACAAAGGACAAGATTCAACTTGTTTTCCGAGCCGGGCGATCCGTTCATCCAATTTGTTCCATCAGCCTATACTAAGCCAGTCGCTTACCTGGCTTGGAGGAAGAACGAAGCTTTGTTCACCGTCCACCAAGGTAGGTAGCATGTAGGTAGGTAAACAAGGTTAAGGTTACATACATACAGTCCACAATCCACAGTCACACCAAACATCACAATCCTTTACCCACGTTCATTCATTCACTCATTCGTTGTCTAATGTAACATCCTTCTTTCTTTGCAAACCAGGGAAACTGAACATGGCCCGCCCGCCCGCTAGAATGGATGCGTGCGTGACCAGGAAATCTCAACTTTTATACAACACTGCAGCGCAGCGGATGGGAAACGTAACCACCTGCTTATTACATATAGTGCACTTAAGCATCATGTTAACACTCCCAACTGTGCCAAGAACCTGACCTGGGAAGGGAAACCCCAAATGGAAGGCATAAAGGTCTTGGTCTCGTGTCACGGAAAGACGGGAGCAGTTGGATAGATTTACATCAGGTTTGGATGTCTCGCTTTCCAGCGGTATAACTGTGGAGAGAATGCAGGTATGCATGTGGCTCGCTCGTCAACTCCAACTACTTACCCTGCCCGCACTTGTGTGTAACCATCACCAGCTAGAGCGACTCTCAATCTGCAATATGACGACGGTGAAAAATAGTTGGGAAGCGGGGAAGGTTACAGACTTTCAGTCGGTGTAGGTGGCTGGCCAAGGCCATGTGGCCGAGTCCCGTAAACAGTTTTGGTAGGATGTTGAGATGTAGATGCCGGTAGGTGTCAGTGAAGAGTGATGATCTGCCGCCTTTTCCGCCGATCTGTGATGCGAGATAATGAGAGATTGTGAGGGGTAGCTGTATGGGCGAAAGGGTTGAGTGTGAGGGAACGACGACGAAAAGGACAGAGGGTTGTTTCATACAACTTTATGGACATCATGGTTCAGGTAGAAAGGCGTCTATTACGGGGGGAGAGACGCAACATTCGGCGAGAAGAGTTCATTATCTTTTTCCTTAAAACAGATCGTTGACCTTGCAAATCCTTATTTTCCATCCAAAAAAAAAACCCAAAACGAGCTTGAAGTTATCCATCACCTTACAAAGCCTGCTTGAGCTTCTCCACATACTCCTCAACCGACAAGAGACCCTGCTGGCCAGAGCTGGCAAGCTCACTCCTCAACCACTCCCTAGCCTTATCGGCCAACATCTCCCACTCGTCCTTTTCGTGTGCCAGCTTGACCTCCAAATACGCCAGCACCAAAGCTGTGGCGAGCATGTTTGTGTTCGGAACAGACACTCCATAGCTCTCCTCCGTCGACTGAGACTGCCCCAAAACATCGAGCAGTTGCTGACTCCAAGACCAGGAACCATCGAACTGCTGCAGGTTCACGAGTGCTGCGAGTGGCTCGAGGTATGTAGCCATCTCGGGCGTCACATCGGTGGCTTCTGTTGGGTTTGTGAGATATTTGGACTCAGAGAAGCTGGACTGAGCGGAAGGCTTACCTGGATTATATAAGGCTGAGGCGCCGAAGGGAGTTGTGCCTGTGCCCCTCGGGCTGTGGGCCTGTAGGACTGGGACGTAGGAGGGTCTACCACCAACGGGATTAGGGGGACTGGAGGGGTTGTAACTGGAATACCTTCTGCTGGCCCTACGGTCTGGCTCCATCATCCGCTGGAGTTGTGATAGGGCTTGTTGTTGGGCTTGCGGAAGCTGCTGTGGTGGCTGCGGCTGGGCGGCATCCCGCCTATGTGCGTTATTGGCGCCGAAAAGGCTGCCGCCGGAGCTATTGGAAGCTGCGAAACCCGAAACCGTATCTGCGCCAGTGGAAGTGGCCCTGAAGGCACTAGTTGCAGCTGAATAGCCGTTAGACCTGGTTAAGGCTCCAAAGCCTGCTGTAACTGGAGTCGCCTGCACTGCTGTAGGTGGAACGAAATTGTCAGAATCAGAATCAGAAGTATATAAAAGCAAAAGCGAGTCCAAGGAATCAAGTGGTTCAAGGTCTGAAAAGTTGGGACCAGAAGGAAATAGGTCACGATGTGCAAAGTCCAAAGCACGTGTGGGAATAGAAAACATGTCATTGGAATACCCACAACAGAGAGGTTCAGGAGGAGGGGCTTGAAAAGAAGGGTGACGCGCCGGCAGACAATACATCCTCGACGGCGGAATGTTACAAGAAGAATACTCCGACTTACCTTGACGTGAAGAAAGTGCTAGCGGAGCCGGAGCTGCACCAAAGAGCCCCCCGCCAACCGATGCCAGAGAATACGTAGCAGCTGCTGGCTGAGCACCAAAGAGGCCTCCTCCGGCAGGAGATATCGGGTTAGAAAGGTCGACGACAGGGGAGGAAGCCATCCGGGCGGCTTTTCTACGCCTACCTCGCTTCCTGACAGCGACAGACTCAAACTCAGAGCTGTCATCAGCGGAAGTTTCAGCAACCTGCTGCTTCACTTCGGTCTCCGTCTGATCCTTCTCCTCCACCGCGACATAGCTGCACCACTTGCTTCCCACCTGGAAGGTGACTCCAAGCCTGACGGCCTCTCGTTCTACCGTATCGGAGAAGCGGCCCTCGTACTTGTCCTTGAGCAGCTTCTGCTCTGGATCCTCCGAGTCCTTGGCATGGTACAGCCAGCCGCGACCCTCTTCGAGTTCCTGTACGGCTTTGCGCGCGGCGAGCTGGTGGATCGTCTGGCCCTTTTCTTCCAACACGGCGACGGGGATCTCAAGCTCGAGAGGCCCGTGGGCAGAAGTGGCGCGGAGGATGACTGATTTGGGTGTCTTCTGTGTCGTGCCAGGGGAGAGCAGAAGGTACACGGTGGTCCTGATGAATGGGTAGAGCGGGGGGATGGTGAAAGGCGCTTGGAGGATCTTAGGCTCTGGGACTGAGGGGACGTGTGAGTACTTCCCTCCGGAAGAGGTGTCGGCATCAGCGTCGGTAATCTCGGTGTCGAGACCAGCTGAGGGGTTGAAGAGGGAAATTGGCTTGTCAGCGCCAGCGGGAGCCTTGTCCTCAGCAAGACGGATGGCCAAAGAGTCGTGGACCTTTTCGACAATTTCAAAATCATCGACAATTTCAAGGTCATCGTCTCCCACCTTTTTGCTCTTGGCTTCCGCGTCAGAGTCCTTGTCGTACTTGATCTCCAAGGTGTAGTCCTTGATGTGAGGAGTCAGACCCGCCTTGAGCATCCTAACTACCTTGGCGTTCATCTTCTCGCCGTCGGTAACGGACTGGGCAAACCCATTGCCAGCACGAGCAACGCCTTCGATGAGAGCATGGCTGACATCATTACCGATGCCCAAGGTAAACAAGCGGATGGCGCCCTTGGATTCCGACACCTTCTCGTTGGTCATGGTGAAGAGCTGTCCCTGGTCCCAAATCTCGCCGTCAGTGAGCAAAAAGACTTCCAGGTCCATATCTTTGTAGCGCTTCTCGAACGCAGCTTCGAGTGGTCGATACATCTCGGTACCTCCAAAATCGGCGCGCATAAGATTCGTGTATTCCATCGCTCGCTGGAGAGTCTCCTGGTCGTACGACCGAGAGCCCTCTGGAAACAGAAACTCGTGCCTTGAACCGAAAGAACAAATGTTGAACTTGGCGCCCACGGGGATGGACTTGAGGAAAATGCGAAGAGCAGACTTGAGTCCTTCGATTCTAGTACCGCCCATGGAGCCAGAGCGGTCGCAGACAAAGACAATCTCGGGGCGTGATGAGGGGAGATTGAACTTTGGTACCAGTGTAGCCATCAAGGCCCGCTGCTGGGGAATATCAGGGTGTGTCTCGAGCAGGGCAATCGGGTTGCCCGTATTGGTGGCAACTACTTGCAAGATGAAGTCTTGAGCAAGCTCTGCGGTGCCAAGGGCGAGGCTAGCGGAGGCTTTCTGCAAAGACATATCAGTGCCGGCAGCTGCTCCAGAGGAGGTGTTGCCAATGGTAACAGATATGGGGTGGGAGGGGGACTGAATGTTCTTGATGTTTGAGCTGTTAGGCGTCTCAACATCGACAGTGATCTGGATACCAGACTTGGTAACGGCTTGGGGGGCATCGAGAAGAGTACCGGGGAAATCACCGTAGCGAGGAGCAACGGAGGTTGGGATGGTGTAGCGAATTCCATCCACGCCGGCGTCATTCTTCAGCTCGCCCAGATAGGTGATCTCCACCTTGAGAGAGACACCAGCAGGGACGTTGCCGACGGTGGTGGTGAAGACATCACTGGCATTGGGAAGCTGTTCCAACAGACCAGCGGATTCGCCTCTGTCGACAGCTTCCTGGTACACTTTGCGAGCTTGTGATTTTTCCTTGACGACACCACGAATTACACGATCTCCGATGGTGCACACAAAACCAACGACAGAGACGCCATCATACAGAGGGAAGGTGTACCTCAGTTCTGGGATACTCTTCTCGGCAGAAGGGTTGACGAATGTCTGCGTCAGAGTCGTTCTGCTTGACGAGCCTACGATGTGCGTGTAGACGGAGAGTTCTAGCTGGGGGAGATAGCATCGTTGGAGATGCCATTCATTGAGCGGTTCGGTGAAGTAACACCCAGTGACGTGGCCATGGGTAGCATGTCTCCGTGAGCCAAATATCATGGTGTGATGGGGTGGAGTCTAGGCGTTGAAGTGATTGTAGGGGAATTGGTGTTTGGGTAGGTCTTGGATGCCGTGTAGTGGAGGGGATCGGCTACCTCTAGGGAGGGAAGGATGATAGCAGCTGGAAAAGATGAGGAGTTGAGAGGGTCTGAATGGAAAGAAAACGAGATTGGACATCGAGCACGGTCATTATATAGCCGTTTCCTTCGGGCATCATGTTGTATGACAGTGGCTCAAACGACTGATTGTCCTTTCGTTCGTCGGTCAAGAGCGGGCTGATGTTGGATGAAGGCCAACAAGAGGCGATGAAGTGCCTGGAGTTCCTTGGCATTTATCTCCCCAGCTGCAGCGCAGCTGTCGGGAAGTGGTTTCTACCAATCAGAAAATCAGCAGCTGTCCTCGGCAGGGAGCGACAGCTGCCAGCCATGGCTCAGACGGGAGATTCTCCGCTTTTTAATCATTGAGCTAGGCAGCAACGGAGCTCGGCAGTGCAGAACGCGTGTGTTGTATAGGCTCCCTCCTACAATCCAACGCTGGTTTGTTTGTTAGCTCGGTACTCCTAACGTAGGGGACAAAAAGCATCCTGAACTATCCCGAACCTCACAAGGACAATATGAGTGGCTATATACAAATTGAAAAGACATAGGTAAAAACCGGTATAGCATATGCAAGGTAGGATTGTGCTTTGGTGATAGAATAAAACAGATCGGTCAGGTATCAAAACACCTAGGAAGGTTGACCAAAGGTCTCGAACTAACAGACAAACCAGTATTGGACTGTACGCACTGCCATGAATTGAGTCTCGGCTTCCACTCCACTGCACTTTCACTCTTTGGCTTCTGCCAAACAGGAAGGCATCAGAAAACAACGAAGCTTGGTTTCAGAGCAGACCCCAAGCTGACGGAACAAATAATCTGCTCCTTGTGCCATGTTCGACTTGTGCGTGAGAGGAGGTGGAAAGCAAGTATGCTGCATTGCCATCTGCTTTACAATCCTTTGTCACCGTCTGCTTTGTATTGTGACAACAGTTCATGATAACATCAGACATTCAGAAAGTCAATCCAAATAATGAGTCTGCAACTGCTGGATTGTCAACAATCTGCTAGAGCCCTCTTGAGGCTAGTTCAATGGTGCTCCCGCAACCGTGAGGTCCAAACTGCTGCTACATATATGAACGGACAAGATGGCATACAAGTTGGTGAAATCCACAGTCTGTAGGCCACGGACCAGATGTAAACATCACCACCACCACCATAACACAACCGTGACGGGAATTTATAGCCACAGCTTTCACAAAGCTAGGCCAGCTCACCTCAAAAAAACGGCAACGATTTATAACCCCCCTCCTCAGGTCAAGAAGCCCTTACCAGACCTTGCCATCCCCTGGTCCGAAACAGAAGGCATCACCTTCCGCGCCCTCCTCCGTGAGATCACCCCCAACACCAACACGAAAACCAAAACCAACCCTACAGACCCCTTGCCCCATCCCGCCGAGACTTCATCTTCTTCAGCAGCTCACCTCAAGCTCAAGCTCAAGTTATAGCTCCGGGTCCCGTAACAGGAAAGCCCAACCAATCCAAAAGATCAACCAACAAATGAGCTCGCTCAGTCGTTACACTATCACCCGATGATCCTGACCCCGCTCCTACTCCTGCTTCTGCACCTGCACCTGCTCCTCCCCCTCGTCCTCTTCCTCTAGCATATCCTCCTCATGCTCTACATGCTCCTCCCGCTCTTGTCCGACCAACACTCCCTCCTGTCCATCCCATCCTCCCTCCTCTTCCTACTTATCACCATCATCATCATCATCAACAGACCAAAACCAGCAGCGACGCTACCCGTGCCCGTGCCCGTGCCCACGATCCCGAAGTCCTCCCAACCGTCGAGAACATTGAGGACTCTGTCCCCCCTTTCCGGCCCTGGCCCCTTCTAGGCGATGCTGCCGCTAATTTAAGAAAGCCAAAGACAAAGCCCTAGGGGCAGCGGCAGGGTACTGAAGATCTCGGTGATCTGGACTGTGGTAACGATGTTCCCCTACAGGCCCTGCCAGCCGAGGTAGTCCTTTACGTCTCGTCACGGAAGGCGGTGGAGGTTTTCCAGGGGCAGCTGAGGGAAGGGATCAGGAAGGTGGTGTTGGAGTATTATGCTGGGTTGGAGGAGACGAAGAGGGAAGGGGAGAGGGAGAGGATGAGGTTGAGAAAGGTGGAGGAGAAGAGGGCGTTGCAGCAGCAGCAACAGCAGCAACAGCAGCAGTGGAGTGGTGGAAGGGGGGCGGCGTGGACGGGCGGGAGATGGGGGGTGAGCGAGTGGGTTCAGCAGGTTGAGGTTGACGATAGTAGTGATGATGGTGCTACTCTCAGTGTTGTCGATAGCGAACAGTGCTACCAACGGGCTTTGGATGAGGGATGGCAGATTTATCTGGAGAAGGTGCGGATTAGGTGGGAGGACAACAATACTGCTTCTTCTGGGGAGCATAATCACCCGCTGGTGGTGAGGCTGCCGGTTAATTTACTTGATAAAGAACGGACCGACGAGGAGCCGGATCGATACTTACATATGCTGCATCTCCGGGGGTATCGCGATCTTGTGGAGATTTCGTTTCAATGGGCTAAGGAAGAGAGGCCTCAGAAGCCAGATCGTGATGGTGAGAAGGGGCAGTCATGCATAGTCATAGAAGATGAGCAACGGCAATATGAGGGACAACAGTTGCTTTGTGGCCGTTCGAAAAATTCAAATTAAGTTTATGTACCTAGAATCCCCTCCAGGATAAAAAGCATGAGAGGGTATCATGATCCGTGAGTGTACTGGTATTACATGCAGTAAGAATGGGGGAATATGAAAAACCCGGTAACGAGAGAAGGGAAAACGCCGCCTCCCATCTCTTCAGTGTTGTGTGTGCTCGTGCTCGTAGGCCTTGCTCTTCCTTTAAAATTCCCTTCCGACATGGGAAGAAATGAAAAGGTGGTCCTGGCCCCGGCCGTATGTAGCGAGAGAGTACCCTTATAAACCCATATTTCGACCCAACCCGTTCGTTCATTCGCTTTGAGACCATTCGTTAAAAGATTACATATCACCACTGTACACAAAATGTTGTTGTTCGATGTTGTGTTGTTGCCCTGTGGGCTCCTTGTTTCACAAAACTTCGAACCGTGCTGAAAGGAGGCATCATGTCAACCGTCTCATCTCGTCCTTCGAGACTTTGGACTGGTCGCTGATTTAGTTGGGCTTGTGCATCCTGAGGAAGTGCAGGAACCAGTCCTCAATGGGGAGGAGGTTGAGAAGCACGTGGTTGAACTTCCAGGCAATCAAGCAAGCGCAAGCTCCGGCTACCGCATCCAGAACGAAGTGGTTGGCAGTCGCGATGATGGCGGTAAGGATGATGCCAGGGTAAATCATGCCGGTGAAAATGGCGACAAGCCTTTTCCACCCGAAGCGACCATGTCTCCTGAGGGGAACAGTGGCAATGGTGAGGCCGACGAGAAAAGAGTATCCGAAGTGGAGGGAGGGCATGGCAGCTGGAAAGACAAGACGGTTAGCACAATCAGTCCGTTGCGAATTCAGGGTAAAACATGAAACATACCGTACTGGTTGCAGAACTTGTTGGTAGTCCAGACACTGCTATCACCATCCTTTCCGTGCACGGTATCGACAAAGCCATACGACTTGGCCTCCTTCGCGTACTCGCCATTGTAGGTGGGGTCGCTGAGGAGTCTGGGCGGCATGCAGGGCCAGAAGGTGAAGACGATAAAGGCCAAAAGGTTGCACATGGCCATGGTACGTCTACGGCGCTCGTACACATCTGGGCCAAAGTGGCTGACGAAGTTGCGCCAGTCGCGGACAAGAGCGCCTCCACCGTGATTCTCGTGGATGCGGGCCCGAGGGCGAGTGGTGGTGACGTAGAAGAGGACGATGAGGAAGAGAATGGTGCCGGGGATGTGGATGAAGGAGTAAGTTCGGTTCGTCCACTTGAGAATTGTCGGGTGTCCAAGGAACCAGCCCTGGATCATGGGCTCAACGAAGATGCGCAGGCGCTGCTCAATGTGAATAATTTGAAGGGCATGCTCGCGAGCAGTGTCGACCGTGCCGGCCTTGAGGGTTACAGCTGTGAAGGCTCGTCCAAGTTGGTAGACCTGTCATGGCACCATTAGTTTCGACTCGTATGCGGGAGATCGTGATACGACGCGACATAGGCAACAGCATGCGTGGAGTGTTGGAGTTACATACCCAGTAGATCAGAGCCCAGTACCACACCTCAACGAGGAAGGGGAACATGCGCAGGACGCGGCTCAGTAATCGGTCGCGATGGATCTCGGTATTCGGCGTGACGACATCGCGTTTCCAGCCCATAAACTTCAAAGTGCGGAACCTCTTTCCGTATGGGAGACCCTTTTCGGCAGCCTGGTTCTCTACTACCGTCGACGACGAACTGGACCGCGATGGACTCCACGGTCTCCTGCTATCACCAGCGTACTCATCCTCCTCAACCTTGGCTTTCCTGCCTCCCTCGGATTCGTCGTGCAGAAGCGATGCCGATGGTTGCGCTTCGGGGTCGGTCTGATCGAGCGGATGCCAAGAAGCTCTCCGGCTCGAGGCAGTTGAGCTTGAGTAGGTGGTGTTGCGGTTGACGAGGGTGCCACCGGCGAGGAAACTCACCACAATGGCGGGCTCCAGAAAGGCTCCGATCGCCATCGTTTGTTCGGTTTGCGGAGTCGGGAATTAGGTATAAGGCTGAACGGTAGGACTGCTTTAACGGTCCGAAAATAGAAGACAAATGTCTAAGGCTGCGGGTTTTCTTCGGTCTAACGTGTGCGACCACGATAGCGACTCCACCAATCCAGGAACCACGGCGAGGTAAGGGGTATTTCGTGTTGTTGTTCAGGTAGTTGGCGTGGTTGACAACAAAGGCGGTATAGGAAAGACCGCGATGGTGGGTGCTGGTGGGTGCAGTATAGTGCGCTGTGATGCGAAGCCCAGGCCGGTAACAGTTGACAGCCAAGTGCAGGGAGCAAGCAAGGCGACAGCGACAGCAACAAGAACAACCAACAACGAAAAAGGGCAATGAAAAGCGCAAAGGGAAAAGTTTTACTGGAGATGGGCTCGTTATAAAGGGCGGCCAATTCCAGCCTATCGATCTGGATGCTTTGGTGTGAGCAAGAAAACCCACCTGACGGGGGAGGGAAGGCGCTGCTATGGATTCACTGCATCAAAAGACCCAGCGGGTGCCCCATCGGCCAGGAGGGAGTAGACAGTGGAGCGAATGGAGACGCTGGATTCGATTTTCTGGAGCGAGGCAACGAGGGTGGAAAAGTGGGCTGGAATAGGTGGGCGCGCGGAGGACAAGGGGTCAAAAACTGCAGGGTAACAAAGGAACGGGCTTTTGGGTCTTTTTCAAGGGGGAAATGCTAACAATACGCGGATCTAGTCCAATCTTGGGAAATTGTAGGGATGGATGCGTCTGTGATCTGTGACGGGATGGTTTGTGACGGTGCACGGCGAGGTGTGGGAGGGGGGGAGAGGAAGCCTGGGGCGTTCTTGCCCTGCAAATTCTCAACCATCTTTACCTGTACAGTTACCTAAACGCAGAAATCCTCGGTCTTGTATCCTGTTGTCACGGCTGTCGGTGCCTGGTTGCTCCATGAATTGTTTTACGGCGCTCGTTGCGGCATTGTGTAAAGCCATGATGACGACGGCCGCCCCCTTTCAATTCCACTTAAGTATTCTCCATGTATTTTCATCCGTATTGGTTGCCCCGACGCCTGAAAGATTCGGGGCAGAGGACCAGAGGGCAGAGGTACAAAGTCGTCCCCACAATCCAGCGGCGTCCGGACATTTACCTGACCCCGTAGCCGTTACGACCGTGGGCAGGTGTCACTCTCTCAACAAGTGCATCCAATTGCGTGGGCCAAGCAAATCACCGAATCGTCATGTCGCATGGTCACTGGTCGCTTGTCGGTGTTTGCAAGTCTGACAAAGGACTGCCAAGGCACAAAGCCCCCTTCTCTCGATGATGTGAAGAAGCGGCGGGATGCTGGAACCGGACCAGACAGAAACGTGCCATTTTGTGAATAATACAACAGAAAGGTGTGAAAACGCCTGGGAGTTTGTAACAGGACTGCCCGTTGTGGAGTTTTCAGGCTCAAGCACCCTCCAGGCCTCTTGGCGATGGAGAATGCCAATTAAGGTCGGACTCTCTTTTCTGAGGCTAAGAGGCTGGTGGCCAATCGATCACCTTCGCCAGTCGTCGTGGGTATCACCACTCCCTCGGCTCATGTGCCTCCATATGTAACATTATCAACAATATGTACACTATTCTCTCCTTTGACGGGAACCCAGTAACACAGCGCACCGGTGTTGACCCAACAATACCTAACTGGACATCTCGGACTCTTGGTTCGGGAGGATTAGTGCTGTTGTCGGAACGGGAATGATCACAGTTTTGAGGCACAACATGCACAAGAACGTCCTCACACGGAATTTTGAAGCATCCCTCGTTCTTACCGCAACCCTGCGGAGACTTCAAGGGTGCAATCTACTGTATAACCAACCAGCTGTTGGGGTTTTCATGCATCTAACGGGGTGCCTCACTCTGCCTATGCATGCCCAGCTTTTTGCAGACTTAACCTACCGTAAATGATGATTGATAAAAGATGGACTGCCATCTGCCATCAACCTTTTTTGTACTTTGGCGATATCGACAGAAGAGACTCTCTCCGGATCAAAGCCGCAACACAACGTTGTTCTATCGGACTTCCTCGATTCGCGAACGAGCCTGATAGGGACAACCTTGGCACCCGAACACATCATCTTTAGTGCTGGCGACCAGGAAAGTCAGGAACGGACACTAGCATTGCCGAGATCCGTTTCATGTGCCTGACTGCCCTTGCCCGCCAGTTGCGAGCATGGCCAGGCCAACCCTAGATTTTGCACTTGCCTCCGTCGCCGACACCCCGAACCCCGTCTCCGTCGGCTGGCAGTCGGATACTATTTCGTCCATTTATTCCCGTTGCCGATGGGGACTGGGTTTGTGGGAAGTAGCATACAGTACCTATATATGGAAAACTTCATTCCCCAGCATAGATTCCGTCAAACCGCCGCGGTGGGGGGCTGGGCTGAGGAACCTCCCTTTCCCCAGCCATGTGGTTTACCTAATAGATGATCATGACGACAAAGCCAAAGGAACTGGGGAACGGCAAGCCGAGGCCAGACAAAGAACATTCAACAACTTGAGCAATATAGAGACTATCAACACCCAGAGATTGTTCACGGAAACAAAAAGAAACTTCATATATGTCAAAAGGGGTCAATCTTCAATGTGAATGCATTAACATGTAAGGCCGTGGTTTGGGTACCGTAGCTGTCATGTCGGTATTGCACAAGTCACATTTCTACCTAATGTACCAGCCGCAGCTGGCTTGCCCCGTAGCTCTGCAGGGTATCATCGCCACAGAAAGGTAATTCTCACAACAAGCAAGGCTTATGAGACGAAGGTCATAATTGGCTGGTTCAACAGTGAATTACAGAAAGTCGGAGAGGACAATAGTCAACTGATGTAATTGATTCATGATCTTCTATACTTGCCCGTGTATTCAACATACATTACCATCCATTACCCAGCATACATAGTACCAGGTACAATTGTAGGCTTCACCAAACTCTTGCATAACAATGAGACGTCCTCGACATAACGGTATCGTAATCGTAAATAGCTTGCATAAATGAAACGGGACCCTTCCGCTCGGCGCTGCCAGACCCCATTCCCCTGGAACGGATCTTCCAAGGAACATTGCCGTTCTTCCATCTCGCATTCGATTTTAGAAGCTCTACTCCATTCGATTCTTCCAAATCCACCGCCATCGTTTCAGCGACATGTCTGACCATTGCCGGAAGATACACTAGGAGATTGCAGTTCACGACAATGATATTCCTTTTTGACAGCCGGACAGCCCATAACCCATGATGCCAGCGGATTGTCGCATTGAAGATCGCGGGTCCAGAACTGCTCCAGAACTGAACAGCATGTGCCAAGTTGCGGCAACATCTGACGACCGCGCGGCGGAGATTTGCTGCCAGGTTCTTTTATAATCTTCCAATGTTCGCTGACGGACAGCTGACGCTGGCGATAAGGGGATGAAGATCCCGTTATACCATTTAGTCATTGATCGAAAATCAGTCGCTGTCCAACCAGCCAGATATTCACCTGGTTTCTTGGGTCGATTTGCAAATCGATGGGCTCCATTTCCGTGCATCCCGTCCGCCAGTCCCGCTGCCCCTCTGCGTCTCTGGCATTCGGGGTCTCTTCCAGGGCTTCGATTTATTGTTCCAACTTCCAACTTTATTTCCACGAGATTCCACAACACATTAACTCATAGAATTGCAGTTGGCGACAGTATACATTCACAATAGAGACTAACGCTACAACTGAAGTCTCAGGTGGCTTCTCCGGCTGTGATCTATCTTAGTCGAGTGGCTATACGCTGTTCGAGTTAAGGCCATACCGTCATTTTCCATTTGACGTTCTATAATATCTCAACATGAACTGGATGAGAGGCGGGACAAGTCCTTCAACCTGGTCAATGAAATTCGGAAAGAACGCATACGCAATGGGATCAGCAGGTGCACAACTGAAAGACTTATGGCTTCATGAAGAATTTGAGTTTCGGGGACTCTTCTGTGCCTTAATCGCCCGAATGTATTCCACCTCGAATGGCGTCCAGTTCCGTTTACGTAGGATACAAAAGACCCCCACGATGTGTCTTAACTCATCCAGCTCTTTTTACCAAGTTACCTCACGCCCTCCTCATTCTAACCAGTCAAGCTACCTCTCCCAAGCAGACTATAGCAGGTCCTAAGTAGTAAACAACCAAAGTCAGCCAAGATTTCACCCAAAAGGCCTCTCATCCGCCAACAGAAACAAACAAACAAACAAACCAAGACCCAAACCACAACAGGGAAAGTTTCTTGCAGACCTCAAAAAAGGAATCAGACCTAAACAACACCACACAAGGAATCAGAAAACAATACACACCCCCGTCACCGATCCCTTAGGCGGATACTGATGTCCGTCCTTCTCGATCTTGGGCTCGCACTTGCACCACTCTTCCTTGGGCACGCCGTCCATCACCTTGGGAACGTGGTTGCCGCAGCCTATCCAGGTGACGCCGTCTACGGGCATGTTCATCATCATCAACGAAGTCAGCAGAGGAACGGAGATGTTAGGTAAGTAAGGAAGGTAAGGTCGGTGAGGTAGGTAGGTAGGTAGGTAGGTAAGGCGGGATTGATGCTCAAGTGTTGGGATGGGATTGATAGGTAGGTAGGGCGTGTTGGTTGGTTGGTTGGATATTTTGAACGTCGTTTATCAAGGGAGCGGAAGGGTCAGGAAGGCTTGGAAGGGATGGAAGGGATGGTATTCAGGTGATAGGCCGGCAACCTCAAACTTACGGCAAACGGGGCATGCTGCTTTGTGGCACATTGTGGGTGACTGCTGTGGTGAGGCGCGGTAGGCTGTGGATGGATGTGCCGTAGATCTTTAAAGCTCGGTGGTGACAGACGGCCGGCGAGTGATGACTTTCTTGAGAGATATCTTTCACGACAATGGACTTGGCACAAGAGATGAGATGTATGTGATATGCTGTATAGGAAGATCTGGAAGGCTGTGTTTTCGGTGTAAGCTCTTCTCAGCTGTTGCCCAAGCAAAACACACGCAATGAGCTCGACCGCATCATGACGTGTCAGTGATGAGGTTTACCAAAGTACCGGAACTCCACCTTGGACGGGTTCAACATCTCTGGGTCTCTGTGATAGGATTTGTCAAAGAGCTTTTGACATGTGAAGTTATTTCTTTTTTTGAAGTATTGATTATCATTTGACAGATAACGGCCGCGGTGCACCCGGGCGAGTTCTTCTTGCATCTTATTTTGGAGTGTCTATGATGGTAATTCGGACTAAGAAGAAGAAGAGGAGGAAGACTATCAGCTGTTCCTGAGAGAGTCTAAATTCGAAGCATTACATTGTTGGTACAGGTCACTTCCTGATGCAATTGGATGTTCATCAATAACTCGTGCCAGGTCCAAAGTTTCTTAGAACAATTATCTACGTAGGTAAGCATCATGTGTAGTTTCTCTACAATACTCGTGTTTTGTTCTTCCTGGTACCAAGTAGCCGTGTTGCAGCGGGTTGGCCGGTTCACCTGAAGAGCTGGTTCGCACATCTCACTTGAGTTCAGCCTAAAGACAGGGGCGATGCTAACGTACTGACTAGATCCTTACTTTCCCACGCCATTGGTGATGATATCGTCAGTTCGACTCTGGCCCTTGGGACCACTTGTTACGCAAATAAATGCTTGAAAGATAAAACCGACAGAATTTGATGAGAGTGAGCAGGTAGTTGGTGGACGGACAAATATTGCGGAACGGTTAGTGACAATATTATCAAGAGAAGCGAAGATAGATACATCAAGCATGTCTTCGCGTAACAAGCACAGCTGAACACCAGTCAGATAGGGCAAATCGCCTCTTTGTATTGCTTCAAGCAGCTCTTGGCTGGCATGATATGAGCGTTTCGGTTGACTGTCGAGCAATGAATGGAAACGAGTTTAAAGAGCAGCCATGGTGGTTGTCAGTCAATGTAGCAAACCTTATGATTCTCGGTGTTGGTTTGGAACCGTGAGCAATGAAGAGGATTTTGTGCAGCATCTTGCACAACATGTATTATGACAAACATAATGTTATCAGTGCGTGTAGAAGTGTAGGTGCCCTGCTCTTGTTATAATCTCTTGCAAGTGCTGCGCAGGGAATCGATTAGCAAACTTGGACTGATCATCCTCAGAATCGAAGATTCCATACGGCTACTCAGACACTTTAGAAGCTTTATCATTCGCAACTGAGCGGCTTGTTCGGGCCCCATAGAAATGAATTAACTCAAACGCAGTGATATGCAGAGAAGCGTTTTCATGCCATGCCTGTAACCAATCTACTTCAAATAGCCAAGTGAGACGGCTAGACCGAAACGGATGATCAGAGGGTATATGTTTCTACCGCAGATTGTGTGTGTGTATCTTAACCACTACTACCTAACTGAACCCAAGATATTTTGCGCGGCCGTGAGTTGTAAATCCTCTTTCAAACACCAGACGCCTGTTGTCCCAGATGCAAAATCAGATTTCAAGGCAATCCCTTTACAGTTGCCACCCAAGAGACAAGACATATAATTAGACAAACCAAACCATCACTCTCGCTCATCCCGTTCACCCCTCAAACAAGAAGAACAGCGTTCAGGCAACCGTCGTTCTGTCGAAGACTCAGAGTTAGCATTTTAGTCACGGAGAGGTGGGAGAAGGTTTGTTGAGCATACCTCAGGGTTGTTGGTGATCTGAGCATAACGACCCCAGGCAATCTTGCCCGACGCGGTAACCATACCGAGATCGGAAACGTTGACCTCGATGATGGTACCCTTGGAAAGAACACCAAGCTGGGTATAAAGGGGGTTGCTAGGGTTCTTCTTGACGCCAAGAATGGGGAGCTGGACCGTGACGTTGAGGGTAGGGTGGGTGACGTTGGCCTTCTTGTAACGGAGACCCATGGGTCGGATGAAGCGTTCGTACTTGACTGGGCGTCTGGTGAAATCGGGTCCGACGAATGTGGGCTTGGTGACGACGCGCTTCCAGCCCTTCTTGTGCACCTTCTTGCCCGTCTTGACGACCTTGAAGAGTTCCTCCTCGCTGATACCCTTGACCTTGGGAATGGGGACCGAGAAACGAGCGGCCTTCTCGGCACGCTTGCTCTTAATCTGGGAACTGTGCGAAGAATGGGGTCAGTCTCTCGTCGTCATATGTGACCTTTTCCAACCTCCATGCCCACTGCCATCGCCTTCGCCTCCGCCTTCCCATCGGCCACTCGCTTCTGCTCATGTATCCTCCATTTTGTATGACGTACCTCAAAGCCTTCGCACTCGTGGGGTTGGAACGGTCGAGCAGGTAAGCGGGAACGGGGTTCGAAGGATCCTTTTTCCTCGGGGGCGCCCTTGACGTTGCGCTCCTCGTGCTGCTTGATCTGCTTGCGCATCTGGATCTTCTGGGCATGACGCTCCTTGGCGAAGAGCTTGGCCCTCAGGCCGCGCAAGTTCTGAGCATCCTGACTCTGCTTGTGACCCTCACGGGCAGCCTTCTTGCGTGCGCGCTCCTCGGTGTCCAGACGCTTACCGTGAAGCTTCTGGGCGCGTTCTGCGAAACGAAATGATCGGTTAGGAACTGTAAACAGGAGGTCGACGGTGATCGGGTTCGGGTATGGAGGGGACTATACCGATATATTCGTTCTGAGGCTGTATTGGGAGAAACGTCGGTCAGCATGGTCTGGTCTCCAAGTTTTCGGAAGGGGTCATGGATGTCGAAGGAGAGTGGCTGCAATAAGTGAAGGCGGATTCGAGGATAGGAAATATCCGTACCATATTGGTGATTTAGGCCCTGTGAGGGTCTTGGAATTTGAAATACGTGGCGACGCAGCTAGGCTTTTCGATGTTGTAGGGCGACGAAGGGCGACGAGAATGACGGTGCGGTTTGGGTATATGCTTCAGTATGCGAATGCCTGCTGGACGGACGTCTCTCGAAGCCGATAAAAAAAACATCAAGGCTAGCTTTCCTTATCGGGCGGCTCCCCAGTGGCGGAGACCCACCCGTTGGTGGACCGTGGTGGGTCAGTTATAACGCTTGTCATTGGTCGAGACATTGTTGACAGATCCAGGCCATGTCCAAAACGTGGAGTTAGGATGACAAGGTGCCAGCCAGCTGCAGGCACTGAAGTGTACCGCGGCAGGTCAAAGCCGTCAGTTGAAGACGAGAACCTTGATGGAAGGCCAGTGGAGGACTCCTGTCTAGCTAAGAGATCACTTTCATATTCCTAGAGAGGCTCCCGCGACTAGGTCCTCAGCAAAGGAATGCTAATGGTGTGGCTCGCATAACCCCCTTCGATGACGGTAGTTAAGTCAACAAAGTTAAGAAGGTAAAGCCTAAAATGTAAGCTTGGGGGTATTCAGATATCTAGATACGCTACACCGTGTCATGACAACCTATACTATAGAATGATCCGTCGGACGGGCTTTATTGCCAGCCAACGCCCGCCAATGAAACCGGAATCCGCGCAAAATGACTAAACTCCAGACGCTGATGCAAAATGTTTCTGGGTGTCCGTCCTGTCTTCCAGCCAACGCCATTGCAAAACCGTCTCCAGAAAACGTAAGTCTGCCTTGAAATCATCTCGATGCGCCGAAACCTTCCCAGTTCAGAGGTAAAAGAAAGAGGGGGACACGCCACCACGCAACAACCCCGACATATCAGCGGTCTCCGGCCCTGGACTTGAGTTTTGCAAGTGCCGCCTGCTTTCTCGCCTCCTTCTCGCGCTTCAACCTCTTCTCCAGCGCCTCCTGCTCCATGTCTTCTTTGCGAGCCACCATCTCTGCCCGGCGTTCCTCGGCGTCGATATCGGATATTCCTGCTTCCATGTCCGAGTCGTCCTCTTCCGGTGAATCATAACCACCGCGGCGACCGTAGCCGTAGCCATCATCTTCATCTTCGTCGTACTCGATAAAGTCGTCCAACTCTTCATCCTCCTCCTCGCGTCTCCGGGGACGTGATAATGAGGCGCCATAACCGGACATCCCACGACCCCTACTTGCGCCTGCAGAGGTGGATGCACCTGGCTTTGTGGCGGTGGCCCCTGGGCGAGGACGTGCTGTGCCTTGGTAACCAGTCGTCGCTAGAGCGGCCTTCTTTACCTTCTTTTCCTCGACGGGTTTTTGGCTTGCCTTGGGCTTGGCGCCAACCGGGGCTGAAGGGGTGGTACTCCGCTGACGGTTCGCAGTCGTTCCGTTCGTGCCATTGCGGGCTGGCCCAGCTGTCACACCGCTCCTCCCGGTAGTCCCTGGCCTTGCATCCTTCTTTCCCTTCTTCGCTTCCTCGGCCTTCAGTCCCTTGCGTTCCTTCATGGACAACTGCCTTTCCACCTTCTTGTGCTGAATTTTTCCAACGGACGACAGCATGTGCTGATTAGTCTGGGCCCTTGCCATGATCTCTGCAAACGAACGCCTCTTCGGAGGTCCAGAGTCGGAGACAGGAGTGCTAGGGGCGGGTCGGCTGACGAGCGGTCGCGAGAGTGGAGCCTTGTTCCCATTCGAGCTTGTTCCTCCCACCCTTGACTGTGTCGATGTGGTCTTGGATGACACCGGAGCCGTTGGCTTCGTCGTTGCACGTGGTTGCGCGGTGCCAGTGTAGCCAGTTGTCTTTTCTGCGGGACGTGTTGGGTTCGCATTTCCTGTGGGGCGCTCCATCGGTCGCTCGGCGGGGCGCGCTGTAGAAGATTTCGTTACGTTTCCATTTGGCCGGGCACTTCCATTTGTCGAGGGCTCGGTACGCGGGGCCTTTGGCGCAGAACCTCGAAGGTCATCGTCCGCCTTCCGTTTAGATGCTACTGGAACATCTTTCGCAGATGTCGATGATGACGATGGCTTTTCGCCCGTGATCGATGCGAGCAAATCTCCAATCTGTGAGGGTGAGTGTCAGCGAGCCTTTGGTGGCAAGCGCAACTAAAACAGCGGCAACTTACCGGCATGGCTGCGGTTGTACCAGTGAAATAACCTGCTTTGTACCAGCTATTCTTATCCTTCTCCTGCGTTCAAAAGACAGAGAGTTGTCCAGGCATCGAACAAGAGAAGGAGGGAGTAGGTGGCAGGCTTTTATATGTATTCGTCACAGATCGCCTTCAGCTGACGATGCAGATGCACAGTGGGGCGGGCTCGAATGCTTTGGCAAAAATAGGACGGCGAAGAAAGAGCGCGAGGATGCGAGGTCACCGGTCGCGCAATATTGCCGAAACCAAGAGTGAGAGCTGGGCGAAAGATGGGTTGTTGGTGAAGGAAGAACAAGAATCCTGCGTGATCGGGACTTGGTTTCGCAACTTTTGCTGGGCAAAGACAGAGAGCCAGGATGGTCAACGTATTGAACGACCCACTCAGTCACTCCTGGTCGGAGCGGTGAATTGCGGTCTCCGAGGTGAAAGCCAAAGGCTCAGACCAGCAATCGTGCCAAGTCGAACTTCACCGAAAAGTTATGTTATGCCAAGAGAGCCAAGGCCTTATGAATTACCAAACGCTTTATGTAATGACATGCTGCCGGCAGGCAATTATGGGAAAAGGCTTGGCGTGGAAAACGCACGGGATCTGCCCTAAGTTGAGTGAAGTGGTCAGGTGACTTGAGGCTTGTGGACTTTCGTGGGGCGCAAAATTGCGGGGCCTCACAGGAACGAAATTGTAAAAATAATCCGTGATCGGGTCCCGTCCGCGAACTTCTTTCCGAAACAGTGATCTTCCACCCCCAAGAACCTAAGAAGAGTCTTTCTCCGCCACAACTCAGCGGTTAAACTTGATTGACATCTCTGGTTCTCCAGCTCAGTAAGTTTTTGGTCCAGTCCTTCAACCGCCGCAAGTTTTCCGTCTAACAACGCGACCTTCAAGACAGACAAAATGAAGCACTTGGCCGCTTACCTCCTCCTCACCCTCGGTGGCAACACCGCCCCCTCTGCCGCTGATGTCAAGGCCGTCCTTGAGTCCGTTGGCATTGAGGCCGACTCCGAGCGCCTTGACAAGCTCATCTCCGAGCTCGAGGGCAAGGACCTCAACGAGGTACAACCATCGCGTAATCGCAAACTTGGATGCTAGGGACACATGGCTAACACGATATACTACAGTTGATCGCTGAGGGCTCTTCCAAGCTCGCTTCCGTCCCCTCCGGCGGTGCTGGTGCCCCCGCCGCTGGTGGTGCCGCTGCTGCCGCTGGTGGCGCTGCTGAGGAGAAGAAGGAGGAGAAGGTTGAGGGTAAGGACACATTCATTCACATGCCCGGTCGTATTCAGCTGCTAACAACTTGGTACAGAGAAGGAGGAGTCCGACGAGGATATGGGCTTCGGTCTCTTCGACTAAGCGTCTCCCACCATTGCTCAGTAACATGGCATGGTATTTTCCGAGAAACCTTGACGGATTGTACACGCGGTTCAAAAGTCAACTGCAACACATTCGCCTTGACGGCGGCGGCAGAGCTGGAGTTCTTGGGATTACAAGGGCACGTCTTTTCTAAAGGCGTCAAACGGCACATAGGAGGAACAAATACAACTCGCAAGGCGTTCTCTGGACCTTTTTTTTCTTTTCCCCATTGTGAACATTCGTGTGTGTGTTGTGCTCTTCCGGGCATCTGTGCCTGCAACTAAAGTAATTCGGTGAATGCGACAGCAAAGTGCGTGCTATGCAAGCTTTCTTTGGGTGTCGGATATCCGGCTGATATCGCATCCTAGCAAAGCCCTGCGTCAGCGTTGGTAAACAAACCCCTTGACCTCCATTGCCGTCTCCATCAATTATCGATACGCACGGTTGCATGTGCGGTTTGAAGGTCGGGCTTCCCTGCTGTTGTAAACAAGCTTGGCATCTTCGCTGCTTGAGTTTGCCTTTCCCAAGGACGGGACCCAGTTTAGCGGTTGCCGCGAGCAACCATGCAACACCATCCCGTGTTTTGATTGGTCGCAGCTCCACAAAGTCAAAATACTCGGTCGTAGCGGGAAGCCAGCACACACCCAGAATCCGTCCCAATCTAGAGCGAACCCCATCGTCTCCTCCAGCCTCTGTCCACGACATGTTTCGTCCGCGCCGCGTTACATGATTTCTCACTACCCTCGTTATTCTTGGTTTCATGCGCTATTTTGGCACGTAGACTCGCGATCGCCCACACGACCTTGTACTTATTAGGTATTTTTTGCTTCGTTTCTTGGCTGGATTTGAAAAGGCGGCAAACCAGGCGCAAAACAAGAGCAGGACAGTCCGTGGCTGGGAAAGGCGGGCAAGGTTCCAAAGATCGCCAACAGGACGAAAAGTGAGGCCCACCCAACACCAAGCCAGCGCATTCGCAACCGCAACCAAAACCAACAGGGGCGGTAAACAATACACATGAACGACATGTCGTCCATTTCGCCAACGCCAATGGGCGCTGGGAGCCACTTCACGTCTATGGGAAGAAGGACGTCCACTAGACAAGCTTTGCGACGCCCGCCATCGCGACCCATGCTCAATCGCAGCGAGTCGAACCCCCAGTCGCAATCACAACAATATTCCAACGTCAACGACAGCTCAGATGACGAGATTCCCGTACCCATGAAACTCAGCGCCTTAACCAAGGCTCTGCTGAACGATGGCCATGCATCCGAAGCCCCATCCTTTGCGCAACATGGCGCTCCTGAGGACCTACAGCTATCGCCCCCAGCTCGACCACCATCACGAATTACTAGAAGAAGCGCGTTGACATCATCGAAGTCCGAGGAAAGATCGGAAGGTGTGAGGACGCGGGAAGCAAGGCGGAGTATCAGAGGAGGAAGTCTTCAACCCATCGAAAGGCCGACATCGCCACCCCAGAATGACAGCAGCAACAATCGCGACGGCAGCCCAGCGCCTAGGAAACGAGTGGTCCGCCTTAGCAATGCCGTGCAGCCTGTTAGCTTTTCCGGAAATGTCCGAAGACTCTCATCAACGACGGCACCCCAGAGGAGAACCAGGACGGAGAGCAGGGAAAGAGAGGCGGAGAAAGAAATCCCATCGTTTCTACAGCAGCAAGGCGATCCAGGATCAGACTCAGCGGGAGATGCCCACACGCCGGTTATCAGAACGGTCAGGATTCAAGTTGGTTCCGGGTCTTCAGGCAGCAAGAATCGGCTTTCGCTTGGTGGAGGAGGAGGTTCATCGAGTGGGTCGTTTGGTGCTGTTTCTGGAAAACGCGGCACAGGATTTGGTGATCACGAAATACCCGAGGATCCTGCAACCATTGGAAGGCCACTGGCGGCGGCACCACAAAGCTCAATGCGCATCAAGAGAGTCGCAAAAGTTCCGGGAAGCTTTCTTAGTGGCCCAGCACGACGAGGGCGGAGAAGGCAGAGCGATGAGGACGAGGCAGCGCATGGAGAAAATGAGGCCATGGGCATGAACCAAGACCACGATGGGAATTACGAGAGCCACATGCAGAGCCAGGTCGAAGCCGCTATGGGCGAGCAACAGTCGTCGTTCTATGCATCCAACAATAACTACCGCGACTATGCTGCATCAGGAAGCCCGGTCGGCGGTAGAGCTGGAGCGGTTCGCAGGCGAGAATCCAGCTTCAGAGAATTGGATAGAGATAACGGGGAGCTGGGCTACAAGGTTCCTGAGCCTCATCCAGATATGCCCATGAACAACGATAAGGAGAACGAGGCCCCGCCAACATTCAAGAGGGCGAAACTGACCCCATCCATAATGCTCGATCACGAAATCCCGAAACCAGCGATCCCCGAACCGATGGCCCTCGACATTGGGCGAGACATCGGGCGAGATCTTAAGAGGCTGTCGATCTCACCTGACCGCAAAGCATTGGCGCATAAGAGTCAGAATACACCACACAGGCCTGCGCCTCCACCTCCACCAAAGATGTCGGTTGTCGAGACTGCCACAGCTGCTGCTGGAGCTTCTGCGACGACGGGAGCCGCCAAGAAGAGGCAGGTCCTTTTGCGTGTGAACGGCCGGACATACACCCGTATTGACTGCATTGGAAGGGGCGGCTCTGGCAAAGTTTACCGTGTCTCGGCTGAGAGTGGGAAGATGCTGGCGTTGAAGAGGGTGTCCCTTGAACATGCCGATGAAAACACTGTGAAGGGATTCAAAGGTGAAATTGATCTGTTGAAGCGTTTGAACGGTGTGGAACGGGTTATTCAACTCATCGACCATGAGCTGAATCTGGAGAAGCAGGTTCTCAGTGTGGTAAGTGATGTTTTTGCAAGGAAAAAAGGTAGCGCCGGGTGCTAACTATATCACAGCTCATGGAAGTAGGCGAACTTGACTTCAACACGCTCCTCAAAAGCCGCCAGAGCACCGCAGAAGGCGCCCGTCTCGACCCGACCTTCATTCGTTATTACTGGAAAGAGATGCTTGAATGCGTGCAAGCCGTGCACGTCCGCGACGTCGTGCACAGCGATCTCAAGCCGGCCAATTTCGTCCTTGTGCAGGGCCGCCTCAAGCTCATCGACTTCGGCATCGCCAACGCCATCCAGACCGAGATGACGGTCAATGTGCACCGCGAAACGCAAATCGGCACGCCCAACTACATGTCGCCCGAATCCCTGATGGACTCGAACCAGTACGCCTTCACATCCGCGCAGAACGGCAAGTTCTGCATCCCGCCGCCGCTGAACCACCGCAGCCTCGGCGCGCCCAAGCTCATGAAGCTCGGCAAGCCCTCGGACGTCTGGTCGCTCGGCTGCATCTTGTATCAAATGGTCTACGGCCTGCCGCCCTTTGGTAAGATTGCCAACCAGATGTCGCGCTGCCAGGCCATCATCAACTGGTCGTACCAGATCGATTTCCCGGAAGCCACCGAGGACGGCAGTCGCGTGCCGCCCTCGGTCATCCGCACCATGCGCCGCTGTCTCAACCGCGAGCAGCGCGAGCGCCCCACGTGCGACGAGCTGCTGGCGGATACCGACCCGTTCCTGTACCCGCAGGAGTTCGACCCGTCGGTGTACGCGGCCGCAGAACATGGCAAGGTCCTGCCTGTCACGGAGGAGCTGTTGTCTAGGCTTATACAGAGCGTCGTGCAGAGGTGCAAGGAGAGGATGCCGACCGAGGCCGAGGTAGTAAATACGTGGCCGCAGGCGTACTGGGCTACTGTGAGGAAGGCGGTCATGGGTGCCACTGGCAATAATGCTGGTGGTGGTGGTGGGAGTGGGCAAGGGGGTGGCGGCCATCAGAGGTAGTAACTCGGTGGCCAGCCGGCCTTGTTCTCCCCCTTTTCCTTTTTTGTTGTTCATATATTGTTGGGAGATTCGATGGATTGTTCTTGTTAAAAGCGTTTGTGGCTTGGATACGATACCCTTGCTTTTGTTGGCAAGTTTCTGTTGGATGTTGTTGGATACCCCGATTAGACCTCGGTTGGTTTACTGGAAGTTGTGTATGGACTACCTTCTACAAGACGTGTGTGGCGGTTGGGAAGCAAGCGATTGCGTCTGGGAGCGGGTACGTTCGGGTATGTTCTGTGGCTGATGATTGTGGATCAAAAGAGCTGTTGGATGTATGTTTCACGCTGGAGTTGGATGGTGATGGCAGGGCGGCGGTCGTTTCTTTCTTTGTTGATTCTTACTTGCTTTGTTCCTCTTGTTATTACTTAACTGGTGACGAAGATTATGACTGGAAAGGGTGCATTGAGTTATTGGCGGGCGGGCGTTTCCTTTCTGTGACTATAAACTTTATTCCCTCTCATTGCTTGGATCATAATGTCATTGTTCAGAGCCACTGTGTTGGGCCAAGTCACTGCAGCGTTTAGTTAGTCGTCCATTACCTCTCTTCAACCGAATGTTAGATTTGTACATGCCATAGCGAATGGCTCGGCTTATCTTCAGCGCCTTCAAGCTCAGGGGCATTAGCCAGCTCTGGTGATGATATTTCACGAACCAGTATCAACTTTTATATGGACGCCTGATACTAGCCATAATTCCAATACCCGTTTTATAGTATGAACAAGAACAAATATGATACATGCCGTGTACGTCGGTATATCCCCTTGATCTTACACAACTAGTCTATAGTTGATCCGCAGTCACTCCTTTATCTGACCTGGAGGACAAACAGATATATGACGGAGGAAGCCAGGCAGGCCTTCTAACACCTCTCCACGAGCTCAGCATTGAACGAATGGTGCTCAATATCTCCCACCGCATTCCGCTGACTGTAACACATTGATTGTCGATCCATCCAGCAGTAGAAACGCATTAGAATCTCCCTCCGTCCGTTTCTGTCAAGAGCGTGCCATGCTTGCCACAAGTGTGCCATGCGGTCGGTGTGTTTATGGCTCGACTGTTCTGTTCCGTGTCGGCCTGCCCGGGGTTGTCGGCGCCCTCCCCTCCTCCTCTCCCTCTACTACACTCCCGCCAGACCATTTCCTCTCAACGGTTTCCATTCCCGTTCACGGTTTCCTCCTCCTCCCTTCCTCCCTCCCTTTTTGCCCTTCGTTTAGCAGTACACAGCCACCCTTTCAGAGGTTCGAAACATCATTGATCTTCAGCTGATTGATCCGCAAAACCGTGTACTTGTGCTTGCTGAACACGTGCTTCTTCTTCCTGCACCTCCGCTTCTTCTTGATCATGACGCGCATCGGCTCGCTCTCGGTGCCCATGACGACGGCGCGGCACTCAAACAGGCGCTCGTCCACGTACGGCGCGCCCTGGAGCGTCAGGTCGCGGGAACCAATAACCGAGGCCCGGTTGAGGCGCAAGACGTCGCCGGGTGCCACGCCGGGCATCTTGAACGGTAGCTTCACCGTGTCGCCCTCGGTCACGAGGTACGGCTTGCCGTGGATGTGGATGGTGGTGTAGTGGCCCGGCTGCGCGGCGAGCACGGGGAGGAGCTCCTTGACTTGCTGGCTTATCGGTGATGGTGTGCTGGGAACAGCCTCTGGTGTTGTGGGGGTGGTGGTGGTGGTGGTGGTGATGGTGGCGTTTGGTGGGCTGGCCTTGAACAGGGTGGCAGCAGCGGCAGCATCGGACTGGCTGGTGGGCTCAACTTGCTGAACAGTCTGGTGGAGGAAGCGAGCGGCGGGCGCGGCGGCGGGACGGAAGGGGAGGAGGAAAGACGGAGGGAGGCGCGTAACGGGAGTGCGCAGCTCCAGGACGGAGCGCAAAAGTGCCCTGCTCATGGTTGCGACTGGTGGTTTGGTGCGGTTCGGGGCGCAACGAAGGGGGAAGTTGTCGAGAGGTACGGTGGTGACGGAAGCCGTTCGTTCGGTGCTTCGATGGTTCTGGCTTGGACGGAGCTCCGCAATCCCGCGACCTGACTGCGTCTCGAAGCTGGCTGAGGAAAAATCGGGCCCCGTTTCTGGAGCGAACGGTCGTTGCTCGCGGCACCGCTGCGCCGGCAGAAAATAAAGCGGGGCTCTGGGCGTACATTCACCAATCACAGTCGCACTTTCCACCTAGGTGAGCACTTTCAAGATTAACTGATCAACCACGAAACGACAACACTCTCCCTCTCAGCATTACATGGACAAAATCATGACCAACAAGCTTATGGGGACCCAATTGCTGGAGCTTCTGCTGCGCCGCTCGCAATGGAGGAGGAAAAACAACAAAAACAGCCACAAAGAGCCGCGGGGTATAGCCCGGCAAGCTTCACGACGACCCCCACCTCACCGCGACCTTATACACGACGAAGAACATCCAATGAAGAGATAGAGAACCGCAGTCTTCGGTTGCGCAAAAAGAAAGACGAAAATGTGTTGTACACCTGGCCATGGGCTGGATCCTTGTCACTAGTAAATCGACCAAAAAAGAGAAAAAAAGAAGATTCCCCTCGACCGGAATCGAGCCGGTGACCTTTCGGTATACAATCTAGACAATTACAGCCGAACGTGATAGCCAACTACACCACAAGGGGTTTTTTTTGTTGAAGGGAAGCTTCCAATGAAGTTCTCTTATTCGGCAATAGGTTTTGCGTATTTTGGACTCTTTTCGCATTACCACGGCGGCATTGGTGAACAACACGGAGGAGGAGCACCGCACGCACAGGTGGAAATTTGGCCATTGGAAGACCCGTAAAAAGTCTTAATGAAACGAGTAAGTCATCTGAATAGCCTATGTATATCTACGAGTCACTTGCGATAAGTTATCGCAGAGTGTCTTCTCTCCGTCTCATTCATATTGCATATTGCACATGGGCACGTTAAAGTAGAAAATCATTTTGAAAGTTTATCAACTGTGTCATGTAGTACCAAATTCCCAAACTCCTGGCCACTAACAACGTTACATATTCTACTATCGTCTCTCCAACACAAAGACTTCTTTGACCATCAACACAACCCGTTGTTCAACACCCGCCCATTCTCCAACCATACCTACCTACCTACCTACCTAACAAAGGAATCCCCATTATGACAAATACCCTCGAGACTTTTTTTTTTTTCAAAGTTTTTCCAACATAACTTTCTTTTTCCAAACAAAATAACAATAACTGACAATTGCCAAAAGACGGTCTAGCCCGCCCGTAGCCTATCCCGCGGCATTGCACCACATGCCTTCAAATTGCATCTGCCATGTCCAAAAAAAAAAAGAAGACGATTCGGTTCGGTTCGGGAAGAAATACTACCCAGCAACTTTCCCACCTTCTTTTTCCACATTCGGGTAGGTTACACGCTCTAAATCTGCATCGCACCATGCATGTAAGGACCGCCATGAACACTGGTCCTTCTAGAGGTATTACGACTCGGCAGCGTGCTCTCGCCGCGCTCGATTGCACGACTCTCTTGGCATGCCCATGATGAGTCCGAGTCGCTATCGTCACCTTCATCATCCCAGCCACTAAGACCGGCTTTGATCTTGGTCATGAAGGAGCTGGCGGCGCTGGGCTGCTTTTGGTGCTTCTTGTCTTTGCTGCTGCCATGTGAACGGCCACGGGAGGCGGAACGCTCGCGGGTCTTGCTGGTTGATCTAGATGTACTGCCGAAATGGTCAGCAGCTTCGTTGAGACGAGTCTTTGAGAGCTTTCTGCGGGGGACGTGGGCGTGGATCTCCATGTGTATGCTAGCGCTGGGGGGATAGTGATGGGGTTGGGAGTGGGAATGGGATACTTGCCCTGTCTGGTGTTGCGGCATGTTGTAGCCGATCTTAATGTAAGGCTGGTGAGGCGGCGGCTGTTGCGGCACCGGCCCGCGGCCCCTTTCCCTTCTCTCCCTGTCGAGCTGTTCGAGTCGGAGTTCTTCGACGATGATCTTGGGCAGCTTTTCTCTGCCGGTGTGCTGAGGCGGGAGGGAAGGGGCCGGGCCGGGGTTCAAAAACCTTTGCGATTCCCGGATCGGAGCGTTCACATCGCCCCTCGGTGGCCGAGATGAATATGAGCTGAGCGGTACAGGGGGGGCAGGAGGCTCTCTGCCCTTGCCCTTGTGCGGGCGGCCCCCGTTTTTGGAGTGTGAGTTGCTTCTAGAGGTCGAACCAGATGATCCCCCGATGATCCTCGAAGATTTGGAAGAGTTGGGGGGAACAGCGGGCAGCGGCCTGTTCTGGTATTTGGAGGCTGACCCCACCGGCGCGGGAATGGTCGGCCCATTGGGGTTATAAGTAGTGGCAGGAAGCAGAGTGAGCTCAGGAGGTACGGAAGAAGACCTACCTTTTCCCTTCTCGAGGGCTGTGCGGGGCGCAGGACGGGGAGCAAGGGGAGGATGTCTCGAGCTTTCTCTGGACTTGCCTTTGGAGGTATCCTTGTTTCTTCCTCTCGGTGGCTCTGCTTGGGTGAATTCGTGTCCTCCAGTGGCGGATCCCTTCACAAGTGTGATGTTCGGAGGCCCCTTGACGGAGGCACTCCGGCCAAGTGGTACTTTATGCTTGCTCTCTGATCTGGGCTTCCTACCAGCCTTTTTGACTGCTTCGCTTCGGCAATTATCGCAAAGGCCCAAAAGTGGTGTTTTCATTTCTACTCGGGGGTGGGAGCAATACTTGGCCTTGGTGGAAAAGCATCCAAGCATACCGGTGCTGGCGTCATGGCCATTCTCACAGGCACGATAGTTCTTGATGGTATGTCCACATCCATACTTGGTCATGATAACCTTGCACATTTTGAAGTTTGGATGTGCTTGACGCGGTTTGTTGAGTTGCTTGAATATCGTAAGTGCGAATTTGCTTTGTGATTGGAGTGTCGTTCAATATCGTTTGATGCTTTTGCTTTCTTGTTAGACTCAGAATATGCAAAAGAGCTTGTTGGTCGACTCCTGAATCATCTCGAAGTGAAAAGATCTCACCCGTACTTATGTTCTTGAAAAATGATCCTGTTCCGTGTACAAAGACTGCCGTCTTAGACAGTCTTTCCGAGCCCCTTTGTTGTTTCTACACTTTGACTAGGAACAAGCCCATTGTCAAGCCTAAGGAACAGCTGGACTGTGCTTGACCTAGTTAGCCTAGTTCCCGTACAAAAGACAATGCCACTGTCCCGTCCCTATGATGCTCGGCAGACACCTTGCTCATTGACTTCCGAGTGAGCCGTCTTATTCCGCTTGATGCTTTCAACTTCGAGGTTTATGTCCTTGGTATGTTTCATTGTACGTGAACAGTCGTACAGACTGGCTGGCTGGCTGCCTCATCAGGCATTGACTTGATTGCCCGCTGCAAAAACAAGGGGTCATTGAGCTTGCTTTCACTCGGCTTGTTGAAGTCGCGATTCCGAGTGTTTTCATTGACGTTGACTTAGCTCGTTTGTTCCAAGTATTGACCTCGTAGTTCATGGTGGTGAGGTAGACCAGGTTTGATGTATGGGTACGAGGCGAAAGGTCATGAGCATGTGCACCTTGTCAACTTCGGCCAGTTCTTCCTTCTTTTCACCCATCGGCGTGTCAGAAAATTTTTGTGTCACGAGGGAACTAGTAAATCATGCAATACGAAACTCGAGCAAATGTGGTAGGAAACACCATAGCACAACCTCTTAAAGATATAGCACTAAGTTATGATAGTGTCGTTCTGAGAAGGACATCGAATCCCTGAGTCCAAGCCAAACACGCCACACTCGATGCAAAGCGGCTAATCAAGTCGTCCTTCTCTTTCATGTCAAACCCAAATTTCTGACCATCCGCTGGCCTAGGTAGCTACTGCCTTTTCGCTTCTTGCCATTAAGCATGATTAATCTCAACCTTCCAGGCTCCTCAGTGCGTAAACCACACATGCAACCAACTCCAACCGCTTAAATGCTCATCCTGACTCCAAAACACCTTCCCTCGCTGTTCCAATCATCCACCAGTGCCCCTGATCACCTCCTTTTGCCTGTTAAGCCAAAGCAAACGGTGAAAAGCCAAGTCAAGAAGCTTAGGCAAAACAATAACAATACCAGAAATCCCAGTAAAGGATAGTCTCCATGGTAGACATCCGTCAAAACAAACTATCGCAAGCCAACAACAGCTCCGAACTCCTCAAGGCACATGCTTCCGACCGGCTATCTCGCAAGAGACTTGGCGATATCTCCAAGAACCATAGCTTGCATCTTTGAACCCTAGTCGACACGGATGTCGTTCAATACCATGTGCTCCATCTCAATAGCTTGGCGAGTGCTTGGGCGTCCGGTTTTCTCGACGAAAGTCTTACTCATCGTCATATGCAGGCCCGGCGGCAGGCGATTCTGGCTGGTTTCGGTGGATTGATAGATCCGGATCTCTTCAAGGATGAGGCGGATGTTGTTTTCCGCAAAGCGAGCAAGCTCCGTCGCGGGCTTGCGACGGGTGGGATCAGCGTTGGTGCTCGGGGTAACCTTGGCCGGCTCGAACACAGCCCAGAGCATGATGGTCCCATGGCGGAGAGTGGCCTCCTTGAAGGCGAGAAGGCGCTCCCAGCAGTCGACATCTGCCATGAGAGCGGGATTCTGAGCAGCATACGCCTGGCCGGCCCAAGTAACCAGTTGAAAGAGATAGGCCAGGTCCAGCGGCGAGAGAGAACGAATGAAATCCAACTGGCGACTGTGAACTTCAAGCACGGACTCATCACCGTCGAGTTGCTGGGCCGTTGTCTTGTCGGCCGGTTCCATCCACTCCGACATCACATCCGCCGCACAGTCTGCCAGTCGATCCACCAACTTGAAAGCCTCTTTGACGCGGGCCATCAGAATATCCCGCTCGACTTTCGGAAGGTCGAGGAATGCGCCTGTGATAGAGAAAACGCTGTCGATCTTGTTGCGCAGCGGCTGTCCTTCACTCAAAAGAGTCTCGGTACGGCTTGTGCGGATGTCGAGCTCGTGAAGGATGTCGAAAGACTTGGAGTACAGGTACTCACGCTCGACCGAGTGTGAAGAGCAGATGGCACCGCGAGGAGGAATCAACGAGGAATCGCCGCCGGTGTATGTCTTGACAGCGTTCTTGACGATGGAACGCTCGTGCCTAACGATGAGCTCGTGGACCGCCTTGCTGGTACGCATCATGGCGGTGATGTCCTTAAGCTTGCTGAAGCCGGCAACGGCGAGGAGAATGTCGTCGTGAAGAGTCGGCATCTTGTTGACTGATGTTTTGTTCAGTGATGGTTGAAGATCGAGTGTTGTGTCGAGGCTGCTCTGGGTTTGGAATATTCCTGGAGAACCAGTGGTTGCTGAAGGGAGAAGAAGAATCGATGCCAATAGAGGTCCAGAGGAGGGAATAAATAGGGTGCGAGTAATGGAATAAAATGAGGCGCTGGCGACACCAAGGTTCTAAGATCCAAAAGTGAATTGTGTTTAAGTGAAGCTGTATCCAAGCGAGTGTAGCGTGAAGGGTTAAAAGTCGATCATGTTGGGCCGTCAAGGTTTATCTGCTGGTGAATATATAAGACCCCGTGAAGAGGAGCAGGAACCTGAGTAGGGGAAAGAACTGGCGGTGGTGAAGATGAGCGAGGAAGTAGTGGCAGGGGTCTAGTCTAAGGTTGCCCATGACGATTGGTACATGAGACGAATTGGGGACCTTGACGGCCACTGCCAGTCATGATAAGTGTTTTGGGTCCTTGGGGTGTCCAACAAGGTCCTCATTCGTCGGCAGGCACAACCTATGAAACTGGGGTGGAACGACCTGGAATCCCGCCTTTGAGGGGAACAACCTCTAGATAGATATGGGCCACGATGAGTGACTCGCCTACCCAATGTGAACCCTACCATGTTACTCCATGCATCCCTTCTCCTCTGACTGAGCGGCAATAGGCTGGTAAAGAAAAGTTCGGCACATCATTGCGCGAATCTTTCTTTCAATGCACCCTTATAGGCAGAAGGCTGGCCATCAAGGTTGCTGGTGGAGCCTTTCATTGTGGAGAGGTGAATGTCATGTCGACATCTTCGGGACGGAAAGTGATGGTGTCATGCTCGGACGGCTTGGACAGGTTTGGGTGACGAGCACGCCATGGTTTTAGCGACGTACTAGGGCGAGAGGTTGATGTATGCGTGAATGTCCTTGTTCCGTTCCTTATTGTTCTTCAGTTCATGCGCCTGAACCTCAACACCACCACAAGTTCTCGCGATTCTCCCGCTCCATCAAATCTTCCGTTGATGAACATAGACATGTTTACGCATGAGCCACCATTAGCCACCCTAACGCACCCGCTGAGTATCGAGCCCATCTCACAGAGTGGCCAAGGCAGGTACGCGTACGCCAATTCCACTACGCCTTTCGATCTTTCCAGCATTGATGCTCCAAATACAGGTGTCGCAAAAAGAAATATGGTGTTCAGAGCCATCCGTGACTGTAGCTGGCGGTAACCCATAGGCCTTAAAACAACCACCAACGCCATGTGATGCGGTAAAATGTGTCTTATTCCTTTCTTCCGCCTATCGATACATGTACTCGGGCGAAAAGGCTGTCCGTTATGGCGCCACGATATCCTACGCCGAGTGCTTTGTCACTGTGAGTCGCTTCCCCGCCAGTGACATTATCTTCTCGATCAGGGTTCTTTCCTCGTCAAGCTTGGCGATGTCGTCGGAGCCTCCTATGCTAATACCGCCGACGAGAATGTTGGGAACCGTCCTTCTTCCTGTCCTCTCGCCGAGCTCAGCCTGGATTCCGGGGCCCAACGGGTGTTGGTCCAGTTCGACGACGAAGGGCGCAGGGTCGATCTGGTATTCACCCAGCAAAAGATTCTTCGCTTTCTTTGAGTAAGGGCAATAGCTTTTGGAGAAAATGATGACTGATAGCAACATGGTTAGCGCTAATTCTTCTGGACGATGGAATCGTACAATGGTCGCAAAAACGTAACGCCCTGACTTACTTGGTGACTTCTTGAGAATGTTCCTAAGTTCCTCCAGGACCGCGTGGTGCTCCTCGGTCTCGCTGGACTCCTCTCCCTTGGAAAGATGGTTCTGTCCGTGAGCCGAGCTGCCAACGCCAACGATATCTTCGGGGTCGTCGGGCTTGTTGGGGGCCTTTGCATTAGCGTTGTTCTTTGCCATCTGCTCTGCTTTCCTGAGGCGTTCCTGCATAGCCTTGGCCACAATCGCATCGTCCTCGTCAATCTCCATCTTATGTGGGTTCACCACCGCTTGTCCCCTCCTACTGCCGCCGCCTATCCTCGTCCCTTCCATTGCATTTTTCGTCTTCTGGTAAAAGTCTTGGATCGAACGCGGATCGGGCTCTTGGGCATGGCGAGCACGTGAGGTGAAGAAGAGCAACGTAATGAAGCCGGCTAAGGCGATGTAGAGCAGTGCCCTCATGCGTCGTTGGGAAGGCATGGCGGGTGGATATAAATGCTAAAACCGAGAGGTTAAGGATGGTATAGCAAAGGCGTTGCAACGGGACTGATCGGCCGAAATAAGGGATGGCGCCCAGTTAAGGGTGTGGTGACGATAGCGTAAATATTGTTTGATTCAACAATGGAGAAAAGCGCAGAGATAGGGCATTCTTCGCGGGTTCAGGAGAGGTCGCGCCGCAGCTCAGGTATGCTATGTGCGTATATTTCCGAAGGACAAATGAGCTGCTTATGCTGAGTCTGCTTGCTTTCGACGACAAATACAGTATACGGACGATGGGGTAACTGGAAAAAGTCGCGGCGCGTTCGTGGTATGGGACGTCCGGACTGAAGGAGCTGGATCGAAGCTGGGGACGAGAGAATGTCGTCGGAAAGGAGCTTCGATAGGCGTTCGGTTTCCAGGCAGCGCAGCACCGCGGGGAGGAGCGGAGAGAAAAGAAGAGGAGAGAGACTGGAGAAAAGTGGAAGTTTTGAACGGCAACGGAGGCGGAGATGGCGACCGACGGGGACCTCGCAGAAGTTGTACCTAGCACGCTCTGGTAGCGCGACATGGAAATTGGGACTTTGGAGGAGTTCCCGCTGTAATTCCCCCGTCAAGCCCGTCACGAGCCCGTAACCACCGGCCGCCGAAAGGAGCTAGGGAACGCCCTGCATTTTGGTGGCCCTCATTTTCACAGTGCGCAATTGGTCTTCTGATCACCTGCTTGACTGGGAGTTCTGTCCTTGCCGAGGCATCGCTGCTCGTCCACTTCAAGATCCAGGACAATCCGAGGTCAAATCGAGCATGAAAAAGTGGAAAACGAAAGACCTCATTGTAATGATGAGACATCGAATTGAATCATAATACAGTTTGAAGACGTTGAAATCGATGGCAGGTGCTGACATGGCAGGAACGACTGCCCGAGTGCAGTAAATTGAAGCCGGTGCCTGATAGAGGGGACAGAATGGGTATTAAAACTGTGCTGAAATGTTCCCCGCGTGCCGATCATGCACACTATCGTTCCGCTGCAGGGGAAAGTACGACAGACTGGGATTGTCGGCCTGGGGATGGTTTATTTTCAGAAAGAAGCCCCGAGCATCTTGATCCCTTTCCATGCTCACTTTGGACACGAACTCCAAATTCCATGGCTCTGTATCGCTGGGTACCTTTTTTCAATGTCAGGACTCTGAACCGTGATTAGCCGACCGAGAAAGCTTGTAAAAAAGCTTATGTGGTCTCAAAAGCTTGCTTGATCAAAGCAGGGAACGAAGAAGGGCTCTCCCGGGATTCTCTCCTATGCTTCGATTTTTCATACACACACCATGGGGATTTTGGATTGGACTTCTCAGAAGACAATACTGATACTCATGAGGCGAAGCAGTAATATAATACAAATATCAGCCTCAACATGGGAATGACTGAGAGAGCAAACATTGCCCATTTACCAGAACGGAAACCGCAGCAAATCTCCGCCGTCTTGGTGATACGTCATTGGGCATCGTACGGGCTAACAGCTGCCCGTTTACCTCTTGAGCCAACTTGCCAAGGCCTGTGTATAAAATAATACTGCAACATCAAACCAATGTTTAAAATTCTTCCGACTTCTTCTCTCCTGTTTTACTAATCATCCAGAAAACATGCTTTATAATCAAAAAGACCAATCATTGTTCGGAAACCCCATCAAGTTCCTTGCATACACCGGATCCTGAAAGCAACGCAACTTGAGTTACGCGAGAACATCATGATCATGGTTTACTTATCATGGATTGAGACACTCGACTTGAGACCGCGAACTTGAGAGATGCAAGTGTTTACACCCGAAAGACTCCCGTCCAAAGGGGTCGGCACTTGAACACAAATGGACGAACCATGCTGTTATACAGCCTTAAAAACCGGCAAAACCGATGAGGACTTATATCAACAACATAGGTACAGAGCAAGAAGCAAGAACTGGGCCATGTACTTCGTTGTGATAGCTGCCTTTGATTCTTGTCAGCATGTTGTATTTCTAAGCGAGCCTTCCTCAACTACAAACAACGACATATGAGGATGCCCAGCTGATGTGTGCTTACAAATTGTATACGTGCTGTCAATGCTGGATGAAGAAGAACATGATCACGCAATTCCGAATCCTCTTACATACCTAGAAGAGAAGGATAAGTATGGCTGGAAGGAACAGTTCAAACCCATAAGTTATCAACTCAGGTCAAGCCTTCTGTTCTGAACCATCATCTTGCTTCATCCAAAAGTTAATTACCTATAAAGGATCAACATAACAACTACTATTGTTTCATTGACCACACAACAAAGAACTTCCTCGTTTTGAAACCAAACACATCAACAACCATGGCAACCACCACCACCACCCCGCTCCCAGCCGGCATCCCCTCAACCCACCCAGCCGTAGTCATCACCGCCCCCCGTGCGCCCCTCTCCATCCTCCAGCGGCCCACCGAACCCCCTGGGCCGGGTGAAGCCCTGGTCCACATAGAATGGACCTCTTCCACTCCCCTCGACCTACACCAAGCCGATGGCAGTCTTCTCATCGACCCCCCACACGTCGGCGGTTCCAGCTTCGGGGGCACCGTCCTCGCCCTCGGCCCCGTCGATGCCAACAGCACCACCGCCGCCGCTGCTCACAGCAAGCTGAGTGTCGGCGACCAAGTATTCGGCATGGCCTGGCGGGAGTCTCGCGAGCGCGGATTCCAGACGTTCATCACTGCGCCGACTTACCTGATGAGTAAATTGCCTAAGGGGACGACGATGCAAGAGGCTGTGACGGTGTCGACGAACTTGGTGACGGTTTTGCATACGTTTACCAAGGATTTGGAGTTGGAGATGCCGCAGTGGTTTGTTGATTCTTCCCCCTCTTCTTCCAATGCAAAGAAGCATACATCGAAAGGGGATAAGGGGGACAAGAAGCAATGGATCCTAGTCTGGGGTGCGGCAAGCAGTGTAGGCCAATACGCCTTGCAGGTGTTGAAGAATTGGGGGTATCGCAATGTGATTGCTGTCGCGAGCAAAAGACATCATCAGGATCTGTTGACGCTGGGGGCGGCGGTTTGTTTTGATTATGCACAGGAAGATGTGACGGATTTGATCCGGAGCCATGTAGTGGCGGCTGCTGCTGCGTCATCGGCGTCGTCGTCGTCTCCAGATAATGATGCAGCAATCCCGTTGGTGCTCGATTGTATCGGTTCGTTGGAGGGGTCGTTGAGACCGCTGACTAGGCTGGCGGAGAAGGGAACGAAGGTGGCTGTTATGTTGCCAGTTATCAACAAGCATGCTACTGAGGATGAGCCGCCGGAGTATGAGATGGATGCTACCAAGGTTCTGGAGGGAGAATGGAAGGATGGAGTTGTTTTGAGGGGAGTGAGGACCCATCACTATACTTATGTGAGTTCCCCTCGGTGAAAAATCTCCCAGTTATATGCTCCAGGAAGTTCGCTGACACCAATGATAGAACGAGTTCATGAAGAATCACGCTCAACCAGACATTGTCCCGGCTTTGCTGGAGCAGGGGGTGGTCAAGCCGAACAAGCAGAGAATTGTTGAAGGCGCCACATTGCTCGAGCGCGCTACAAATGCTCTCAAAAATCCTTAGGGATAGAGCACAGTCGGGCGAAAAGCTTGTATGGAGGGTTGATGAAAAGTCGGCTCGTGAGCTGTTCCCGGATCTCCTCGTCTCGAAGGCTGATCCCACAAAAGCCGGCACCATCATCTAAACCGCCAACAATACTCTGCTTCCTGACCTAGGACCAATACATTAGCAGGACTTCTTACTGGGGCTAATTGAATAGAAAGCATATGTCAGTCCCTCACTCTTTGACAACTTCCCCATTGTGAGATCTTAAAGCCCCATCACAGGGCATGACTTGAGAGTGTTTGCCTACATCTATGATACTAGATAATACCTAGGCGGTCATTATTTTTGCAAACTTTATGACGGTTGCTTTCAACCCGGAACAGAGAAAGCCCGGTCTTGAAGTAGTCTGAGTATTGGGCCAAGAGCACTTAATATGGCCCATCATCTTCAGTGATTCCTCCAATCGAGGCGATGTTTCGTGACCGGGTAGAGGAACCAGCAAGAGCAGATATCAGGAAACAAAAGCCTCGGATCCAATTGCCGGGAATCAATTCAGCGTAGTCTCGAGGTGGATCGACTCAGGAGCTCGATGAGCAATTTGCGGGGTAGTAGCATTGATGTTCCGGCTGTTTCAAGCCGTATTAGGAAATATGATGAGCTCCTTCCGGGAATTTCGTATCCTGAAGAAACAAACGAGACATTGAAGGACCGATTCCCGCAGAGTACGCCCCTTCACGATGCCACCTAAAATCCCATCAATCAGGCAGGGGTGAAACCCAGCCTAGGGAGCATGGCGATGTCATCGTCGCTTGACGGCGATGGTTTTCTTTAAAAGATAGGCATGTCCACCTTGGCGTCTCTAGGAAACAGTCAAGCTGTTGCTCAACAGGACCCAGGCTTTCACGGCTGAACACCAACATGCTTCTTTCGGTGCTGTCGGCCGTCCTCGGCCTTTCAGCCTCAGCTGCTGCTGCCCTCACCTACAAAGGTGTTGACTGGTCGTCTGTGGCGGTGGAAGAGAAGACCGGCGTCTCTTACAAGAATGTGAACGGTGGTGCCCAGCCCATCGAGCAGATCCTGCGAGACAGCGGCGTCAACACGGTCCGTCAACGGGTATGGGTAAATCCATCCGGAGGCACATACAACATGGCCTATAACATCAACCTGGCCAAGAGGGCGAAGAACGCTGGGCTTGGTGTTTATGTTGACTTCCACTTCAGTGACACTTGGGCGGACCCGGCGCACCAGTCGATTCCTTCGGGATGGCCAACTGCCATTGACGACCTGGCTTGGAAGCTGTACAACTACACACTCGATGCGTCGAACCAGTTTCAGGATAACGGTATCCAGCCAACCATCATGTCCATCGGCAACGAAATTACCGGCGGTCTCCTTTGGCCAACGGGAGGCACTTCCTCGTGGCATAACATCGCGCGCTTGCTCCACTCGGCATCTGCCGGTATCAAGGACTCGAGGCTGAGCCCCAAGCCCAAGATCATGATCCATCTTGATAACGGATGGTAAGTTTTCGTGCTGTTTGACAGCCGCATGCTGTATAAGGCTAACTCTGTTCAACAACGACAGGAACTGGAACACCCAGAATAACTGGTACACAAATGTGTTGAAGCAAGGGCCCCTGGTTTCTTCGGACTATGACATGATGGGGGTCTCCTTCTACCCCTTCTACTCGGCCTCGGCGACTCTGGCGTCCTTGAAGTCGAGCTTGACAAACATGGCCAACAAATGGGGCAAGGAGCTCGTCGTTGCTGAGACCGACTGGCCAATCTCTTGCCCCAACCCAGCCTATGCGTTCCCGTCAGACGCCAAGAGCATTCCCTTCACGGCCGCGGGACAGTCGCAGTGGATCAAGGCCATCGCAGACGTGGTAGCTTCGGTGCACAAGGGCAATGGGCTGTTCTATTGGGAGCCCGCTTGGATTCATAATGCCAACTTGGGCTCGTCGTGTGCGAATAACTGCATGTTCTCGAACTCGGGGCAGGCGTTGTCCAGTCTGTCAGTGTTCCGTAACATCTGAGGGCGAGCGGTGAGGGTAAAAGGGATAGCGAAGAGATTTATATGTCCAGATGTGTTAGATATTATGGAGTCACATGATGACGCTAGTTGCCTCCAAAACACCACGGTGTAAAAAGAGGATATAAGGGAATCCATGACTAACGAAACTGTTGTGCTCAAAGTGTATGAGGCCAAGGGTGAAAATGAACTTTGAATTAGTAGAGTTGACTCTGAGGAAAAGAAAGACGGTGGCTTGCTGGAGAGTGGCAGAATGTGTAGTCACCCGTTGACTGGTTCGTAGCGAAATGACACAGCAACATGTCTAAAGTGACGATGCTTCATCCGCCAGTCGCGACGGAGACCGCGTCACCGTGGTGTGTACCGTGATGGCTCGCGCCTCTTGTTTAAGAGGTAATGCGCCACAGGCTGGCTCATGCATGCACTGCCAAAACCTTGGTTGCCAAGCCACAGGTGCAGCTCCAGCCACAGAACACACCAGTTGCGCAGGGGCGGGGCTGTTGAGGGCACAGAGCCCTACGAATTTTCCCTGGTGGGTCCTACGGGCAGACGTGCACCGCCCACCCGCCCGTGCCACTGGCTGGAGGTTTTGCTTGCTGTGAGGGCCGGAATCCTAAATCCACTGCCATCATCGCGACAGTCAGATTTTCGCTCTTCGATACCCCGACGAACAGCGAAATCGTGATCACCAACCACCTACCGCAAAGATGGCTGACGAATACGTACGTGCCCTTCATTTCATGATAACGATATGATGCTACATACGTACCATCATGTTGCCCTCCCCAGCGGACGGTGGCCATGATCGAATTGGCCTCCCGACGACGACAACCACACACCCACAAAAATGCACATCCTTAGGATGAGAATGACAAAGAAGGGAGAACGAAAGACTGACCTCGCACGCTGCAGAACGCCGAGGAGGCCGCTGAGCTCAAGAAGAAGAGAACCTTCCGCAAGTTCTCTTACAGGGGTATCGATCTCGATGCGTAGGTTCACCCGTTTTCTCGCCATGATGAAGTTATTCCAGAATCCGGAGAGAGCAAGCCATCAGCCAGACAGCCAGCCAGACGACCGAACCGAACCGACGGAGGATCTCACGAGATATTTCGAAACAGACGCGCGACGTCATTTCGACAACGAGAAGAGAAGGGAAAGGGGGAAGCGGCGACTCGACAACGACTACTGGGGGAATTGGCAGTTCTGGGATGACTCGACCGGCTTGCTCGACTTTGGATGGGAATATATCTTTGGCGCTCGCAATGCGCCATGACACATGAAAGCAACATGTGCTGACAGCAACCTCTTCTGTGCAGTCTCCTCGACCTTGGCTCCGATGAGCTCCGCGATGTCGTTCACGCCCGTGCTCGTCGCAGGATCAACCGCGGCCTCAAGCGCAAGCCCATGGGCTTGATCAAGAAGCTCCGCAAGGCTAAGCAGGAGGCTAAGCCCAACGAGAAGCCCGACCTCGTCAAGACCCACCTCCGTGACATGATCGTTGTCCCCGAGATGATTGGCAGCGTCATCGGCATCTACTCCGGCAAGGAGTTCAACCAGGTTGAGATCAAGCCTGAGATGGTTGGCCACTACCTCGCTGAGTTCTCTATCTCCTAGTAAGTACTCCCCACCGCCTGAAGAGCTGGGAGACATGTGTACTGACCCCCATTACAGCAAGCCCGTCAAGCACGGTCGCCCCGGTATCGGTGCTACCCACTCTTCTCGTTTCATTCCTCTCAAGTAAATGCTCTGGGAAATGGGTGGTACTTGCATTCTGTCTCAAATCATGGGTTCGGCGAATACGGACGCGGGTTTGCTCATTTGTTTATGGCATGGACAAAAGTGCCAGGGGCTATCTTAGTTTTGACGAGATAGTGCAAACGAGTAATGACGAGTGCAACGTTCTAGGTGATCACACACATAGCTCTCGTCCGCGGATTCCTTGACTAGACTTGCTGAATGAAGAGAAACAATGAAAACAGAACGCCCCTTGTTCATCGTGTACCAATCGGGCATGACCAAACTATAAAACTGCTTATGACGCTTCTAAAGCATGAGACCTGGCCTTAGCCTTACTACCATCCCGCTGATTGATCATTTTTAGTATCAACATCAAGACTTCACCATCAACCGATACACACATACACCATTACGTACGCGCCATCTGAGTAACCTTCACCTCCCAGGGACACAAGCCAGACAAATCAAACCAAAGCCATCCGCAGCACACCAACGCTTCCTTTTCAATCACAGGACAAGCCCTCAACGGTCCAGACCTGCGAGACACTCCGCGCAATCCAACAAACACTCCCTGCAACTCCTCAAACACGCAAACACTCCCCCAAAAAATCGACGCGCCGCCCTTCACAGCACGCCGCAATAATAGCCTATAAACGTATCCCTGCACGTCGCACATTCACACACGAACCCCTTTTCCCTCTTCCCATAATCCCACGTCAACTGCTCGCCCTCCTTGATATCCTTCTTGGCCTGCACGCAAATGTGTTTGGGTTTCACGAAGTGAGCCAGCCCCGAGGCACCGATACGCCACTCGCAATTTGGGCCGCGCTCGATGCGCTTACGCGTCACATAGGTGGAGGAGGATTGAGGAGGGGTGCAACAGTGGTTGATGAGGGAGCCGAGGAGGTAAATGCAGGCGTCGGAGTTTGTTTTGGTCGACAGGGCTGTTGGAGTTGTTGTTGTTGATACGGGTGTCAGGTTGCTGGTGGTGGTGGCGGCTGCTGTTGTTGGTAATATCGGCACCGAGACCGGTGGTGGTGGTGGTGGTGATGGGAGATGAGGAATGTTAGATGTTGCTGGAACAGTGGCTGTCCGTTTCGCCTGAAAAGCATAATGCTTGAAGAAATCCAGACAAGCCTTCTGTCGGTCCTCCTCCGTCGGTTTGGCAATGAGCATCTCCCTCACGCCCGCCACGTACGTCTCGTACTCCTCTTGCGTGATGGTCGAGCCGGCGAAGCGGCCGTGCATGAGGTTCTTGCCGAAGAACTTCTTCATTGATCCCGCAACGTCGGGCTCAGCGGACTCGGCAGAGAAGATGGGGTTGGCTTCGTCCCAGGAGGCGGGCGGGAACCCGTTGCGGGCGGCAAGTAAGGGGAAAGCGAGCGTGACGACGTCTTGGCCGCCGTCGGCGAGGGCAGCCTTGTAGGCCTGGTACTGGCTGTGCATCAGGGAGGCGTCGGCTGAGAATTTTTCGTTGAAGAGGGCTGTCATGAGAGGAGCCTCGTGGAAGATGAATTCGTCTTTGGTGAGGTCGCGGGCGGCGAAGAGGCCGTAGCCTACGCCTGCGCTCACCAGGCCAATGCGGACAGCTGGGGCATCCTTGGGCGCATTACGGAGGAACTTGGCTGGCAGCTGTGCGAGTGAGATGATGGATGGTGTTAGTCATGTCAATAAAGTTGAGTAAGAAGCAGGCCGATGTTATCATGGAGTTGATGGAGCGTGGGTACAATTTTGTTAGGAGACTACACAACGAGAGTAACGGTTGAGTTCTTGGCAGTGGAAATTAAGCATGTGATGATGCCTAGGATGTTGACACGATTGAAATTTTCAACATGCCTTGGCTTGCTTCGCAGCATCGAATCCTTCGTCTTCGTTAGAGGTCTTTGTTGTTTGTTTCTTTGGTCGATGAGTGCTCGCCATACTGGTGTCAGCTTTGAGCCCTGACCTGAGAAACCAGTAAGACGATTGTGCGCATGAACAAGTCTAGCTGGGTCGCGTGCGCACAACCCAGGCGGATCGATGAGTAACTCCCGCGCGGTGACTCGAAGGTTGAGAAGAAGAGAAGAAGCAACCGGCTAGGGTTTGAATGCGATCAATTCCGACAGAAGAGCACGGAAGAAAGAAAGAGTAAAAAAACCTGTGATGTTTCGGCAATTGACGTTGGTGGGTTGATGATGATTCCTGGTGTGCGACTATGTACACGTATGAGGAAGGTAACTTTCTGAAAATGTTGCCACAAACGGCCCCTTGTCAATAAAACGGGAAGGAGGAGTCTAACGTCTAACGTAAATACGATGGGAGGAAGTAGTGCTAGTTGGCCGCCGCCGCCAGCTTCTTCGCCTTACGCTCCTCTTCGTCAAGGTGCTGCTTCCTGTAGACCTCGACAACCTTGTCCATACGGATATAAGTACCGGCCGGGACATTGCGAGCGCTACCGTGCTGCAAGAGCCTGTCACGTGGTCAGCTTGTAGGTCGCACCCGATGGTATCTTGTGGGATGTGAAGCAGAAAAGCAAGGATGAGAAGCACGGAGGTCGATGGCAAGCTGTCAATCCATTCTGCGACTGCCTGCGCATTGGAACGAGTCGAAGACACACGAAGCATTGATGGCGTCCAATACCATAAGGACAACATCTTGTTGCCTAGCCCGAACCACAAGCTCCGAAGAGCTCTCCCATCTTGTGTAACAGCAGCCATGACCTATCGTATGTGAAAATGGGTGGAATGCCATTGGGATTGTGGTGTTGCGCAATGTTGGATATGTGAGAAAGATGAAGCACATCTTGGGTCGCAAGGCTTGCCCGTCCACATTTGGAGCCTCGTAACGAGAAATTGGAATTGATAACGTACTCTGGATACTTCATCTCGTAGTGTCCGCTCCTCAGGTTGTCGGCATAGTAGAAGAGGTGCTTGTCGTGAGCAGCCTGCTCGATGGCGGCCGTCATAAGAGCGTTCTTGTCGGCCAACGCCTCTGAGTGCTCCTCCCACTTCTGCAACCAACTGGTAATCTTGTTTGGCTGTCCGTCCTTGCCCGGCCGAGAGAAGTAGTAGAGCGCACCGAATGCGGGGATGGCGCCGAATATCACGTAGAAGGCACTCTGTAACCAGTAGGTTAGCCTCCAAGTTGATATGACGATATGTTCCCCCATTCCTCCAGCTATAACACGAAGGTGGCCCTGTTCCCCACACTGTATTTATGAACGTACTCCAAGCTCCTCGTTGACAGAGTGGTGGTGATGGTGCTCCTCATGGCCGGCAGAGCTGTGGGCATGGTTGGCCGAGTGATCGTGGCTGTCGGAGGCATACCTCCTCGTGTTGCGCACACAAGGGACCCGAACCTGGCGGGCGACCCTCGAGGCTCCCAGTCTGAAGGAAGACATGGCTGTCGTCGACTTATATCGTGTAATTGACAAGTGCGGAGCGCGAGTCGTGCGTCGACGGGGATAGTGGACCCTTTCTCTCCTCCTGGCGGAGTGACCCCGGGATCCTCCTTTCTGCGGGGAGATGCGATAAGAAACGTTGACCTTGAGACGGTCTCGGGAGAAAGCGTGGTGATTGCGCAAACCAGAGTATGCGCCGGTTGATAGTATCGAGACTCAGCCTTTCGGGCTTTGAAGAGACCAGGCGCAAGCTGCAAACCAGATCGTCGTCACGACTGGTAGGTAGCTTGGCGGGCAGAAGGTACGGTACGGGTGTACCGCAGCCCCGATTGCTAGGTCATATCTGCACGTGATTTGAGATGCGGTCCGAAAGTCAAGCCAAGGAGGCCCTTGCCTTCGAAGACAGTTCCCGCGATGCCAAGATCCTATCTCAGCGCTCCCAGGCTTGGAGCCACGCTGTCGGGATGGAGGCTCACAGAAGCCTTCAGAGCGCTGGAGTTCATAGAATCGGACAAGGTGTTCATAGAGGCAAAATCCACTTGAGTATCAAACACACTGTCCTTTTTGATCTTCCTTGACTCATCTTGAACCTTGAAAAGACTTTAAAGCTTTCTTGTTCACAATTGAAGCTTACTTTTCTCTGTTCACACTCAAACAAAATCAAGGAATCTTCGCGTTGTGAAGTCTACAACTCCAACCTCGCCATCACAACCCTCACTGCCTTCGCCTTTAACAGCGCTAAGCGTATAAGAGACTCAAACCACCAACGTCCCAGTCACTCACTTCGATCAAACAAACCAATACTCGCTTACACATACAACACAATGCCGAAGCTAAAACTACACTCGCTTCCACTGAGTCTCTTAGCACTCCTAGGAGTTGCCCTAGCCGGCGTCTCAGCCTCAGCATCCTCTTCATCATCACCAGCAAACTCGGACGAAGAAGTCGAACTCATCTGCCACACCTCCAACCCAGCAGAATGCTACCCCAAGATCTTCCAGCCCACCTCCGAATTCCAAATCGTCTACCCAGGCCAGGATCTTCCCGTGGGGCTTCACGTCCGTCTAAACATCTACACCGGCCAAAAGGAAGCCAAGATCAACGTCCCCGATGAAGCCGTCGACTCGTCTCTCGAAGGGTTCCCCGTCGACAAGTCCATCGTGATCGTGGACCCAGAAGAAGAAGAGCCTTCCGAAGAACATTTTGACCAACCACTCAAACCGCCCAAAAATGCCCCCGCCTACGACCCAGACGGCAAGATCAAGGAGCCCAGGAAAGAAACCGCCGAGTCGCAGGAGGAAGGCTCAGCCTTCTACAAATCCTTGACTATCCTCAAGAAGGGGCTAGATATCGACCAAGCCCTGGAAATGCTCGAGGAAATTTCCCACGATATCTACTACGGGCTCAAGATCGCCGAGGACTACGATACCGTCCGCGAGCTTTTCTGCTTGGCTAACTCGGCTTCCATATTCTCTTCTTCTTCTTCTTCTGCTGAAGGACCATCAAAAGAAAAAGACCTCACCCGCCCTCGCGCCCGCCTAGCAGCCCTCACCATCTCCTCGACCGTCCAAAACAACCCCAAGGCTTTGGCGGAAATTAGCAAGCATTGGACCACCGGCGGCCTTTCACAAGACACTTGCAGCACCTACTCCAAGTCCAACTCCAAGTCCAGCTCCAAGTCACAGGAGTCAGAGTCAGAACCGCTACAAATCTCCACTTTCCGTCTCCTTCCCTCCTCCTCCTCCACCTCTCTTTCTTCGGCAGTCCCAGCCTCCCTAATCAAAGCCCGCATCTCCGCCATCTCGGGGCTCCTCAAGTCCCCTCCAATCCGCCAATCCTTCCTCTCCGCCAACGGCATGGACCTGCTCCTTCAGGTCCTCCTCCTTGATACCCCTGTCGCTTCTCAAGCCCAGGGAGAAGAATGGGAAAAAGTCCGGCGCCAAGCCGGCCATCTGATCCTTGACAACTTCCTGGACGAGAATATGGGCGCCGTATTGGGAGAGTGGCCTAACGCTGTGAGGGAGGTGCAAGCTAGTGATAAGGAGTGTGCCAGCCGTACTCAGAGTCAGGGTGATGATGAGAAGAGCAAGGAGGGTCAGGGTCAGGGTGACTGTTGGGATTGGCACGCTAAGCAGCTTGCTGATAGGTACAAGAAGGAAGGAAAGGGAGGGAAGGGCCACTGGAGCTGGGAGTTGTGGAATAAGTTGAATGAGCAGAGGAAGAATAATGCTTCAAGCAGCAAGAAGAATAAGGGTGCTAAGAAGGATGAGTTGTGAGCGGAAGACTTATTGAGGTCTGCGGTCATACTTGGGATTATCTTTTGAGCTGGTCAAAGGCGCCATGCAGAAAATAGAGTTTTAGACCATTGTTTTCGTGATTCCACCTAACGGACAACTTCGTGGGAGGGGTTTGCACATATTTGTCGATTAACTTGTAAGCGACGCCCCAAGGCTTGGAAGCTTGCTGTACTGTACACATGTATAATCACATCACATTCACGAAAGCGATCATTTTGGTCAGGAAAGTCACGAGCATCCATTAATCTACGAAAGATAACCTCGACGAATTCCATTTTCCTTCTCGCGCTGACGAAAACAACCAAGTAAACCATGGGTTATATACGCTTTGATTCTCAAGACCAATCGATCAACCGGAAACAAAAGCCCTGGCGATAAAATCCCGGCCAGCATGCGAAAAGACTTCATGTGGAAAGGCTCGACAACAAAATGCAATCAACCGCTCCATCTGTCTCTGCTGGTCTGACCTTATTTGAACTCTACCCGCCCAATACACTTCAAAGAAACTGTCGTGGTCTATGCCGACCTTGTAGCACTCGCACTCGCTATGTCTTTTTTGTTTGCTTTGGTTTTACTGTTCTGTCGTCATCAATTATTGATGTTTGGCTTCAGCTAGAAGTGCCAGTAACAACAGCGACTTGCTCCCAGTCCGCATGTAGCCATAGATGCCAAGAAGATGACTCTCAGTGATGTTGGCCATGCGCTTCGCTCGTCGTGGACGATCAGCCCTAGTGCCGGCAGTAAATAAAGAAGCCCAGTATGGGTGGTCATCAACTGTCTTGAATGGCCCAGCGTACATTTGAATGGTATGTTGGGTCATGATCCTCCTAGTTCTCGACTTTCAAAGTGACTCTACCCAGCTTGGTGTATTTTGTAAGGGATCATGGGCGGCGAACTTTGCGCCTACATGATTTGCGACCTTTGAGAGCCACTATTGCCTGTCCTTGGAGATATGTGATGATCCGTTTGTATCCGGGGAGGATGAATAATGAGAAAGGGAAGGAGACCTACAGCCAAGACCGACTTGGAAATGGCTGAGAGAATGACGATGTAGAATTGCTTGGTGTACATGAAATGAAACAGACTGCTTTGCTCCGGCGGTTCTGCTCGGACTCGCTTGGTTCCGAAGAATGTTGAGAGGCAGCTCTGGGCACTACTTGTCGTTAGGCCGGCCGCCGGTATTACCGAAGCCGTTCAGGTTCCACCCAGGATATTTGGACGCCGATGCGTTTCCGTTGGAAGCTTCGGGCTGCGGGGGGATATTGGGAAGACCACTTCCCGGTTCCCTTTTCAAAGGGTTCTGCGGCAGCGATGCAGGACCTGTAGCCTGAGGCTGAGTGTTGGAGGTCGTACCGCCACTAGAAGACTGATCCAAGGCGCTCTTCTTTTGGTACGCACCCTTGTCCTGGAGGTACTTGAGAGTCTGAATGATGTACAAATCCTCTTGCTCCTTATCGTTAAGGAGCAAGCGCTGCTGGAGGGTCATCTTGCCTCCGTTAAGTTCGCGCTCTCTCAGAGCCTTTTCGCGCTCGTTAGGGTCATGGACGAAACGGCACTTGCCCCGCTTACCGCAATTTCCCCCGGTAGAATAGTATTTGCAATGTTTGGACTGGTCGGCCTTCCTGGCCACCGGGGGAACGACTGTCTCATCCGGACGAGTAGTGAGGACTTCAGGCTTCTCGTCATCCGACTTGGAGATGGTTGAGGGTGATGAGGGTTCGAACTGGCGCATCTCGTCACCTTCGTCCTGTTGTTCCCTTTTTCTCTTGATGCTGGATTCCACCTTTTCGAGCTCTTTGCGGAGTTTCTCCGCCTTTTGCTCCTGCCTCATAAGCAGAGTAGCCTTCTCATCTGCGGCCTTGGCATCAGCTTTTTGTTCCTTAGCAGCAGCTTCCTGGGCAGCGATTTTGGCTCTGGACGGCCAATTAGCTCTGCGCTCGGCGATCCAAGCGGCAAGCTCTTCATTGGTAGTGGGGCTGTGTCAAAAGTTAGTGTTATTCCTATCAAACAGTAACAGCGGGAGACACTTACTTCGGGGCGTCAGCGCCGATCATCTCATTCAAGCGCTGCTCCTCATCATCGACTTCCTCATCCTCCTCATCACCCGGAAGAAGACCTAGAGTGTTCGTCTTACGCTTCTTCTTCTTTCCGTTCAAGTGATCGGGCTTCTGATGATGGGCAGGAGGGCTATGGGCCTTCCCACCCCGACTAGCGTTGTTGTTAGCGTGGCCATTGCGGCCACGACCTCTATCACCACCAAACGGAGGGCGATGGCGAGGATGGTTGTTGTGGTGGATGCCTCCACGACCATGACGCGGCGCGCCTGCAGCGGGAGCACCATCATACACCGGATGCGCCGGCGGCATATATGCTGCGGGAGGCGGATAGGCCGGGTAGGGCGCAGGAGGATAAGGCGCCGGGTGCGGGGTGCCATACGACTGCGGAGGGTAAGGAGTCGGAGCGGGCGGCTGAGCAGGCGCGCCATCGAATCCCATTCTGATAGGAGGTCCCATCATCTGGCCCTTTGGTCCGGAGCGATCACTGTGAGAGCCTCTTCCACCTCGGCTGCTGTTGTTGTAGGGTGCCTGTGGATGCGGCTGATGATGACTGCCCCAAGACGGAGGAGGCGGACTAGCCTGCGGGGTGGGAGTAGCATATGCCGGGCCGTAAGGCGTTTGCGGCGCGGGTGAGTAGGCAGGCTGGGCGCCGTACGGCTGCTGGGCCTGAGGGTAATGGGGCTGAGCACCATAGCTGGACGCGTAACCTTGAGGAGGAGGGGCAGGAGACTGTTGCGGGGCATGTTGTTGTCCGTGCTGCTCCGAATGCCACTGCTGTTGCGGCGGAGGGTAGGCGCCGGGCTGTGGCTGGTGAGGTGGGTATGGGCTCGCTGGGGGCGGCTGTTGTCCATATGTCGGTTGGCCATATCCGTAGGAACCGGAATGGGACGATGAGTGGTATCCGCCACGATCCGAGCCACCACGGCCTCTGCCATTATACCCGCCGCGCTGGGGAGCAGGCGGCTGTGGCTGCTGCGGCTGCTGGTAGGGAGACTGGCCATATGTTCCGGGGTATCCAGCAGGGGGGTTGTTCGGGGGCGCGGGCCCCGGCGGCGGGGGAGGCGGGCCGTAATTGTATGCCATTTTATCTGATGTTGCACGGAGGAGAAACGTATATGGTCAAATACCGCCCTCACCAAGTGTACCTCTTGTGTTGTTCCCTGGGCAACAGGGTTTTTGCTCCACGGGTTCAAGTAGTTGAAGGTTGACGTTTGGAGTTTACTCGGATGGATGTAAATCGGATTCGAGGCCGTTGGAGTCTTGTTGACGATGGCGACGTGGAAGCGAGCGAAAGTTGCCTCTGCGACTTGGGAATGACAGTCCTGGTCGCCAAATGGGGGTTGACGGCAGCAACTGGTCCCTTTTGACACGGGCGAGATGACAAGCTTTCACTGGCAGTGGTAAAATGTCCCTGGACAGCAGACTTTGTCGATGATCAGGATTTAGAATCCTTTAGTCAGTCAGGGTTGGCAAAATGGTACACCTCAACCGGTCGCAACTTGGGCTTTGCTTCCCGAACGTGAACTACCATTTGTTAGATCGAATAAACGGCGGACGTTGCGAAATGATGTACACGAGTTGGAATGAAGTTGGATTCTGTCACGACAACCGCGCCTCAATGTACAGCGACCTTTATGGTCACCGGTGAGATAACTTGCGCTGGGGGCGAGGTGAGAATCCGACGATGTGGAAGATGGAATCAAGATTCAAGGGTAGACTTTGACAAAAACTACTACGGCACTTGCCTGTTCGTCATACACACAACTCGAGGCAAAGCAAAATACTCACGGTTGATACTGGGTTGGCGATGACGGTCACGAGTGTATACCGGGGTCGAGGGCGTTGAAGTAGATGTTGGATACGATCTATCTCAAGAAGACGGGTTGGAGACGGATAGAGGGGTGACGTGGTGAAATGGAGGTCGAAGGGTGAAGGAGAGAGTCGTGGAGTGTGGAAGGAGATGCGCGTTGGTGGGTCCACACTTAAGGTTCCCAAATCAAGGGCGGTGAACCGATCTGCGGCAGGGATGGAGGCGGCAGAATTCGAATTTCGAGCTCCTCCGTTTGCTCAGGAGTCAGGACAAGGCCGAGGGTCCGGGTGTTGGCAGGTGCGCTGCTGCCCGCGGCGTTAGTGCAGACTACAGTGGTGTTCGGCGTACTGGTTCGATCGCGCAATCCCCGGAAGGTGCACTCGATGCAGTGCGCAAATGGACTGCGGCAGGCAAACTTCTGGAGTTCAAACGCTGCAGTGACGGTGGGGCACTCAACTCCCACCTTCTGATTAACACACCAGCCAGGTGCGCGATCCAGTGTGAATGGTGATATCTTTGTTGAAGGAAAGAGTGAGAGACCGAAGACGAGACCTTTACGTACCTTAGACTTTTAGATATCAGTCTTCTCAGTTTTTGGTCAGGACATCCATCTTTATTAATGCATTAAAACTTGACAGTCTTCGCGACCGGAGACCGCCAAAATTACCATTATCTGATATCGTCAAAAACCGCAGAATTTCCGCCCCTTGTCAAAACTTTTGCATGCATTGACATACAACACTACAATATCATCAATCAACTATCTGGACCGTTGTGTACTTCCAATTGAGCCCTCGGTCCCGTATCGCTCAACCACTTACATCCGGACGTCACATTTTGCTCAAAACGGTCATCAGACGATCAAGGTGAGACTTTGCTCAGCAACACACCAAGACGTCCAGTTTGGTACACACCCATTTTAAGAAGTGGAAGAAAGAGCTTGATTGACCATGTTCATTACGGTTTGTAACCTTCTCATCCTTCCGTTGCGTTTGTCTTTCTTTGGTCAGCATGAGACTGATGTCGAAAAATCACACAGACGAAAATTGCCGACTTGGTGCAGATTGCGCCCGAAGACTTTAGTAAGGAGAGTTTTGTCGCCATCGAAGATAACATCAACGCCAAGTACGCAAACAAGGTGGGTTAACAATGACCTTGAGAAAAAGCACACGAATCCATCCATCTAACTGCTGTTGTTGTGGTCCACAGGTAGTACAAAAAGTCGGCCTTTTCATCTGCTTGTGGGATGTCACTTGGACATCAGAAGGTCAGATCGGGCATGGCACTGGTCTAGTCAACGTGAACGGTAAGATGGTCATACTCATATCCTATTTTTCTACTGTCATCACTGACATGGTGTACGCACGCAGTCGAGTTTGAGATGGTGGTCTTTAGGCCTTTTAAGCACGAAGTCATGCTCGCACGTATCACTCACCAGACCGAGGAAGGCATTTACCGTAAGTCCAAACCTTCACATCACCATCTGTGTCATCTTACACACGCGTTCCGCGCCTAACACAATTTGCCTCCTGCAGTTGGCATGGACTTCTTTAACGACATCTTTGTTCCCGCCGCGGAGCTTCCAGACAACTCCGAGTTGTAAGTAACAGTTCACTTCCCCTGTGTCTTTCTGGGCCATGCTAACATCCAATGCTCAGCGACACAACTGAGAAGGTTTGGGTGTGGAAGGAGGAGGGCCAGGAGCTCTACTATGACAACAACGAAATGGTCCGGTTCCGCGTTATCGGCGAGGAGTGGCACGATCAAACACCAACAGGCCCGGTGGAAGTCGACCAGGCTGCAAATCAGCTCCTACCACCGTATAAGATCACGGGTTCCATGAAGGAAGGAGGACTGGGATGTTGTTTGTGGTGGGAATAAAATGGCCCACTCGGTCAAGGACACAAGGGAAAGGGGGCTTGGACTAAAAAGCATTAAGAAGGCGTTTTGTTTTATTATCCAATTGTGTTTTCTGCACTCTGAAGTGATGGCGGCGTGCAAGGGTATACACTTTTGTTCCGCTGTCTGTCATGTTCCATCCTCGCTTTCGTCTATACTGCGATGCCCTCCAGAAGACGGTCCTCGACATCATCAAGGACTGAGTAATGCTCGATAACTGCGAGGTTCTCAGCCTCGGCCTTGAACTGCTTATCAGGATCGACGCCAGGGCCGAACATTTGAGCGCCCGGTGCTGCGCCCATTCCTCCCATCTGCTGAGCCATTTGGCTTGCGGCTGTCACGGTAGTTAGTACCGGAGTCCATGATAATAATGAGTCCACGACACTTACCATTGTCGCTGCCGAGCAAAAAGTTAAAGACGGACTGAAGACCAAAGATACAGAGGAAGTACCAGCTGATGCTGGACATCCACCTGGGATCCATATCCTTGGTCATAACTCCAGCCTGAAGCATGCTCTTGAACTTGATAGTCAAGGGGAAAGGAAGTTTCACTATAACAACTTGTTAGTCATCATCACAACGCTTCCATCACTCCCGTTAAACCTGATCACAACCACGTACTAATAACATAACCGCTGAAAAACGCATTGATCCAGCTCATGATCAGGGTGTTGGGGATGATCATGGCCATCTGGTTCTTCATCATGCCCATCATGCCCTCCATCGAGCTCGGGTCGCTCAGCGGGTTCGGCTGGCCCTGTCCGGCGCGTTCGGGGTCCTTGAGATAGGTGCCCGACTCAAAGGCCGTGACGAGCGCATCGCGGCGCGTGGCGAACGACTTCTTGGAGAGCGCGTGGAAGTTGCCGCGCACGTTGATGCCGTGGAGGAGCGAACGCTGCTCGCGGATGGCCTTTTGGTCGAGCTTCTTGGGGGCGGATTGCATCAATACGGAGGCATAGTGTCGGAGTACGCCTGTCAAGATCTATGTCGTGGGCAGAGGGTTAGACATCGGCGCCTGAATTTTGACTGAAAAGCTGTTTGGTATCTTTCAAATCGGCTCGTACCATGACAATCGTGATAGGAAACAGGATCCAGTAGCTATATGTTGACAACAGAGCCAAGTAGTTAGCAATTGGACTTCCTACTAGTTTGCTTTAGAAGGGTCACAGGAGAAGCTCACAATAACTGGGGATCCCTATGGATCGTTTGAACCGGAACTTGCGCCATTGTCACGGGTATCTGCTGAACCGTAGGTTGGCACAGACAAAGTCTTGTCGATATCTCGGGAAGACAATGAGATGTCGTTGTTGTCCAACGTCCAACGACGTCCTAGTTCAAGAGGTCGCTGTTGACCGCGGCGGGACGTGGCGCTACTGAACCCTGTCAACCATTGCATCAGCTCTCCCAAAGTTCCAATGCCCCCTGTCCTCAGGAGAGGTACGTACCTCCATGAAGCTTGCGCACTGGCCAGAATACTGGTTTATCGCAGCTTATCGTGCCTGCCGGCGCAACGGGACCATTCCACCAAGGTGGCCTTTCCCTGCCTAGGGCTGTCATCATCCGCCAGCCAGCAACTCAGCAAGCACCTCTTTGGCTTGCAATGGGCGTTGTGGAAGAGCTTCCATTGACTTTCAGCCTTCCCCAATTCCAACAACCATATTATCAACACCTTTCAATCTGTATCCTAGGACCCTTATCACAGCCACAGGGACAATCCGTCCCTAAACCATTCAAACAAGATGGCGTCAACAGAAAAGATCACGGTCTACAACGTAGCCGGTGAGCACTCAGACGAATCTCCGGGCAGTCTATCATATGCATTGGCTAACATAGCCCCTACCAAACAGACCTCAGAGCAACAACCGACGACGCCCTCCTCAACTACCTCAACTCTCTCGGCCTGGTCCAATCCCACACCCTCCTCGACACCCGTCTTGCCCTCGGCTTCTCCGCCTTCCTGCTATCAGCCGCCTGTTTTGCCTGGGACTACAAGCTCGGCTTCGAGTCCACCAAGCAATACACCCTTGTCGCCGTCGCTCTCTACACTTTACTGAATGGCGCCCTGACGTACTGGATCATGTTCGTCGAGCGGGGCACCATCTACGCGGGCTCGACCAAGGACGGTAAGACCAAGATCCGCGTCATCAGCGATAGCAAGAAACCGGCCAGCAAGGGGGAGGCGCCGGCGTATAAGCTGCGGATCGAAGTGGAGGATGTGAATACGAGGAAGACGCAGAAGATCGAGCTGGAGAAAAAGTTTAGCGAGTGGTTCGATGCTAGTGGGCGGTTTGTGGCTGCGCCGTTCCAGACTGTGCTGGCACAGGGGATTCCGCTTGTGGGGAAACTGGATCCTAAGAGGGCTGTTGCTGCTGCCCCGGCGTCTGGGGGACAGGGTGCGACGAAGGATCAGTTTGCGGAAACACCGGGCTATACGGCGGAGATTCTGGATGCTATTGCTAGTGGCTTGGGCGAGAACTCGACAACGACAGGGTCTAGTGCGAATCAGGAGGCTGCGAAGAAGAGGAGGAAATAGAGATACCGTCGCTTCGCACCGTACCATCTCAAAGATGGAGATGGTTCAAGGCTAGGTCTATAGGCGAGGAAGGAAATACCTAGGTGATTGATGGATTTGGGTCGACTTTGTTATTACAGGTTGCATCGTCAGCGAAAAGTATGATATGATGGTATTTACTGCACAGCGTCTATGTTTCGTGGTTTAATTCAGTCATCGGGCCATGCACTCGCATCTGCTTGCTTCTGCACCAAAATGCTCGACAGAGGTCTGTCTCAATGAACAACATAAAAAAAAATCCAAGATTACCACCGTACATCGTCACTGTCACCTTGGAAGAGAATCACCGTTTAAGTCAAAACAAACTCCATTATTTCCAACCCGTCTTGATCTCACCCATGTATGCATGCCCTGACGGCCCATATATCTATCAAATGCATGACCCTTTCGAAAATCACCCACCATCCTCTATCTAGGTACTCAATCATTCACAAATATCACATTCCCTCGCCACACATCCATCCTACCTCTGTCTGACCTTTGACCTCTGACATCTCTTCTACGCAGAAATCTTAGCCCAATTTTCCCTAGCAAGCAACGCCACCTTCCTCGCCTCTCTGCTCTTGTCCCCACTAGCCATCGCCAACATCCTCTGCATCGGCAGCGCATACGGTAACAGATGCCTCTCCTCAAATTTCTTCGGGATCGCTCCCAGCAACTGCAGCGTCAGCTTCCTCGCCGCCGCCAGGTTTCTCGCCAACACTTTGTTGGTATTCTGAGCCGCAGCCTCCTCGTACGTCTTCATGCCCGCCGTGATGATCGCCTTCAGGTGTCCCATGAGCGCCTCCGGCTCGTGAGACAAGATTTCGACGAGCACTTCGAGAGAGGTGGCTACCTGGGGTTGGGTGATATCCCCTCCATTGGAGGCGGAAGCGCAGGAGTTGTTGTTGAGAGCGGTGATGAGCAAGCGGACAAGGGCGGGAAGATCTTCTTGGTAGACTTCGAAGGGACAGTTGGAGACAAGCGAGAGGATGGCGATTGTGTAACGGCCTGCGGCGAAAGCGGTGTCTTCGTCGCCTGTGGGCAGGGCGAGGTCATAGAGAGGTTTGGCGAAGTGCGTGTAGGCCCATTGCTTGTAGAAGCGCTTCACCACGGCGTGGTTTTCAGAGGTCAACAGCTCATTGGTCTTGATCAGACCGCCGATGGTACGGGCGACGATGGCGCCGTTCGGGCCTGGGGAGGCGATGGCTTCGTGCAGGATGGGGACTAGGCTGAGGACGTTCTTGTCCTGTCGGCCACAGGCGCCGGCGATGGTGTGCATGGCAACGGTGTTGTAGACTTCGAAGATGGCCGGGTCGGTATTGTCGGTGTTGATGGCTGTCTTGAGCTGCTCGCCCCAGAAGGAGAGGACTCGCTTCATGGTTTCGGACTCAGGGTCGAAGGTGGATTGGCCGCCCTTGTACTTGTTGGCTAGAACGGCACAGATGGTGCCGCGGATCTCGCCGACTGCTAAAAGGACGGTAGCCATTCTTGAGGTGTCGCACATGAAGGTCTCGGCAATACCTTGCGGTGCGTACTAGAGGGGATGTTAGTGCGCGGTTGACAGTAGGGGGTTCCATGATAACACGTACCAGTTCGGTCATTGCTGCGGGACGAAGTCCTTGAAGGATTCCGAGAATGAGCAACTTCCTGAAAGGCGCGAGCGAGCTCGGCCCAGATGACGACAGGTCTTGGGAGAAAAAGAAGTTGAAGGCATTTTGGGCCAAGTTGCAGGACTTTTGTAGGTTCTCTTCGAGACTCCGAACTACGAGCGCTGCCAGGTTGGCCACTTGGGCAAAGACTCGCTCACTCCAGGGGGCTTGCTTCCCGTAAGCAGCCTCCCTGTAAAGGTGCCTGACGATGAACAAGCTAATCCTGAGGAACTCGCGGTAAACCTCGGGGTCATCCTCTTTGATGACCACCTCGGACGAGCCGTTCTCTCCTTGCAGCTGATGCAGCCAGTTCTTCGGTAGACCTTGAAAGTCCTCGATCCAGTTCCTGTCACTCCCCGAATACGCTTCCAATACCTTGTGTCCGAACTTCTCGAAACAAGCATCGCGGAAGTGAAGCATGGCTCCATGGAGCGCAGAAATGACATAGGAGTTCGCCAGCGACTCCTTTTCCGAGGTGGGGAGTGGAGACAGAGGGAAGAGATCTTGCATGGATGCTGCGAGCTTGATGAAGTGCTGGAGGGGCTTAAAAGACTTGGGAGGTTCGTCATCGAGAGCGATGTTGAGGGGGATACGCGAGCAACCAATAAAGGCAAGTCGAGACAGTATGTCTTGGAGAGCATTCAACGTGTACTTGGACGGGCTTGTCCAGTCGCGCTTCTCGATTTCAACCTTCGCTCTGTCAACGAGCTCCGCATACCCGTCCGTGTATGTTGCAACAACTGACTGCAGAGCCAGCACCGCTTCATCTTCCACCGCAGTGTCGGCCGAGTTATCGTTTTGGCTAAGCGCCAAGCCCTTGGTTAACGTATGCGTCAACAAAGAGCAGATCTCGGAGCAAACTGAACGGGAAGCAAGCAAGGAGATTTGCCCGTCGGGTCGAAGAGTCTGCTGAGTTGCGAGCAGAGCAAGACCTTGAACAACCTGCTTAAGAACCTCTGATGTAGTCTCTTCCGACTTTGAAGCCCATGTTGGTAGGTAGACATCGTGGTAGAGAGCTACCAGATGAGCACTAGACTCCGTCTTGAGAGCCTCCTCGTCCTCTGGATGACCTTGTTTCCTGTTCTTGAAAAGATCTGCCCGAGACTTCAGGGTGGAGTTCAGAAGAAGGAGCAGGTCCTTCGTATGAGATGGAGACTTTGGTTGACGGAGGTTTTTCCTGATGATGTCAACGAAAGCCGCACTCTCAAGGGTAAATGCACGGGTATTGGTAGTGATGACAGTCATCAAGAGAAGGCCAGCCTGCTTTGTATATGTCGGGTTCGCAAGGTCGTCGCGGCAGTCGTCCACCACAATATCGATGTAGTTCTTGAGCAAAGATACATCGAACTTTTGGGTTTTTGTACCGTCAAGCCTATTGGCAATCGCTCGCAATACTTCCAGGGTAGCATCGATAGTCTCCTTGACCTCTCCGTTTCGTACTTCGTACTTGAGAGAGTTCCAGATCTTGTTGACGTACAGGACAACGCTGGCCTGCGGATTGTCGTACTGTTCGACACAGGCCTTGATGGTTTTGAGAATGTCGAGTTTTACCGAGACTGTAATTGCATCACCCTGGTCGAGCTTTCCAACAAGGAACGGGAACGCAAGCTTGGCTACCTTGTGGTGGGATGCAAAGCACGCCCTTACGGCGTTCTTGAGGTCGTCCGCAGTGATGCCGATCGGGGTAGCCGAGTTCCTCAGTGTGATGGGGAAGTATGCTGAGAAAGCCTTGAAGATCTCCTCGGTTACTTGGTCGGATGTCAAATACTCGGTAAGGAAGATGGGAAGCTGTTTGAACCATAGCATGAGATTCCTCGGGTCCCTCTCGTTCTGGCATAGCTGAAGGATATCGACGATGAACCCGCCAGATGTGCCGTATTTGTCTTGCAGTTCATTGTTCACTGACTGATCCTGGGTGAGACTGAGGAATAGCTCGTAGATTTCGAGTCTGGTGGCTGCCGTCTGTAGCTTGAAATCCTCCTTGAGTTTGCAGACCTCCTCGATCATCTTGACGCCGACTGCAGGCTTGAATCCCTTCATGGTGTAAAGCTGGCGTAGTGCCTTGGCCGAGGCGGTAATGCCGGCCTTGTGGTCGTAAGAAAACATGGCGCCGAAGAATCCAACGACCATGTTTACTTGTTCGGGTCGTAGTAGGCTTTTATCCAAAGCTTCGAGAGTATCGGCGAGGAAGCTCAGGGCCTTGGCCCGTGCTATTATGTCACCGCTGCCGCTGTCGTCATCGTCGTCGTCTGAGTTATCATCGTCCTGTTTGGTGATGGTTATCCATGGCTGGATGGAGGCAGCCCAACTTCCCACAGACGCACTGCTGGCTCTTGTGTTTTCGATTTCTAACCATGAAATATCAATACTCTGCTTCTTACGAGATGAGGGTCTCACAACCTACCTTTTGCCGCCTTTTTGGCAATTTCACTCTGAGCAGTCTCGTCGTCTGAGAGCACGTATTGAAGGGCCCAGTCCTTGAAATTCGACATGTTGAAAGACTGAGGTGGTGATGGTAATGATGGTGATGGTATTTGACGTTATTTGGTGTCACAAGCAAGACCCGAGAACTAGAGGTAGCACGGTGGATTCGGCAGAATGGAAAGCAACGAAGCTGTGAGAGAATGAACGACGAGAACCTTCAAAGTCCCAAATGATGTGCACCCAACAACCTGGCTCTCAAAGGATTGCCGTCGGTGTGGTTTAGTTAAGGGGTGATGGAAGCTTGGGCCAACTTCTCCCTATCCAAACACACAAGGTTTATGGGTATGGGTATAGGTATGGATATGCCGTATGGATAGGTCAGGATGTTGAACGGGATTGTTGATGGAGTTGTTTCTAAACTTGTCATCGGGTTGATCAACGTAGCGAATAGAGACTAGACTAGGTAGTCTTGGTCTGACAGCGACAGGATAGTTAGTCAAGGACAGACGGTAACGGTGATGGTGAACGGTGAATGCTGACTGACAACACTGACCGCAGGTGAAAAGAAAGGGTGGATTGAGATGCTTGTGATGCCGTCAGTGGCCGATGCCCCTAGCCAAGACCCGGACTGTGGGATGGCCGGGGCAACATCACCACGCCGCCGTTATCGCCCTGGATTCCCCGCCGACAAGTGGCAGAAAACGGTGTTATCACGGGCGGTGAAGCCAAGAGCTATGGCGTTTCGCGGGATCTGATCGTGTCTGGGTACCTTGAGGTTCACGCTAATCCGGTTTCGGCAAGAGGGGCTGCGGCATAGATTGTGTCAGTCATTTGAAATTTTTGAAGATTTGTCTGGATATCGGAGGGTGGCCTGTGACTCTTATGAGTGCCCTGTAGATGGCCTGGAGTTGCGGGCCTCGTTCCCTGTGCGTCCAAGCCTCGAATATGCACGCGAGAATCCACTCGGGTCGCGCTGAAACGACGTGGATTCCCATGTATAAAGACGACGAGAGGTCCCCTGTACAAGAGGAACTCAGTCGGCCACGCAAGATCGTGGCCCTCATCCCATACTTTTACACTTTCAACTCATACTGATATATCCCATTACTGCCCTTCTTCTTGACCTCAATTCCGTCGGAAACCACCAATTGATCAGTCAAAGGTCCATCTGAAGCATGTAGGTACCTCATCCAAACTTGATAATGGGGGAACCGCGGGGTACTTTGTCACCTTACAACCTTCCTCACATTCACTTGTTTACTTCAACTTCCCCAAGGCTCAGACTGTCCCGTCTGCTTGGACCGTTTTCAGTCAAGCTCTTACACGGTCGAGCAGAAAGGAATATGACCAATTGGCCACCTGGGATGAACCTCAGAAATGCGCCTGACTAGGACTTCGGCTAACTTGTTGGTGCGACTCTCCTCCAAACAGCTTTCTACCAAGACCATTCCCAAACCACCGCCACCACTTTTCAAACCTCACCAGACCACCAAATCTCACATCGACATCATGGAGGCGCAACAAGTACCCAAGACCTGCAAGGTCATTCTCTCCGACACCATCGCCAAGAAGCTGCTTTCCGAGGTCCGCGAGACTCTTGCTAAGATCCAGGGTCCCGATGCCTCCAAGCCTACTCTGGCTGCTTTCCTGGCCACCGATGACCCGTCCGCTCTGCAGTATGCCGAATGGTCCAAGAAGACATGTGAAGAGAAGTGAGTATCTCGTCAATCACTCAATGGGTCAGTCTGGACTTTTGCCCCAGCACCAGGGTCTAATACACTACCCCAGTGGCTTCAACTTCGATCTCCGCAAGGTCAACAAGGAAGACCTCGAGGAGAGCATCATCGCCGCCAACAACGACGACAACGTCGACGGCATCCTCGTCTATTACCCCATCTGGGTCGGCAACCACAGCCAGGACAAGTACATCAAGGAGACCGTCGCCCTCTCCAAAGACGTCGAGGGTCTCTGCCACACCCACCTCTTCAACATGTACCATAACGTCCGCTTCCTCGACCCGCCCGCCAACCTGAAGAAGTCCATCCTCCCCTGCACTCCGCTCGCCATCGTCAAGACCCTCGAGTACCTGCAGATCTACAATCCCATCCTCGCCTACGGCAACCGCCTGTTCGGCAAGACCATCACCGTCATCAACCGTAGCGAGGTTAACGGTCGCCCTCTCGCTGCTCTGCTCGCCAACGACGGCGCCACCGTCTACTCCGTCGACGTCACCGGCGTCCAGGTCTTCACTCGCGGCGAGGGCATCCGTCAGCTGCGCCACCAGGTCCACGACAAGGAGGGCTGGGAGCTCAAGGACGTCTTGCCGCTCAGCGACGTCGTTATTGGCGGTGTCCCGACCGAGAAGTTCAAGGTGCCCACCGAGCTGCTCCGTGACGGTGCCGTGTGCATCAACTTCTCCAGCTTCAAGAACTTTGACGGTCCCGCGGTTAAGGAGAAGGCCAGTATTTATGTCCCCAGCATTGGCAAGGTTACCATTGCTGTGCTTTTGCGCAACCTTGTGGTGAGTACTTACTTCCCCTCTCCCGCTTGTCTCGCTACCAAGTGACATACACCCAACTACACTACGCTTCCAATGACAATAGACTCGCTAACAACTTCTTGCTTTCCTCTTCAACAGCGCTTGATCGCCAACCGTCCCCGTCCTGAGGGCTCTGCGCCCGAGGACCCCAAAGATGCCAAGGCGCGTAGCGAGGCCTTCATCGAGGGTTAATTGGAACAGAAACATCGTGTCCTTCATATTCCCCCGCTAAACAGATTTGCATTGCATATCCTGTCTTTATACGATTTTCCTTTTTAAATTTTCTTTCTCGAGTTCTTGGGAGGGATGGTTGTTTGCTGGCTGGCTGGGTAGGAAAAAAATAACGGATGGTCAAGGGCTGGTTGGGTAGGAAGGGAGCAAAAGGCTTGGTTGATCTGGTTGATTGCACTGAAAAAATGGTTTTCCAGAAGTACATAAAGAAAGAAACAACTTACTACATACATACACGAAAAAGGGGGACTGGCTTTGTTTACTACGAATTTTGAGCTTTACAAATGTCTACCTAGAGGATATAGAAGGGATCTGGAGACACAAAAGAAAGGGGAATTTTCACTAACAAACCCTTCAATACAAACCACAAGGATCAAGAACTTCATAAAATCACAGATCGACACATGCGTCGTCCAACTTGCACAATCCTCCTCCTGTCTGGTTCTTCCTCAACCACGATTTGGTGACTGTGACTCACTTACACGCGTCGAGTCACTAACACCGCTCGGGACCAAAACAAGCTAGCCGGTGGGGCGGCGGATGTAAGTCTCGGTAAGTGTACATCTCAGCTCCTCCGTCTTGCTCCGTCTTGCTCCGCATCCGGCTCATACAACTTTGTAAACCCCAGTAGCGAATTCCGGCCCGGTCATCGGATCTCGCATCTCATCAACATCAGCCGTATAGTACCGGTACCTACTAGGCATCCCGGGGTTGCCTCAACATTCCCATCAAATACAAACCTATCTACATATGTGCGGGGAAGTTATACTGACGAGACTGAGTACCTCTATAGCCATATGAGTACGTTTTCATCATCAGTTACTTGCCAACACCATAATTAGTACAGTAGGTTTATCAGCAGTAGCAAGAGTAGGTAACAACAACATTGCCTACGGTAGTCACATCACATCACATCACATTATGTCATATCCCAAAAATGCAAAACCGAAACCAAAACCGATCCAATCGATCGAAGAGCAAGAACCATGTCATGAAAACCTAATTTCAACAAAAACACACACACACCTATGTAATTCCTACCATAGACCGTTACCTAGAACCTAGAACCTAGAAACCTAGACCTTAACCGTACCCGTTGTCCATTTATGCATGCATCGCTATGAGAGGGAATAATTGAAAAAGCCATGCCCGAATCCCCAGACAATGAATGAAGCAAAATTTTAGATAAGAAGAAGAAAAGAAAAACGCCGATACGATAGAGAGTCATGACACATGACATGAGAGTTGTGAGTTTGATGAGAGAGGGAGAGAGAGATAAAGAGAAAACTGTTCTGGACAACAAAGATAAAACAAACAAACAAATACCCGCTCGCTGCTCAAACCCACATCTGTGTTTCCCCAATCCCGTCGATCTGCCCATCTGCCCATCCATCCGCTTGCAGAAATAAAATAAAATGGAATGGCAACCAAAAACGGTTGGAGTGTATCCTGTATGATGATGATGATGATGATGATGATGCTCTGCTTCGCTCCCATACACCCGTGCATCCATCATGGCCATCGATTCCCAACTAACGTGTCGACAGGAACAAAGTCCTCCCCGTCCGGCCCCTCCGGCCCCTCGGGCCAGTATCTTGTTTCAAAACAATCATGAGGAACCAGCTCCTCTGAAAAGCAGAGGGGACATATAAAATGGGTTTCAGGGTGATTCTACTCATGGTTCCATTCCATTTCCTCCGCGATCCATTCGTCTCCCGAGTCCTCCGACTCCTAGTCCTCTTCCTCGTCTCCTTCATCTTCCATATCCTCCTCTTCCTCATCCTCCCATTCTTTTCCCGTCCATTCCCTTTTAACCATATTCTTATACCACCCAGCCTCAAGCGTCTCAAATCGCGGCCCAGCTCCCCAAGTCAGGTGCTCCATCCCACAGCACATGCAACACTACTGCACCTTGCGACTTTCAAACAGCATAAGGTTCACCGCCGTGTCGTTCTCGCCGACCTGGCTGGTCGGCTCGCTCAGCATCTCCCACTGCCGGAAGTTGAAAGGCGTCAGTCGCTCTTGTGATCCGCCCATGGTGGAAACGCATGAGTAACCTCCCCAAAGGTTGGCTACCATGACCATTGCTGGTCTCGCTGGGTTCATGGGAGAGGGTGTGGGTGGGTTGCTGTTGTTGCCGAGGTTGAGGTGCGTAAGGTTAGTGTTGATGCTGATGGCTGGTGAGGGCATGGGGCCTGTGCCTCCTTGTTGCTGTTGCTGTTGCTGTTGCTGTTGCTGTTGCTGTTGCTGTTGCTGTTGCTGTTGCTGTTGCTGTTGCTGTTGCTGTTGCTGTTGCTGTTGCTGTTGCTGTTGCTGTTGCTGTTGCTGTTGCTGTTGCTGTTGCTGTTGCTGTTGCTGTTGCTGTTGCTGTTGCTGTTGCTGTTGCTGTTGCTGTTGCTGTTGCTGTTGCTGTTGCTGCTGTAGTTGCTGCTGTTGGGCGGCGTGCCATCCTTGCGCTTGAGCCTGTTGCGTATGACCAGGAAGACTGAAGTAACCTCCACCATTACCACCACCACCACCACCACCACCACCTGCATTCTGTGGCCCAGTTGCCTGTTGCCCCGGAGTGACACCTGGTGTGTGCGTTGGGGTGGTACCAGGGGCCGGCGAGCCAGTGCCATTGTTGCCCATAGCCATCGGCGTAGGCCTTTCCTTATGACACAGCATCAAGTTTGCATGCGGGTTATCCTGATAGCTGAAGATGTACCTGAGCTTCACATCCGAAGGGGACTTGAGAGCTTGGATACACTGTAACCGCGCGTCCTCGGCTAGATTGTCGACCAACACGCAAGCCAGATCAAAGATACGTCCGCCTAGTTGACGAGTGTCAAAGTCGGGCCCGTGGATCAGGTCAAGTTCCCTGATAAGACCAGCGCATACGATAAGAGCTCTGCCACGAACTTCGTTTCCGGGTTTGCTGGTGTCAAAAGTCTGGGCATGGAGGGTGAGGAAGTTGAGAAAGAGAGGAAGCCAGTGGTTGAGAATATCGCTTTTCAGATCAGCATGGTTGTCACCACTGGCTGCGGCGGCACTGACACACTGTCCTCCCCATCCTCCTAGACCACCTGCTTGGCTAGGGAGTGGTGTCAGAGTTTGCAACAGTTCCAACATGTCCATGAATCTTTCCACCATAACCGGAACCAGTTGGTGCTGGCGAAGCCCCATTGGACCGCTTCCCCTAATGATGGTATCCATGATGGCAAGAAAGTTCTCCGCTTTCTGTAGGCGCATCTGGAGCGTCGACCTGTCCAACGTCATTGAGGGTGGGTTTCTGGATGAAGGCAGAAGGTTCAGGAACCGAGACTGTGCCTGGTTCTTGAGATGATGTGTTAGGTCGGGAGAAAGGGAGGGGAGCATTCCGATCCATGAGACCCGCTGTGCGTCCATCGACTTTTCCATGGCGTTCATAAAAAGCTCTACGTTCGACGGGACACGTTCGCCCGAATCTGCCGCGCTTTGCTGCTGGTCATTCGACGACAGGCTCAACAGTAACTTGACATGACAGAAGGGGAGAGTAAACTCGTTAGTGAGGTTGAGAACTTGCTCGAACGTTACGCGTGTGCTCTCGCCAGCGGCAGTGACAAGCAGCTTGGTAGTCATGCGATCAATCCAGCCGGCAACCTGGGCATCAGGCCCTCGGATTTGCAGCGCCTTAGCGACTCCTACCGGGTCTTTCAACACAAGGCGCTTTAAAAGCTCAAGAAGACGGCCCTGGTTGGCTTCCTTATCCAGGGGCAGGTCTTGCAGATCGTTCTGAGCACGAGCATAAGTATACTCCGCCAGAGCAAGTTGGATCAAACCGAGAAGTTCTCGTGGACTTTCCTTCTTGGCCTGTTCCTGAAGTATTTCGAAGCGGTAGCGCTCCTCTGGCGTTAATAAACTTTCAGACGAGACTGGCGCCATGAACAGTTGAAGCACTTCTTGCATGTATCTGGTCCGAAAGGTAGTCTGGACAATCTGAGATGTGCCGACACCTGGTTGCGGGTGTCGTTGATTGCCGGCACCGGGAGGGTTCGATGTCTCAGAAGCTGTTGCCAAGATTGCAGGCAATCCTAAACAGCCTATCGAGACCAGGAGGGGGTATAGGTGCAAGATCGTTGCTCGTCTGTTGAGGCCCCGTACGTGAAGAAGCCATCTTGCCATGAGCTCATCTAAGTGCTGTAGGTCGAACATTCGCAGCCGCTTCAAGAGAATACCGTAAACCCTCTGTTGTTCATCTCCTTTAGCCCAGTACGTCTGTAGTCGCTGAATCACCGCACTGAAAAGCCGATCCATCGTGTTACGATCAAGACTAGTACCGTTAGCCAAAAGCTTCTCTACCTCCTCATGGAGATCGCCATCGTTGTCTTGAAGACGAGACACCATGTTGTCACTGACAGGTGAACAGGCGTCTACAGGATTGTGCCGGTCGCTCAGAGCCAAATCGGACTTCAACTGCGTAGCGACTTCATCCATCCCAGGCACCCGTGATGCTAGGTAAGCGAGTGATGCAAGTAGAGGCCGCGCTCCTATCCCCTGCTCTCGCACAACATCCCTGAGCCGGCTGTGAAGAATGTTGAACAGATTTTTGAAACAGCCGAGAGCAGCAAATTCAAACGGCCACCGAGTAATAGTATCCGCGATCGAGGCGAGTACCTCCGGGTTGGAGCATTTTGTCAACATTTTGAGAACATCAGCAAACACTGAAAACTCCTGGGTGGCCTCGAAAATCCTTCTTATCGAGTTGAAAAGTCTGGTAGAAAGCCCGTGCTGACCGAAAGTGTTGAGAGTGCTGTGTTCGAGTTCTCCCCCAGTAACCGTGTTCCGTAGCCAAGATGCTATCTCCGCCTTGCGCGCTCGGCTTGCGTCTTTGATGCGTCTGGCTATATTCTTGATCGGAAGGGGCCTCCCCATTGACACGGCATCAGTAACCCCCACACACAGGCCCAGTGCATGCCGGAGGCGTCTGATGGCCATATCTGCATCCTGTGCGTCGTCGGCAATGTTAAAGCCTGCTCGGCGAAGCAACGCATCTCTTGATCGTCTTTGCGAACTGCCCAAAATTTGCGGCGGGAGCTCCGCAAGCAGTCGAGAAAATGGCGGACCGTCCGGCATGACCAGTTGCGGATCGGTCAGCCCACCGCGTGCAATCAGCCACTGGATGTACTGCGATACCAGAAAAATCCCCGAGCGAACTAGCTCCGACACGAGGTGGTAGAGCGCCTCCTTGCGCTCTTTTTCCTCAAGGACCTCCCCTTCCATGAAGTTCAGCACAGCGAAAGTGACGTCCAAACCCAGAGTACTCCAATGCATCAATATCCGATGGGCAACATAAACTTTTGCGAGCCCCGGCCTGTATAGTGTTGTACACCACTCTAGTAGAGCCCTGACCAGGGCAGCCTTATCCTTGGAGACAGTCCAACACTGAGCTGGAAACTCGTCAGGCATTGGTTTCTCCAAGATGACCTGATCCAAATGTCTGACAAGAATGATCCGAGCAGCGGGTTGCGACCTGTTGGCGGAGGCGACTAGTTGTTCGTTTCGATAGTTGATGCCAGCAAAAGATCGATGGCGTGCTTCGTCCCCTTGGGGCAGACACGTTTTGAGCGCGTCCCGGTACTTGACCCATACAGCAGGGGACACGAAGTTCTCCGGTGTGGCAACCATTAGCGTTCCTAGAAGGTGTGATAGCTTGGAAAGTAGAGGAACATAAATATCTCTGTCCTCGTGTGCATGTATCTAGAAAAGTGTCAGATACGGTGACCGTTGGAATTAAAAGGCTTCTGGATACGTACCACATGGTAGTGGCTAATGAGAGCAGTAGCAAGTCTTCGACCATATCTCCTTAGCCGAAGCAAATCTTTCCAGTATATTTGTGCGATAATAATCCACATGGGTAGTTGAGAGTGGTGGCTCGATTCCAAGCTGGAAACTGTCCAATCAAGATAATGCTCACGGTCCATGAGACCCTCGGCGTATAGGTGTGTTGCGAGCTGGATTCTACGTTCTGTTAGCTTCCGAATCTTTCCGGAGGAGATCACAGATACACTTACGCGTAGTTGACCTTGGCCTTCCAGTTTTGCTCGCCGAACGAGAAAAAAGCACGCTCAATGAACTGCTCGATGACGAGGGTCCAGTCCTTGAGCCACTTCCGCTCACCCTCTAACACCGAAGCATTGTTCCCTTTACCAAGCCTCCTGAAAGTTCGTAGCTCGTTGGTACCCACGCACTTGGCCAGCCAAACGGCACGGTCTATCGGAACGTTTTTGTTTAAACACTGATCCAGCAAGACCTTGTTGCGCACGCCGTGAGGGATCGATCGACTGAGTTTCCGAAGAGGGATGGCGGAGTTGGCAAGGTCTTTGAGCCAGACTTCTTTTTTGGTGTCAGTGAGCGTGACTCTTGGGGGCGGCTTGAAGGTCGATGGCGCAGTTACTTGACCCGCATTTCTCCTGTGCCATAGCACGCCCGCAAAGAAGATTGATAACGCGTTCAGTCCACTCCGCTGCTTTAGGCCGTGAAATAATACTGTCTTTGCGGATTGCGTCTCTGGTTCAACAATTCTTTTCTCATAATACCCGTTCTTTATGGCGCCATCGTTAAACTGATCTTCGGGGTGGTTGCCGGCCGTCCCAGACCACGGGAAGAAGTCGGCACATCCATAATTTGCCGTGGCCGAGCTGCCTGTCGTTGACGATGATGATGCCGTTGCGAGCGCACTTGACCTCCCCTGTCCCCCTTGTCCATCATTCCTCCCACGTATACGATAGCGTGGAGCGGCGGCGGGTAGCTCGATAGTATAAGGTTTCGGGCGCGTGTCTTTTCGCGCCGGGTTCGGCGGCGGCGGCGGTTGTTCTCGACGCGAGTGTTCGGGCACTGCTTTCGGTCGGCGCTGGGGAAAGGGGATCGGAACGTCGGCATCTAAGTGTTGGGGCGGAATGGAGAGTTGATGATGATGATGATGATGGGGGCTCATCTCGCCCAAGTCCGACCCATCGGCTAGAGGCATCATTAGGTGCGCCATGGAGCTATACTGTTTATGCGGTTCCATGAGGCCGGGAGATTCGATCACGGTGGGAGACGAGAAGGCGTTCGAAGGATCGTTGTGTGATAGCTCGAGCCTAAGGCGCGAACCCCCTCGACGCTGGGTCCCATGGCGACTGCCAACACCACCAACGGAAAGCGCGGGTGACGAACCCGACGGGTCAGCGGGGGAAACTATGCTCGCGGGATCTTGACCGAATTCGGGTGGGAAGGTGGTGTTGAGAGTGTTATTTTGGTTGAAGTTGTTATGGTTGTTATTTGTACGGACGGAAGGGGGTGGCGGCGGTAGATAGCTCGAGGCATCGTACTGCTGCTGCAGTTGCTGTTGCTGTTGTTGTGGTGGTTGAAAATGTTGGTGTTGGTGTTGTTGTTGCAGTTGCTGCTGCTGTATCTGCTGCGCCTGGGCCTGGGCCTGGGGTTGCGACAGAGAGCGCTGCTGCGACAGGGCCGGGCCGCTCAACTTTCTCTGCTGGGGCTGTCGCTGCTGGACGCCCAAGGGGGGCCGGGAGGTCATCGCTGGAGGAGAAGCGGATGCGCCATTCCGCAGGTCGTGAGTTGGATGATGGAGAAATACAGGAAAGCGGTCGGGGTCGGGGTCCAGTTGGGGTCGAGGTTGAGCGGACGTTGTCTCGGTCGAGGAAGGTTCGAGGAACGGATTCGAGGAACTTGGGGTCGTCGATGTGCAAAAAGGCAAGAGCCGGTCTGGTGTTTGGATGTTGTCTGGGATCTGGAACTGGAGAATCAACGCTGGAGATTGGACCCAAGGCCCAGTTCGCTGGTTAGTCCCGTTAGATTAGCGATAGCGCGGCGTATGGAGATGCGGTGCGTGGCACTATCAATATCCCGCGGATGGATACCAAGCTGGATCCCACGATGGATAAGGGGTCCGGATTAACGGGGGTGACGGGGTATGATCAGGTCAGGTATGCTTGGTAAGGTGGTACAACTAAGGTAGTGTCCATACCTACTGACATAGGTAACCCCGAGTACACCACAGCACAACACTAGCCCCTGCCCGAGTCTGGACCAGTGGGTGGCCGGCCGCGGACAGGAAGCTCCCGGCCAAACTTTGATAGTGCAGACATCGACCGGCACAGAAGCCACGCTCGGTCAAACAGCACAGCTGACACAGCTGCCGTCCCGCGGTAAAGTACCGAACGTATTTCCCGTTTTGTCAAGGGTAAGGTACATTACCGACGAGTAGGTGCCGTCGGTCAAGAATAAGAGATTGATAGGCGCTTACCAAAGGAGGATATTGTCCCAGTCAAGAGACCCTGCCGCTCGTTATTGGATAAACACCACAACAGCCAGACTAGCAAGCAAACCTGGCAGTTTTCGGGGGCTGAAAATACCTGGTCAACAAAAAAAACAGCAGCACAACGACGTGATATTTGACACGAATCGAATACATATGCACAGTTCTAGTGTACTGCGTAGACCATAGTGTACACTACGGACGTAGGCACGCTTCCGTTCCATTGTGATGCGGCCCGGGAGCCTAACCTAACCTCGTCAGGGTAGCTCGGCAGCGCTAGCTGTCATATATGGACGATATGGGATCCATAATGGGTGAGTGAGGTGGTGATACCATTGATGCCTTAGAGAGAGATAGGGTAGAATGAACGAATGAATGAATGAATGAATGAATGAATTTTTCGACTACGTTCTACCAATACTAGATAATAAGTCGTGCCCGCGACGACGGCTGGGCATAGGTACAGAGATAGGGTAGGAGCCGCCATAAGAGAACGTGATGTTGGGGTCCATCGAATATCACAGATCTCCATGACAGAAGGCTGGGGGTCCTCAACATTACACTATACTAGGGGGCAACGGCAACGCGGCTTGAACCACCTCATTGAAACTTGTTCCTTCAATAAGCCAGAGACATCTCATCTTCCGGGAATACGTTCTGTAGGATCTGCAAGTGTCAGGGCTATGGATTGGCGGAGGAGGAAACTGTGGAGGCAAAGAAAAAGAAACAATGCAGTTTTATATGTTTCCGAACGGGATCGATGGAAGGCCGGGATGGATGCCATGTCGGTTGGTTTTCTTATATCTGCGTCCTGCGCCTGTGAGTGGTGGCCTGTCGTCGATGCACCCAACCAGAACCCGTTGTCAGAACCACGCAACGAGGTGCATACCGGCATGGTATCCAAAAAGTCCGATCTGTCCCCTCTCTTCAGCCCCTCAAATGCGAGCAGGAGTGGTGATGAAAAGAGAAGGTCAAGTTACGTAGCCGGTATTGCGTTGTCTTGACTCCTCGTCTTCGTCTTGTCTCGAGACCAAGTGACCGCTCGGTGAGTGAGTTGGTTGATCGTTGAGGTGATCCTTTGGAGGACGACACACAGCACACCTTGGAAAAACGATACTTACGACACGTTTGACAACTGAAAAAACGACGAAACGGAAGTCGGTCGTACAGAGCTCGATCGAAGTTTGCCGTGATACCTCAGCTGTAGGGATGGCGCAAAAAGTGAACAAGTGGTGCTCAGTCGTTGTGCTCCTACCCGAGACGCCGCCCCCGTGTCGCAGGGCTCAAAACTGGCAACCACTCTCCACTGACAAATCGTACATTACAGACCGACGGGTCCGAGCTTTGTCTAGTTGTTCCCGGCATTCGATCGGAGCATGGCTATCATCAAGGCTTCCACAACTTCAGTTCTTTATCAGCCAACGTCCTGCTTCCGACACCCGGCCAGCTCACCTGTACAACCTATGCATACAGAATCCTTCGAAATTCCGTCGGGGAAGCGTGCCCTTGTCCATGTGTCTACTTCGGTCTCACACTATTTTCAACATCGTTATAATGATGGTTAGCTTATAACAGGAAGATCATGGATTTCATCCGAGTAAAGGGCATTCATCACAATCTAGTTTCTTTTTCTCACATCACGCCGTCTTTTCCAAGTTCCCTCCTCTCTGTTGCCCTTGTCCCCTTGCCCCCTTGTCAAAGCCCAGTGACAGCCCGGGCCACCTCAACCCTCATCACCTCCCAAGCAGCCCTACCAGTGGCAGTAGTAGTAGCCCTCGGAGGACAAACCGGAGCCGAGAACGTAGGCCACGGCTTACAATCCGGCACACACCCACCATACGTCTGCCCACAGCTATCCACGTAGTCTATGCACACGGTCCTCGTCGAGCAGTTATCCTTGGTTCCGAAGTTGGTGGTGATGGTGACGGTCTGGGTGGTCAAGCTGACGCTTTGGACGCTGGTTTGTATGGTGGGTGGGGCCGTGCCGGTGTAGGTGATGGTTGCGATGCTGGTCTTGGTTATGGTCTTGATGGAGGAGATGGGCGGCTTTGGACGAGGGGGTAATACACAGGGTGGAGGTGAAGGGCGAGTCTCTGGTTTACACTTGTCGCAACACCTGGCTTTTATCAGTTTGGGAAAGAGAGTGGAAGTTAAGTGTGTGCGAAAGAGGATAGGTTCACCCTGAGTATATCACGCCGCAGGGATTGACGGCGTCGAAACACAAAATGTGTGGTGAGTGGCACTCCTCTACTATGGGAGCCGCGCTGCTGAGTCCTCCTCCTAGGAGAAGGAGGAGAAAGGAGGTTGTGGGCGGTTGCATGTTTATTCAAGGCAAACACGGAGTTCAGGTGAGGAGCTGGATCAGATGAGTGAATCCTTCTCACCGTTGCGCTTTCAACAATGAGAATATGCCTATGGCTGTTATACTCTATTCTTCCCGGTGGCATGCGGTTTTTAAACTCCGGATACGTCCTCGGCCCGCTTCTCACCAAGGGGGAAGTTTAAGCGCATGATTGTTGTTTCCCGAGCCGGAGACGACGCGAGGAGTCAGGCTTCTCATTTGGGTGCAAGTTCTCAGACGCGCCACCTCATTTACATGATGCTCCCTTGGAGTTTGGTTCTGCGGACTGGACCCAAAGCTTGGAGAATCTAGGGAAGCGGCGCAGTTGACAACGTTATATATCGATCGACGACGATGCAGCCAAGATGATAACATTGGTGATCATTCGTATTCTGAGAATTCTTAAACCCCTCCGGCAAAAGGAAAAGCTGGGCTGGATTTATCCGGCGTTCTGTAAACGACGAGTTACGCAACCTCCGCAATCAACATAATGGTAGCCAAGACGGAACAGCAAACGGTTAAGCAAAAAAGAAGGCACCAATATGTCAGTGGCTGTCTGCACAAGTCCACGAAACTTTTCTATCAAGGAAAAGAAGGCGAGTGTCTCCGTACGGTTCATCGGTTGGTGACACGAAACCAAGCAAGCACGATCAGGTAGTCAACGTGAGATAGATTGGAATATATGCCGACTCCCGCTACGTTGCAAACTTGATTGCTTGATGTTTTCTGTCGTTCCTTCCTCAGACATGGAAATGTCCTTGAAAAATTTCCTTGAACAGTCTCACTAGGCTTCTGCTTCGTTTGCTCTTTCCGTGAATTTTCAGGGATAATCGCCAGAAGGAAGAGGGCAAGAGGACAAGAGGGCTTCTTCTTAATTCAACCATGACCAACTGCGCTGAGATGGCATCGGTATGAGCCGTGGCTACGAAGTCGGATCAGATATGTGGAAATGTCGCCCAACCCATTTTCTCGAAACTCGACATCGCGGGTACTGATCTCCGATGCCATACACAATGGAGGAAATGTAAATCGTGTATGAACCTGACTTTTGACAAGTTTTCGCTCTGTGATATCAACGGGTTAAAAGGGTAGGTAGTGTCTTCGATGTTTCCTCGGGTCAAGAGAAAGGCAAAACAGAACGCACACGGAGCACTGCAACGTAGCGGCTCTTTTCTTCAATCGACAGGTGGCGCAGCTGTAGATGAAGAAGAACGTCGTGGACGGTGAAGGACTGTATTCAAAATATGAAGAGTATATGGCAAACATCATACCCATTACATAACCATTAACGAGGACATGGAAGAATAAATCCATAGAAAGACATCGAAAACAAAATGTAGGGAAACAACGTGATGGGTCTATAGAGTTTCCTTGGCTCTACTGATCGCCTAGCTAGAAGATATTCCAATGAGGCTATGCTAATATAATTGCAATATTCCAGAACCGATGGAAGCCACTCATCTTCTCGGCTCTCCCCACGGGGAAGTCATGCCACGAGACGGGATGAGACGCGTTGTGACGTTTGGGTGCAGTCAATTCACTTTCAAGGAGTGACAGTACTGGTGAACACTTCATCGCGGAACCCCTACATGGGTAAATCTCAGGTGAACGTACTGCTCAAGTGGACTAGACTCAAAAACGTCAACTATAGGTCTTTGACATCGGAACCTCAGTCACATTCGTTCAGTCTATACTAGCTTGGCTAACCATTTGCGTGGCCCAAGAAGCTGGGCGATAAGAAGGCCGACGGATTCTGGTCAGGAAATTCCGAAAAACGTATCTTCCATAAAAATGCCTCCGAAGTCTCCATTGCCCCTTTGGTGTTACTTGCATCTGAAAGGGAGGTCGAATGGTCACGGTAGAATTCAGCTTTCTTCGCCCAGGCTGTTAAATAGTAAATTGCCGTCACTCGGGCAAAATCGCCAAGTGGCCAAGATGGCTCGACCGCAACACATCGCGTCCGAAATGACCCCGACAAGTGAAAAGGATCGAAATGCAAGAACTGAAGTTATACTTGTCGACCCATTTGGAGTCGCGGTAGAGTGGGATGATGTGTCCAAGTTGGTGGAGTGACGGAGTGAAGTCGCGAAGTTTTGAGCCGCAAAAGCAGACAGAAGGAAAAGAAAAATGAAGGATTAGCATTGTGAGACACCAAGATGGGATAACCTGGGGACATCATAAAAGGCCCAAGGACTGACCTGCTCCAGATGAGGGAAAGGTATGTCTTGGTGATCAAGAAAAAAGCAAGAAACAGACGAACACATCCCCATACTCATCAAGAGACTCACGACACTCAGTTGCATATAACCTCAATACCCCTCATCGACATCTCTTCACAAATTCTTCATACACATCGCTTTCAACAGAACCTGTCCCTCCCTGATCCTACCCATATTTAGCTCACTCAAGTCTATTAGGACTCTAACCCCCACTGAAACATCACGATGAAGTGGCAGACACTCGTCCTCAGCTTCCTCAGCTCCACCACCCTCGCGGCTCCAGTATACGTAGAGCCCTCACCTCCCTCTCCCGTCTACACTCTTCGCATCTCTGGGTACGTTATACCTCACACCTCACACCTCACACCTCACACCCTCCTTTCCTCCCCTTCCTTAACTCAACCCCAACCTCAGTCCATTCACACACTCAATCTAACTAACACCCTCCCTCCCCACCTCCAGCGGCGGCCCGGACCTAAACAGCCACTACCTCTCCGCCTCGGGCTCCGTCATCGGCGTCTTCCCCGACGCCCAAAACGATCCCATCAAATTCTACGCCGTGCCCAACAAGTCCACGGGGCTCGTCGAGCTGCACAGCTGGGCCGGCATTCCCTCTTCGCCCGGCACCCCCGGCACCCCCGGTTTGCCCAACGCCCCAAAGACCGGAGCCATCGCCTTGGTAGGCAACGCCCGCACGGGGCTGATGGAGCTGACGAGCGTCGAGGATCCGGCGGCCGTTTGTGCCGATGGCGATGGTGATGATAACCTCGATTGCGAGTGGACGAGCTTTACGCTCAACCAGGGGACGCCGACGGAGGGGAAGCCGGCTAATACCGTGACGTACGCGGGCCCGGGAGGTTGGGTGGCGTTTAAGAGCGCCGACAACGTTGGAGGAGGGGAGGGGTGGGTTGTTAGGTGGAAGCAACGTAAGTGACCCCGGGTGTTGTTTTTGATGTTGTTGTTGTTGTGAAGTGAAAGGATGTGCACGCAGTTTGCTGACGGAGAGATGGAATGAAAATAGCCCAGGCTACCACCACTCAGGACTTTGTGCCGGTTGATCTGGTGTATGAACCCATCTTCACTATTGCGGATACGGCGGAGTAGTAGTGACGATGGTGGTACGGAACCCGAAACTTGCTGGAAATCGTTGGAAGGTAGGCCGGAAGCGCCGGTAATTGTTGTAGGAGGTCGCCGCGGCATGGAAATCAAGATCCATTGCGCTATTCGTTGCTTGCTGTCCTCATTCAGATATCCCTATTATCCGACATGTTTTTTGCCAAGTGTTAGCTCAGGAAGGGGGGGGGAATCCAAAAGGAGAAAAAAGGAACACCAAAACGGGATGTTTTTGGCTTTGGTGGTGGCAAAAGCAGTTGTTTATTCCCTATTTTTGACGCCCAATGATTAATTCAAGATACATATACCTCATCCAAAACAGGGGCCTCCCGCCAGTGCTTCCAATCTTCGCTTGCTCTAGCTATCAGATAGCCTCCCCCTTTGAAAGGATATAGAAAAAGGTATATTTGACAAGAAAACCAATTTCGTATTGCTGTTACTGTGACAATAGTAAACTCCAGCCATGCACGAGACAGGGTACAGGTTTGTTACATATACCGTGCCCGGATCTTCCCGGACCATCCGCCGCCATTCTCGCTAGTCAAGCGCAAGCTTCCCGCCACATCCGCGCGGTTCTCTCCTCTCGACGTTCTCTCATTCCTAACCCGTATACTGATTATCGCATTGTCGTAGATAAAGTTGACGAATTTAGAAGGCGAGCTCCTTCTTGATGTTGGCAATGGCGAGACCGGGGTTGAGACCCTTGGGGCAGGTACGGGTGCAGTTGAGAATGGTGTGGCAGCGGTACAAGCTCATGGAGTTGTTGAGGGCGTCCTTGCGCTGGGCGTGGCGCTCATCACGGGAATCGGCGAGCCAGCGGTAAGACTGGAGGAGGATGGCAGGGCCGAGGTACTCCTCGGAGTTCCACCAGTACGAGGGGCACGAGGTAGAGCAGCAGGCGCAGAGAATGCACTCGTAGAGACCGTCAAGCTTCTTGCGGTCGGCCTTGGTCTGGCGATACTCCTTGCCCTATAAGTGATGACGTAGGTTAGTATCGGGTCGGTCTGCGCGCGCGCGTCTTTCCGTAAAAGCGTCTCCACTTACATCAGGGGAGGGAGTGTCCCTCTGGAGGTAGGGCTTGATGGACTTGTACTGCTTGTAGAAGAGGGTAAGATCGGGGACGAGATCCTTGACGACGTAGGTGTGAGGAAGAGGGTAGATCTTCATCTCAGCGCTGTTGTCGGCGGGAATGCGGCCTGGATTTCAAAACAAGAGGAAGTCAGCATTCCGTCCGTCCCGAGGGATATATCAAGGCTGAGTGTTTGCGACATACACAAGCAGGCGAGGGTGTTGGTGCCGTTGATGTTCATGGCGCAGGAACCGCAGATACCCTCACGGCACGAGCGGCGGAAGGTAAGGGTAGGGTCGAGCTCATTCTTGATGCGGACGAGGGCGTCGAGGACCATGGGACCGGTCTTGTTGAGATCGAGGGTGTAGCTCTGCATGCGCGGCTTCTCGGTCGGGGTGTCGGGGTTCCAGCGGTAGATCTGGAAGGTCTTGAGCTTGGGGCTCTGGCCATCAGAGGCATGGTTGCTGTGAGTAGCACCGTCGGCGAGGTTGGCCATGCCGCGGGCGGCGACGACGGGGCGGAAGGCCGGCCGGGAGGCAGCGGCGAGCACACGGGCGGACGAAGAGCGGAGAGCGGCCATTTTGCTGGCTGATGTGTGATGGGTGTACTGAGGACGAGACGGAGACGAGACGAGAGTGCGGAAAAGCAAGCAAGGGAAGCCGCTTGGCGGATGAGGTGAAATGCCAGACTACGTTTAAATCAAACCGGAACCGGGTTCACAAGCGGAGCGAGTGGAAGATGTAGCAGTGGACGGCGAGATGCCTTTTACTGTCTGTGAGTGGCGTATCCGGGCGGGTTTGGCTGACCCCCCGGGCCGTCATGACTTTCTTTCAAACCGCCTTGTGTTCCCGGAACACCTCGGTATACAGCAGCCAATGAGCGGGCACGTATTCTTCAGCGTCCCGACTTCCGACCGTGGGGAATGCCCACTAGCCGTGCTATCCGGACAGCGGCTAACCGGGAAGAGCAGATTCCATCCCTGATTGTCGCTGATTATCTGATTTTCCAGAAACCACTGGTTCGTCTGCTACGCTATTTGTGAATAATACAGAGTGGATGAGCGGTATATCTGATGCTTGGTAACAACCATTACACTAGATCCCTGATGGAAGTTCGTTGTGCCAGACTTGTGAGGCTGTCGCATTACGTAGTGTACCTGTTCACATGCCCAGGGAGTTTCACTTCTCACAGATTCAGACTGAAGATGGATGCCGCTACAGCGCGGTGCCGTGGTTGTTAGCCGCGTTCAACTTGGCAGTCGCTATAGCCGCTAGCGCGCTAACACTTCTCTCTGTCATCCCACACTGCTAACCCCAACCCTCTTTCTAATGTATCGCAATCTCTGCCCGGCCAGGTCCACTTCGCACATCGGATCTCTGACGTGCGTCCCCGTCGTCAAGTCTTCCCGCTTTGCTTTGCCGGCGATTGTTGTTTGTTGATTGCCCGCGCAGACACTATCATGGTTTACAGACAACTCTCCTTTCTCTAACCTCTCTCTCGACACAGCGGGCCCACAGGGGCTTCGCAACCAAAGCCTACGTACGGCGTATCTTCGCATTGATCAACGATCCGATCTCGTTCCTTGACAACCACCAGGGGCATACCAATCACGACTCTCCATTGACACCTCTAGAGTTTCCACCATCCCCAACCCCCCATCAAGACCAAGCAATGGCGTCCGTTAGCGCTCTCCGCACGCTGTCGGCCCCATGTCATACAGCCCGCCTGCGCCTGGCGAGGTCCTCGACCCTGACCATCAGCCCTACCTCCAGCAGCGTGTCGTCCCTCCTCCTCACCCATAATAACCATAACCGACCCGCCGTCGACGGCATGCGATACCTGACCACATTACCTCCGAGAGTGGGACGACGGGTAGTCCACCAGCTCATGACACAAGCTCCGTACTCGACGGCCGCCGAGCAGCCTGCCTCCTCCGGACCCGCTACCAAGTTCGTCTACAACATCGCCGCCTCGTACGTCGCCAAGGGCCGCCCCTTCAACCCGTCCACCCACGTCTTCCACTTCAACCCCTACCACCGAGTATCCAAGCCCGGCAAGAAGGCAAAGTCGGCGCGCTACGAGTCTGGTCAAGATGCCTTCTTCGTCAGCCGCGTAGGGAACAAGCCCGGCGAGGTTGCGCTTGGCGTAGCTGATGGTGTCGGCGGTTGGATGGACAGCGGTGTCGACCCGGCCGACTTTTCGCATGCCTTCTGCGACTATATGGCTGCTGCCGCATACGAGAACGATAAGCAGCCCACCAAGATTGCGGCAGCGACGGCCAACGGGTCATCAGCGGCTGCTGGTAATAATGGGGACAGCACTGGCAACGCGCCATTGACGGCGCGCTCACTGATGCAAAAGGGCTACGAGGCCGTTTGCCATGACCCAACCATCAAGGCTGGTGGCAGTACGGCGGTGGTTGGCATGTTGGATGAGAGCGGTACGATGGAGGTTGCGAACCTTGGCGACAGTGGTTTCGTAATATTCAGGCTCAACGGCGTCCACACCGCCAGCGAACCTCAGACACACGCATTCAACACCCCCTTCCAGCTCAGCGTGGTCCCGCCCAGCATGTTGCTCCGCGCTGCGACCTTTGGCGGGGGGCTGCTTATCGATCAGCCTCGCGACGCCGACGTGACCCGCCACAAGCTGAAGCACGGAGATGTTGTTGTATTTGGAAGTGATGGTCTTTGGGACAATTTGTTCAACCAGGACATTCTCCGTCTGGTGAGCAGCACGATGCAGAAGCTCGGCGCATGGAAGGACACGGGCGCTGGGGTCCAGGTCACCGAGGACCTGACCCCCTTCACCAAGCTGGACAGCGACGACAAGCCCATTTTCACACTGCAGAGCTTCATTGCCACGCATATTGTCAGCGCCGCCAAGTCGGCGAGCATGAATGCGAAGTTGGACGGCCCGTTTGCCAAGGAGGTCAAGAAGTACTACCCCCAGGATGCGTGGCACGGCGGCAAGGAGGACGATATCTGTGTGGTCGTGGTACTCGTTTCGGAGGAACCGGCGGACATGGCGACGCCAAAGGCACGCCTCTAGAACAGATGATGATGTGAAGAGGGAATACAGGACAACATTAAGAAATTTCTTTGCGCAAAGCGACATAGAAGGGGATAAACAAATATCTTTTTTTTAACTGGCGGCAGCGGCATCCAGGATTGGAGAGCGCATTGTATTCTGAAACCAAAACCAACGATTTAGGGATCTTTCTCATATTGCATATATCACACGTTTTTCTGCATATCATACCACCGACCACGCAAAACAAGCATACCCTAAAGGAGCATTACCAGCGGCGTTCATATGTTGTTTCCATCAACGGACTCTTTGTCTATGTCTTGTCTTGGACGAAACATTTGGTATCAAAACACAGATGCGAAAAGAACGGCGCCGGAGGAGCCACATAAGCGTTTGGGTACTATTGCCGGGTATCGAGAAAAAGAAATAGGAAGAAGTTAATTTCACTCGGTATGATCCGGCTTATTCCACTTTCAACCCACGTGTACGTGTACCAAGTGTCTCACCATCTCCCGCTTTATTGTCCCGTCTCATGATGATCACCCGAACCAGCTACCCCATCAACACTCATCATCAAAGAGTAGAATCCGTTCCCATCTCATGCCGTCCGTCCCCACAGGGCTGAAATGAATATTCCACAGCTGCCGCCTCAGGCCTTTCTTTGGTGGTCCAACGGGCCGCTTTCCTTCGGCTTCATCCCTTCCCTGCTGCCCTGCCGAACCTACCCATCCGTAGGTGCTCGTCAACCAGGTAAAGCCAAAGTCGAAAACGCAGAAAAAAAGGCATCACCACACACACCGGTGTCCCGTCACAAGTTCATCGTCGAATTCCGGAATCTGGACTCATCCCATTCCGATCGGCTTCGGCAGAGCAAGAAGGCCCACCGGTCCAACGGTCCAGCGGTGTTCATCGAATCAACGACCGGGTTCAAGGGCGACGGCAAGGCAGGCGGGCAAGACAGACGGGCAAGGAAGGACACAAAGCCACCAGCCCGCTCCCCCTCATCAAAGGTAGCCCGCAGGACCAAAAAGTCACAGGACTCGCTCCCATCGTTTGCAATGACACGGTGGCGCACCGGCAAGATCACAGCAACAACAGTTGAGAGGAATGGAATGGAATGGGAGAACCAATATTTGCTTTGCTTAGCTTCCTTCATCCTTTCTCTGCCTTCTCTACCCTCTCAGCCTCTCTGATTTTCCACGGTATTACATAAAAGTTCAGAGGAAACTGAAATCTCAAATGGTAGTAGGGCCGAGATTGATGGAATACAGATCAACGGATCACGGGAACATGGGAACACGGGTACTACCAGTAGGCGGTACCGTCTGCAGTGCGGTATGTACGTACGCATGCAGCTACCCTTTGGCCGTTGAAGTTTTTGTAACCACTGCTGGACCATGCATGCCTGTTTGTCCCTGTCAGCCTGTGCAAGCAGCTCATTGTCCACATGCTTTGGTACCACCAACGGAAGCCAAAGTGTCAAACATCCAGGGACATCCAAACAAACCCCGTCTCTGTGACGTCTTTCATGCCGGCATTGGTCGTGTGGGGACTGGTCCCTGCATATTATCTCCCTGGATTTCGGGTGAACGATTAAGAAAACAAAATCTGGGGAACCTGGATAAATCTGGGGTGTATGAGATGTCCAGGACTGAAACAAATGTACTTAAGTTGACCAGCTTGGGATGTGAATGGGTACCACATGGCGAGGCCACAAAAACAACAAAAAACACCAAAGGGTTATCAGCGGCTGTTTGTGTAGAAACTTGTGACTCAAATTGCTCATGCGATGAGAAGGTTACCCAGAACTCATCCCGTGAAACTCGTCCACAAGAAGTGATAAGACTCATCAATGATAAGCCTAATCGTAGAAATTATGCACATTAAGCAGCTTCGTTATCCATCATCGGGGGTATTATAGTCCATGGCCACACTTTTGCCGCAATAGCTCTCCTCCCGTTCGTATCCATCCGTTCATTAATCCATCACAAAGCGCCCAAATTTTCCCACGGTAAAACCCCATGTCAACTCCGAGAACAGCATTACACCCAACTTCCAAAAGCGGACGTCCGAGAATATGTAGTCGCTTGGAGCGTACTGAGGCGTCGAAGCTCAATTATGAACATGTTGCTCCGCCAAGAAAGAAGAAATTATGTACGAGAGCCACATCAAGAGTGCTGTGGTTTCCTTCCATTACATATTCGTAGGCTTCTTAGTTGAAGAAGACAAGGGCGGCGACGGTTCCGAGGATGAGCGCTAGAGGAGAAGCGAAACGCTCAGCATTGTTGGTGTTGGGGGGGCTGTCGCTAGCGGCAGGTTCGGTAGCAGAAGCAGCACGGGTGCTGGTGGTGGTGGAGACAGCGGATGAAGCTAATAATGTTGATGGCATGAGTGTATGTTCTAAGATATATAGTGAGGATGATCGTGTCACGACATGTAACTTACCGGCAGAGGTGACAGTGCTGCTAGCATCAGTGCTGGAGGCAGCGGAGCTAGACTCAACGGTGCTCGACTCATCAATGGAGGAGACCTTGGTAGAGGTGCTGGTCTTGGTGATAGTGCTCAGCGTGCTCGAAGCGCTGCTGGTGGCAACGGCACTGCCAACATAGGGAAAGCGGACACTGTAGTTCTCGTCTTCCTTAGAGTCACCATCGGTAATCTTGAAGGCATAAGTGCCGGAAGGAAGATCCTCAGGAGTCCAGGTGTACGAGTCACCATCGACACCGGCTTTTAGTCTGTCAGTAAATCGCATCCACTTGAAGTTATTATGAGGTTCAAAACTTACAAGCAATAGTCTTGAAGGGCTTCATGGACTTCTCGTCAGGGCCATCCATCAGGTAGATGGTGACGGGACCAGTGGCATCCTTCCACTCGAGGGTATAATCAACACCCTCCTGAATGTTGAAATCAGTGTTGGTGAGGGCGGGCTTAGCGAGAGCATAAGCGACGAAGGCGCTGACGGCGGCAATAGAGAACTTCATTTTGACGGTATTGACGAGAAATTACGACCGAATCGACTGATGTGAGACTGTTGACGAGAGGACTGAAGTGGAAGAAAAAGACGCGGTCAGTCGGAGAGGACATGATATAAACTTGTGACAACGGGCCCCAGCCTCCCAAGCGGATCACATCTCGTTCCAGGTCTCCTCTGCCCTCCGCCCTTCACCTGAGGACCACAGACACCCTGGGAGCAGCCGTGGAAATCGGTGGAGCGGTGGACGGTGGATTGTGTGGATCGACGACCGGGCCACTAGTCTGGGGGTTGGGTATGGGGATGTTCGCGTACGTACCCGATGGAGATTACAAGAATGCTCTGAGTGTTGTTGTGAGTGTGGTGAAAAGCTTTCAATTATCGATGAAGCGGTAGTGAGTGTGGAAGGAGAGGAATTAAATTAGGGTGGACGATATAGGTAGCGATTGTACTGGTTTTAAGGTCAGGTCAGGAGACGAGAGGGACGGTGTAGGTTGACGCTTCGAAAAGTCTGGAAAGAAGGGAACGAGGCAGAACCGATGTGACAAGTCCAGCACCACGGCAGGGGGGACGGCGGGTCAATTAAATGGAAAGAATGGCACAATCCAGTCCAAAGTGGCAGGCACCCTCGAAGCAACATCAGTCGCTCGTCCTGGGGAAGCCGCGGACGCAACTCATGCCAAATGCGCGCACCAATCAGAAGGCGGGATAGGACATAGTGTGGAGGGCTAGCAGGGCAGGGGTCTTCGATTGACGCTCCAGGCACCCTCCCTCAGTCCTCTCACCCATTTTTGCAACTCGGGGTCGCTTTCCATAACTGCAGGGCCTCGCTTGCCCAATCCGGTGAAATGGCTTCTTGGTTTTGCCTCCATCTCCGCGTCTTCTGATCAACACTCGCTCGGAGATAGTTCTTGAAATTTTGTTCATTGGCGGGAGATATCATTGCATGTGCAGTGGATGCAAGCAATGACGCAGTGTCCTGGGAGCACAAAGATCCCATACTGTAAAACCCATCAACCCCGTAGATCTCCCGCCAGGCACATCATCACGCCTCTCGTCCTCCCAAGTCAGGAATGCGATGAGGTCAAAAGGGCAGAGACATGTTCCAGTTCAAACCTCGGCGTGGCGGCTTTGTTCATGATCTGCCCAGGTTGCCATCACCTTCGTGCTAGAAAACATCGTCGCATGGAAATGCCCAAGGCATTCCCGTGATGTTGAGGGTCCTTTGCCCCGCCAACGGTCGTAAGCTTGTTGGATCGCAAAAGCGCAACACCACTGCCACCTTGTGCTGACAAGGAAACAGCGACCGGCCTCGTGTATGCAAAGTCGACACCCTTTTTCTTTTAGTATCAAAAAAAAACCAACAGCAAGATCGTGAAGAACGTTTCGCGGGGTTTTGGGATTGTGTATGACTCTTCAAGATCGAACAATGAAGCCCGTGGCATCCGTTAAATGTTGAATGTTTGCTTTATCCCGTTCTGCCCGTTCCTGCCGTTGACCCTCAATGCTTGTGCGTGGTGCGTGCGATCATGCAGCATCGCCGTTCCTGCGTCCGGTATGTGGGGTCCTCATTTCGCAGAATTCAGGATTGTCGTTGGCTGTATTGCTTTTCGGATGAAGTTCAAGTGCCGCCAAGAATTGGAGATGCACGGTTCTACCATTTCAAGCAATGCTTGGCTTGCAGTCCATCTGCTTGGGCCAGATTAAGTTCTGCCCCCTTTCTTACCTTACCGTCATCCGGTCTCATGAATATACACAGAGGTAGACGGGACAATGGGAAGGAATATTAGAGGGTATCGGCATGCCATCCTTCTTCCTCACTACAGGTGAAAGTTCGTCCTCTCGGCGCACTGACCAGTAAAATGTCGTGAATGTTTTGGGCGAAACGCTACGATGGTGTGTGTCTCGCGGCTCACACAAGTAACATCACAGCCAATCCATCTGGATCGACACTCGAAATGATGACCTGACGTTCACTTGATGGAAACGTTATTACGCAGAGATCTGGGTAATCGGCAATACTTACCACTTCGTTGGGATCCTATCAGACGTGATTATTCTCGTGTGATCCTCAACTTCACAGGGGCGACGGCGCATAGTCATACTGTGCTTGCTATGCTGTCGGGGTAAGCAAAAAACTGTGCAAAAGGTTGCCGCAGACAACCGCTATCATGAGCCTAAGGGAATGATTGGGCGAACACAATGAATGGCTTGTTCTGTGTCACTCGATTGTCGATTTGATTATGGATTGACCACTCATTGTATATCCGACAGCCCGGGTGTTCAGCCCCTTGGGCTCCACGAAGAGTGGTGTTTGGGTTCAGAGGTCGATGGGCGTCCACACTGATAATGAGAATCAAACTGTTCCAATCGTTGGGCCGATTATTAATTAATCTTGGCAACACTGCCACATCTTGTAAACGATGCATCCGCTGCATAGCATTGGCAGATTTGGTCCGAAGTCTTCAGGAGGCGATATCCCCAAAGGGGGATGGGCAAGCTGGGCGGCGAGCATGATGCGCCAAACCAGCAATCATCAACTTTTTGGATGCAAATGTGGCGATCCATTCTCTTTGGTCATAGATCGCTGCTGTTAAGAGACGTAAAGAGTTGTAGGGAAGATGCGGCCTTGGTGGGAAACGATTCCATTGTAATATCCGGACCAACTCTGTCGTCGAAGCGGCCTTGCGGCTAGCAAGCTTGACCACGGTCAGCCTCATAAGCTCCGATAATCTAGGTGCAGCAATGACGAATGGGATGATGACAGACCATTGGACGTCGTTTACGGTTGTCATTCGGGCCCTGATGGCTCCAATGATTACCGACGTGACACCTACTCATGCGGTACTTGGGCACATCTGGTTGCCATTTCTCCTATTCCAACTTGTCCGCACAAATGTCGTAAACAACCAGATCAAGTCTCGTGGACATGGCTTTGTTTCAGGAATCGAGGCCGGATAAAAGTAAACAGCGTCGCACCGCCTGCAGACGGGGGTTGTCCATGTCGCCGCATGTTTGACAGGTACGTGGGTGGACCGAAACATAGCTAGCAGACCGTACATCCGAACTCGTGGAGCTTGAATCGACGAAACCCAGCGTCGTGCTGCATGGAGGGGTCAGTTGATTGTTGGGACATGCATAACTGTTGAAGCCCTATCATAACATCGCGTCAACAGGCTTTTGTCTCTGCGGGGATGATGTGTGACGGGAATCTTTAACCAGATGGCTTTATCCTAAAGCGACTCTCAGGAGAGGAAACACCGCACAACTCCACGCCGGACACCCTCAGACTCCTCGCGCAAAGGCTCAACCGAAGCACCAAGCCTTCTCATCCGGTTAACAAAGTCGTCCAACGATCCTCCGACGCCAAAGTACATCTTCTTTGCGCCGACGATGGAGGAAGCATGGCCACTTGGACGCTCCTTGCGCTCTCGCTCCAGGGTCAAAAGCAGCGTGGCCGCAAAGCTCTCGAGGGCAAAAGGCGAGTAGATGGTCTCTGCGCCAATGACCAGTGTCTGAACATTTCCTGTAGGGTTTGAGGGGATACCAGAGCTGTAAAGAAGGTCGATAAACTCGGGGGACCATCCACCCGATAGGAAAGAAAGCGTGATTTGGTTGGAGGTAAGGAACTCCTTGAAGGCTTCGACTACTCCGGGAAGCAACTCGACTTCGTCCTCCAGCGAAAAGGCGTCTGCCAGGGCAGGAGTGCTTTCTCGTTGAGCGAGCGCCCAAGCGAGGAGGAAGTTGGGGAGGGTGACCAGATAGAGAACTGATGGGTTATAATCAGCCAGTACGATCGTAAGCGGCTGCTTCTCCCTAGACTTTCTCTCGTTCATTGCCCACTGAAAGAGCGCGAGGGACGGCAGGGCAGTGCCGCAGCCCAGCTGAAAAGCGATCTGTCAGCAACAACGAAAGCATATCGAAGGAAAAAAGCGACGAGGGTTAAATGGCCAAGACCAAAAGGGGACGCGTACCTCCATCAGCACACAAGGATCGCGGTTGAGTATCGTGGGTGCGTTTTCGGAGGCGAGCACCTTGACCAAGTCAACGCTGCTTTCCCAGCTCTTGAAGCCACCCTCGTAGATACCCGTCTTGACATCGTGCTCCCCCAGGCCGGGCTCCGTCTCGGAGATATTGGAGCCATCATCCTCAGCCATGAGCTGCACCCGAACATCCCACAGCTCTCGGCGCGGAATCTGAATGGTCTTGCCCTCTTCTAGCTCGACATCTAGTAGGCTGTAGGCGATCTTGGAGGGCAACCTTGATAGCATGTGATCGATATCATGGTGGGTTGGTGGCAGCAGAGGCTTTCCCTGAACGGGGAAAGCACTGGCACTTGTCGTCGCTGAGGGTGTCGAAAGGGCTACGTTGTTGATCTGGGGGGTTGTTGGTTGTTGCCCGTCGTCCTCAATATCGTCTCCCGCAAAACCGAAAGAAAATCCAGACGCCATGTTTGCGTTGAGCTGGTCGTATACCGTGCCTCTAGAATCACCGCCTTTTCTTTTTTGCGTTTTGCTTTTTCCCACGTAAAGGTTGAAAGGAGACAGGCGGCTATCGAAACCTAGTGTCTTACGCAAGTCTAGAACGTCAGAGTTGAATGTGAGGGAGCCTGTTGAGGTTACCAGTGCTAAACAATATCCATGTTTATCTTGATTCTTGTCGTCGTCTTTAGGGTTATGATCAAGGGTTAGGCATGGGAGGCCATCTTATCGCGGGGCAGGCCCAAGAACTCTAGAACGGGCCGTGGACAGCTGGGGATCGGCTGCCCCACCATGTTTCAGGGGACACTAACAGGCACTTTCCGGGGGAAGTGGAGTGGTGCCTTCCCAGTCTGTCCAACACGATGGGTTCGCCGTCGACGTTCAAGGACCATTGACCATTGACCATTCATCTCTCATCTCTCATCATGCATGCCGTCGGTCGGGTGTTCTCCTGACATCGCTCGCCTGCACGACAACATATCGCTTGCGACAATCGAGATGGTGAGATGCTGCTGGTGTCAACCACAGAGGCGGCTCAAGCCCTCGCACTCCCAGGTTCGAGGTTCGGGGATTTAGCAGGCCGACGATCCCCATTCGTTGCTCCCTGGCGAGGTTGTTCAATCGACGAGATCCCGCCGCTGTGGTTGGACCAAATACGACATATATAACCACGCATAATCCGTACACCATACTGCACCTTACTACTCCAGTCCTCGCTCTCCATAACCTCCGCCGCCCATCAGCACTTGGCTAGAAGGATCAAAGGCCTGGACATGGAACCTACATGATACATTGCTTTTCACACTTTACAACCCGCTCTTCCATTGGACTGCCGAGGCCTCGGTCAACTCGAGGGCTTCGTTTGCCGTTCTCTGCCCATCCAACTTCACTGTTTGGCCCTTCTTGTGTGCAATGGTTCCGATGGCATATGTGCGTTGCTTAACCCATGGCAACTGGCTGGGGATGCTGGATCAATGAGGAGGGATGCCACGGGCGGGATGGCTTTTGCGGCTTGACGACCGAACCATGTTTGGTCAGATGGGTTCTGGTTGAAGCATGTTGCCCGCCCGTCGAGCTCCGTAAACCAGCCAACTGCCCGCGTATCAGGAACAAACAGGACCGAGAGTTGGCACCTACCTGCCGATTCAATATCAGAGAGACAAGGGACAATGAAAGCCGGGACGGGCTTCATCAGCTTCCCAGCAGGCGCCTCCATTATTGCCATCCGATCTTCTTGCGGCTTGTCACTTGACATTAAAAGCGCTTTGGGGACTCGAAACCGGGTCGCAACCTCCTTCAACAACCCACCTCAAGGTTTCGTATTGGCAACTCGTGGCTCCTTTCAAAGTCGCCACTATTGTTTGCTAAATCTGCAATCCGATCCAGATCAAGCATCCTTACCGACGCCTTGATTCACCTAATCCTCCGAGGACGGACGGCTTCACTCCTTCCTACATATACCCGGCTTGGTCCTCGACCTCATCCGTGTGCTACTTATCTTCTTGCCTTTTCTTAATTCGATATTTCCTGATACAACAGCATCATATCAGACACATCCACTTCCTCAGTCTTCAAGATGGTTATCAACACATCTGGGCCTGAATTGCCCATCCGCACCCACAATCTGCCAACTCCAACCCTTTCGCAGAATGGCTCCGACCTCGAAGAGAGTTATACGGTTCGAGAAGAGCCTCTTGGCACAACCAAGCACATCCGGATCGTCGGCATCGGTGCCGGTGCAAGCGGGCTAAACATGGTCCGTACCCTCCGCTTGAATCTTACCAACTACGACTTCGTCATCTACGAAAAGAATAGCGACGTGGGTGGTACTTGGTTCGAGAACCGATATCCTGGCTGCCGATGTGATGTTCCAAGTCACAACTACCAGTTCTCGTGGAAGCCAAAGCATGACTGGACCAACTTCCACTCCTCAGCTGATGAGATTGGTGGTTATCTTCGCCATGTATGCGACGAAGAGCATATGTGGGACTCGATCAAGACCTCGCATCGTGTGGAATTTGCGCAATGGGACGAAGAGAAAGCACGCTGGGATTTGATGGTACAGGATTTGACGACAGGCGAGTCGATCAGTGACTATGCCGACTTTCTGTTGGATGGAACAGGTATCCTTAAGTGAGCGACACTCCCACATACAGACCCATGACTTGTATTGTGATGTCAAGTGGCTGACGGTTGTGCTCTACAGCAACTGGAAATGGCCTGATGTTGACGACCTTCACGCCTTCGAGGGAGACCTAATACACACCGCCAACTGGCCAGAGGACTTTGACGCTGCAGGAAAGGTAGTTGCTGTCATCGGCAATGGTTCGACGGGAATCCAGGTTGTGCCAGAACTACAGAAGAGTAAGCATTTCTTCTGTTACTCTGCGAAACAAGCTCGGCTAACGGTTTATCAGAGGTCAAGAAGTTGTACCATGTTTTCAGAACGCCAACTTGGGTCACTCCGCCACGGATAATGGCTTGGAAGATGATGGGCCATAACAAGCAACTCCTGGAGATACTCGGTGAGATCGGGATTGATGACCAAGAGAACTTCTCTCAGGAGACGATAGAGAGGTTCAAGTCCGACCCCGAGTTCTATCACCGTTTTGTCAAGGCCGTGGAGAAGGAAGTCAATAATGGTTTCCCGATGGTAAGTCAATCCAGAGTTTACAGAGCCAAAGGGCCATTGCTAACACATGTATTGCAAAGGTCGTGGCAGGAAGCCCGGTACAAGCCATTGCTCAGCAACTGACAAAGCAATACATGACCATGATACTTGGAGGGAAAAAGGAGCTTTGCGAAACAATGATTCCAGACTTCCCACTAGGAACGAGGAGGCTAACCCCTGGTCAAGACTACCTCAAGGCTCTAACCCAAGAGAATGTCGAGGTTCGAAGAGGCGGGATCCGACGCTTTGTTCCTGAGGGTATCCAACTGGAATCTGGCGAAGTGATCAAGGTCGACGCAATTGTTTGCGCCACCGGTTTCAACACTTCCTTCCGTCCGCGATTTCCTATCGTTGGGCGCAGTGGAAATCTGCAAACGAGGTTCAGAGACGAGGTTCCCAAGTCTTACATGTCTTGCGCCATTGCCGACATGCCCAATTATTTTGGTAAGCCAGGCTCGATTCAACTCTTAGCTTGTAACAGACCCTGCTGACCTATGATGTTCCAGTCTTCCTAGGACCCAACGCGCCCATCGGCCACGGCAGTGTTTTTACCCTAACCGAGCACATCGCCAAGTACATTACCCGGATCATCAAGAAATGCCAGACGGAGTGCATCAAGGCCATCTGCCCTTCCCAGGACGCGATCGATGACTACTTCGAGCATATCTCGGCTTTCATGCCTCGTACAACGTGGGGAGCCCAGGGTCGGTCGTGGTTCAAGAATGGGAAGGAGGACGGACCGGTAACGGCGCTGCATCCAGGAAGTCGCATACACTTCTTCCACATGTTGGAGAACTTCCGGGGCGAGGACTGGGATTATGTCTACGACGGGCCGAAGAGAAATCGGTTCTACTACCTTGGGAACGGGTTCTCGGCAAAGGAGAAAGGAGATACGACGTGGTATCTTGACAACCCGGATGCAAAGTTGTGAATGGATGAAGGAGGCATCGGAGAGGGTTGTGAGAACGGATGTGGTATGGGGTTGGGCAAAAGACACGGCACAGTATAGCAACAAAGGAGCAGCGGAAGACTAGGCAAACAAAACATCCCATCCCATCACGCTACTTTAAGGGCGGTTAATCCAAAGGCGTCCGTTGGCAAAGTGTAAGGAGGTGAAATTGACAAAGTAGCCAACGTTGGTCTAAACAGACCAACCGGCATGGCTGATTATAGCGAGCGTTTAGTAATCGTGAAGACAACGTATAGCCCTCTTCTAACACCTTCCTATGCCGCATGACAACGAGCCGATTTTGTTTCTCTCATTCATCACCCTATTGCATCCTAAGTCATCATATCATGAATTCTTTGATTAATCCATGTAGTGCCTATCTGTATGTTCAGGTGTAGTGATGATAGGTGCGTTCGTAGGTGCAGTCCAGCAAGTAGTTTGCACGATTGTAAGACACTGTGTACCTCTCTTCGCTCCAAAATGCTGACTACTTCCGTCTATCGCCAAGTTTTACAAGTACAGCACAGTGCAAACATTATCTCGACAGCCGCTAATGACCACCCTCCATCTGGCTCCACGCTCCCAGCAACATCACCGGACCCAAACCCCCAACCTTCAAAAGGGCCACCTTCAACTTCTGATCAATCATATTTCCCCAAAACACGCATTTTTCTTCTGGTGTTGGCGTTAGACACATCTCGTCTTCTACACTCTCAACAGGTGACATTCCTATTTGGGAAACTTCTGCGGCGAACACTCGACTACAACCATTCTGGTTGCTTACGGCTTTCGATACCGACTGGCGACAACCGAACAAAGCTTATTTGAACAACACTCATCGGCAACCTGACAGAGGAGCAGATAGGCCAAGTACAAACACTTCACTTGAAAAGCTTCATTAGCACAATACCGTATTACCAAAAAAAGGCAAAGCAGGGTGTGAATGGTGGAAGATTATCCAAACATCCTATGACGGAAGCCTCTACAGCTCACGCCATGAGTGAGCTTCAAAAGAAGTGGGCAAAGGCGAGGCTCGGTAGCCAGGCGTTAGGACAGCCACCAGCAGAGATACCGACAGCAACGACGATGCCAGTGCCCGAGTTCAATGAGGCGGACGAAGACAGAGAAGTGGCGGGCCCCAGTCCAGGCGGATTTCCCTTTGACGACGACTCCTCATCAGCGTCTTCTGTGTCATCGACAGGAACCGTGATCCCTTCTCCTGGAAGGGCTCTATTTGCACGGCCGCAAGGGTATGTCGGACTCCATCCTCCTCTTCCAGCTATGTGTTAAGTGAATGTTAACATTACCTCAATCAGGTTTGCAAGTCGGTCCATGGACCCAATCCCTTGGACAACTTACTTTGAACGAGAACTCTTTCTTAAGGAAGAAGCTACATCCGACGGTCAAAGTAACGACAAATCACAGAAAGTTACCCATCACGCTTACCTCACCTCCCCAGTTGGCAAAGGTCCCCTCTTCGTCGCCCACCATGGCGCCGGTTCCTCCGGCCTCTCCTTCGCTGTTCTCAGCGCCGAGATTCGTAAACGTCTACCCAACGCCGGCATCCTCTCACTCGACGCACGCGGTCATGGCTCAACAACAATCACCACCACCACCCCTTCCCCAGAAGGAGGAGAAACTGCAAAGGATCAAGCATCACCACCACCACCACCACCACCACCACCACTAGACCTCAGCCTTTCCACCCTCGCTACTGACCTCTTCACCGTCATCCAGCTCACAAAGACCACCATGCACTGGCCCGAACTCCCGCCCATAATTCTCGTGGGGCACTCCCTCGGCGGCGCCGTCGTCACCGAGCTCGCCAAATCCTACCGTCTCGGCCCCTCGCTCCTCGGCTACGCCGTGCTAGACGTAGTCGAAGGCAGCGCCATGGACGCCCTCCAAAGCATGCAAACCTACCTCTCCACGCGTCCCACCGGGTTCGCGACCCTAAAAGACGGAATCGAGTGGCACGTGCGATCACGGACGATTCGGAACTCGACGTCAGCCAGAACAAGCGTGCCCGGACTTTTGGCACCCCTGGAAGAGTTGCAGAGGCAGCAGCTGCATCAGCCGAGAGGGGTGGCGGGGACGGAGGGGACGGCGAAGCCGTGGCGGTGGAAGACGGATCTGGCGGCCACGCAGCCGTTTTGGGAGGAGTGGTTTAAGGGGCTGAGCAAGAAGTTTTTGGAGGCGAAGGGGGGCAAGATGTTGTTGCTTGCGGGGACGGATCGGTTGGATACGGAGTTGACTATTGGGCAGATGCAAGGTATGTTTCCGGTTCCGGTTCCTCTCTGTCTCTGATCGTTATAGATCACGGGGGCACTGCTTTACTTCAGGGTTGCTTATGACTTAACTAATAACTCGGATTGGGTGCTCTACAGGTAAATACGCTTTGCAAGTATTCCCCGAAGCAGGACACTTCATTCACGAAGACTTGCCGGAGAAGACGGCGATTGCGCTTGTGGACTTCCATAGGCGCAATGATAGGAGTCAGCTGGTGCTCCCACCCAAGGTATCGGATCTGTTAGCTCAGGGAAAGAGAGTATAGTTACACCTCGAGCAGGGAAGGGCGTTAAACGGGTCCGAGGAGAAGTTGATCATCACGCATCCAGTTCGGATGACACGAGATGATGATGAGGGGATAGAAATTGTTGCATAGCGCATAAACACTCGTACTCGGGAGTTACTACAGCAAGGGCCGGTACATTGATTGTTGGCATGGCCCAACTAAAGATGTCATTACTTCCATCGTCTGAAGAATATACGAACCAGAGTGTCACCAGAAAGCGTAGCAGTAGATGTAGCAGTAAACCAGGAGTTGCCCCCGTTATTTCTCAGAAAAAAAAACATCCAAATTCTATGAACACATTCCCCAATAGGGATGCACATCGCGGTATGCTTCTCTCGACAACCGTGCCGTTGAGATAGTGCCAAACTCCAACAAAGCAACTCAAGAATTTACTAAGATTCGCCCCTTTCGAAACGCCCAACGAACAACCAAATTTTGTGTAACCGCGCTATGTATGTGCTTGAACCGTAAACAAGACCGAGTAAAATAAAGAGAAGTGAAGAGATGGGTGAAGAAGAAAGAGGAACAACCTATGAAGCCGCGACGGCAGCAGCAACGGGCTGCGAGGACTGCTGCTCAACGGCGGCGGCTTCGACGGCCTCGGAAACGTTGATTCTGGTCGAAGGAGGGAGTTGCTGCTTTTCGGCTTCCTCATCACCATCCTCTCTCTTCCTCTTCAGATTCTCCTGCTGAGCAACATCATTCGTGAGGTCGTTCTTCTTCTTCTCCTTTACTGTCGTCTCGGCCATCTTGGACTTATCATTACCGCTGCTGCTTCCATCGACAGTAGCAAGCTTCATGAGCTCGTCCGTCTTCCTCGCCAGCTCCTCGAGGTCCGTCAACCCCAGCACCTCGATGATCTTGCCGTAGCTCTTGCAGTGCGTCAGCTCCTTGTACTTGGGACTCTTGCCGGGCACCATCTGCGTCAACATGAACTTTGTGTTGTGGAACTTGTTCTCGACCTCCATCGCAAACCTCATGTACTTGGCCACGGCCTCCTCCCAGGTCGCGAGGCCGCCGTCCGCCTTGGCGCGGAAGCACGAGCCGTTCTTCTCGGCGCAGGTCGCGATCATGGCGCCGTCTGTGCCGTACTCGGCCATCAGCTCAAGACCATGGTCCCGCCCCTCGACATCGCCGTTCACCACACACGCCACCCCGTATTCGTGACAGACGTCGGCGATCATGCGCAGCTGGCCGCGGATGGCGCGCTCGCGCGGGCGCATGGGCGTGGTGCGGCAGTGGATCGTCAAGCCGGTGATGCCCGCGGCGCAAAGGCGGCGGACGAGTGTTTCGGTCTCGGCAGGGGTCTCGAGCAGGCGGATCTTGACGCTGATGCCGATGTCAAAGGCCGGCTTGATCTCGGCGACGAGGGCTTCGAGGATGGAAACGAGCTTGTCGGGGGTGCGCAGGAGGGCGGCGCCCATGCCGGCGTGCGTGCTGAAGGGCTTGGGGCAGCCGGCGTTGACGTCGATTCCGGAAACATCGGCGGCGACGAGCTTGGCGCACTCGACGGCTCTGGATGGGTCGGAGGTGCCTATCTGGAAAATGTGTCGGCCGGCTTCACGGACGGGATCGACGCGGTAGATGATGGACTCGTCGTACAGTTCCTTCTTGACGTTGTTAGTCGGGATGCGAGTCCATTCGACGCAGCCGGTTCGGGGGTTGATACGGCGGGTGGTTCCGATCATGGCACGGTCAATAGTCTCGGGACCTGATGAGAGAAGAGGGGGTGTTAGTCAAGATGTCGAAGGCTGTAATCGTTCCAAGTAAGTTAGTTTGTTGAACGCACCCCATACGAGATCGGCACCATAATGGAGAGCCAGTAGGCGCGATGGAAGCTCTCCAGAACGGACCATGGGAGCCAAAACGATCTTGCCACGATAGTCGACGCCCCGCGACGGGATTGGCACCCTCTTCTGTGTAAGTCCCGCGGCAGCAGCAGCCAGGGCCGGGGCCGTCTCTTCGGTAACGGATGTCATGATGGTTCGGACAAGGCGCAATGGAGAAAATGGCATATCATCTGCTGGCGTCTCTGCCCGGACAGAGGAGGAGAAGGAGGAGGAGAGAAAAGGGTGCGGTGTGGGGAGCGCCGTGAGGGATTGAAATGGGAATTTGTGAAAGATGGAAAATAGCTAACGGCACTATCCAGAAATTCGATCTGCGATCGGCGGGCGCCGAGGCGGGCTGGCCACCGATTGTTGCACTCGGGGTGGGGCCGCGAGGGGCCGGGAAATCGATATTAACCCTAACCCCAGAGAGGCTTATAAAGTTATGATTGCCAGCTTGGAGGTTTGTGAGTGAGTGCCGTTGGGTTATCAGATGAAAGGATGAATGGGAAGATCAGATCCATGTTGCCTGCTGTTGATAAAAACGTCTGTTTTCACCGTGTGACTCTGGCGGTCCAGGTAAACCAGTCATATGCCGAGATTCGAGTGCTCCCGAACATACCATGATCCTGAGGTCCAGCCATGTATACCCATCCTGATTTACTATTCCAGAAGGATAGATGGAGGTTACAGGAGCTCTTCAAGACTAAGTTTTGTTAGTTGACATGTATACAGAGCGGAGTATTACTCACAACATTACCAGTGGTAGACGTCGGACAAATCACCGAGAGCTGCCTCATGAAAAGGGGCATTTGTTGTTATTCAAGCCACATGAGGCTGAGTTCGGGCGTAGAACAACCTCCAGAACTTGAAGAACCACCATCACACAAACTGTCCATGTCTCTTCACAACCAAACAAGACTCGATGATCAGCTTCATGTTTTTGATCTTCAGTTGTTGACAGCACATCAATTCGTGTTGTCTCATGAGCTCCCAACTGCAACGAAGCAATCCGGGGCTGCAGTGACAGCGGTGAGGGTACAAAGATACAGTGGACAATACACTGCTGGAGCCAAGCTCCGCTCTTCGGAAACGTTAGGAAGTGGCCCCAGACGTGCTCAGCCCGAGCCTTGTCCCGGCAGCCAGGCCAGACCCCCCCAATTGAGGGCCCTGGAAGCATTGATTCACGAGGGGTTGTTGAGCCTTGAGTGGTTGAAAAAGAAGCCGCGGCCAAAGGGAATGGAACTGAACCGAGTGAGCGACAAGACTTTTTTGATCAGGAACAGGGCATCCGCGAGTCGATACTTACAGCACCCCTCTTGTACCGACGCTTGTTTCAGTTTCTTACATATTTCCATCTCACCTGCCGTGACTCTATCTCCATCGACGCTAGCAGTTAAATGCAGTCTCAGAGCCTTGTCAGGTTGCGGACGTTGCTGCCAAAGACGCGGTCCCAAAGCAACTACTTGAGCACCAGACAGCACAGCACGCTTCCGCTCCCGCACCCGTTAACGCACCCGCGCCGCCCGTCGTCGCAGTCGCAGTTGCAGCCACACATCATCTTCAAACTCAACATGCCGCCACAACTCGGCCGTCCCGGCCAATCGCAGGCCCGCACGCTGGCGTCACTCAGCGGGCCCCAGTCATCGAATTCCACCCACACCCAGTGCCCGGTCGGAGCTGGGACCCCTCCCCTCCATCTGGCAATGGATCGGGGGGAGCTGCCCAATCTCCGAATACAAAACCGCTGTCCACCCTGACGAGGCCAAACACCACCGCCATTTCCTCCGCCAGAACACAACAGATTGCCCGGCATCTCTCGTCGAGCTCAGTCGCAACCATGGCTTCCAACTACTCCATCCGCAAGGTCGGCGCTCCCTACACCTTGGAGCACCGCGTCTACGTCGAGAAGGATGGCGTCCCCGTCTCGCCCTTCCACGATATCCCGCTCTACGCCAACGCCGAGCAGACCATCCTCAACATGGTCGTTGAGATTCCCCGCTGGACCAACGCCAAGCAGGAGGTAGGCTTCTCTTGAGTTGAGGAGGCATCCCGCGCATGTAGCTTCGTTGTTGGCGAGGCAGACCGCGGGGTATTTACCTCACCCCCTTTTTCTTATACAGACACTAACAACTCCCCCATAGATCTCCAAGGAGGAGCTCCTGAACCCCATCAAGCAGGACACCAAGAAGGGCAAGCTTCGCTTCGTCCGCAACTGCTTCCCCCACAAGGGCTACCTCTGGAACTACGGTGCCTTCCCCCAGACCTGGGAAGACCCCAACTCCATCCACCCCGAGACCAAGGCCAAGGGTGACAACGACCCGCTCGACGTCTGCGAGATCGGCGAGCTCGTCGGCTACACCGGCCAGGTCAAGCAGGTCAAGGTCCTCGGTGTCATGGCCCTTCTCGACGAGGAGGAGACCGACTGGAAGGTCATTGTCATTGACGTCAACGACCCTCTTGCCCCCAAGCTCAACGACATTGAGGATGTTGAGCGTCACCTCCCCGGCCTCATTCGTGCCACCAACGAGTGGTTCCGCATCTACAAGATCCCTGACGGCAAGCCCGAGAACCAGTTCGCTTTCACCGGCGAGTGCAAGAACAAGAAGTGAGTTTTTCGCCAGTTTGTCGCCGCAACTGCAAGCAACACCGGCTAACAACATGACAATAGGTACGCCATGGACGTCGTCCGTGAGTGCAACGAGGCCTGGGAGCGTCTCATCACCGGCAAGACTGCCCCCGGCGGTGTTTCCACTACCAACGTCACTGTCCAGCACTCCAGCAGCCGTGTTGCCCCTGACCAGCTTCCTCCTCTCCCCGCCAACGAGGAGCTTCCCCCTGCTCCCATCGATAGCTCCATCGACAAGTGGTTCTTCATCAGCGGTGCTTCCGCTTAGAGAGCTCATTTGTTGAGATAGAATAAAGACATCCTTTTTTTTGGCACCCCGTTGTCCAGGTCAATTCGTGAACTGCTCCCACTGGTGGACTGTTACCCTCATATGGCCGATTTCGCGTAAATTTGGACGAGTTGGGTAGATTGGCCTTGAATTTGGTGGTTGTAAGGTTCGTCTGGTCAACAATTGGTTTTCTCTGAGGTTGTAGTCCATGCCATTGGGTAGGAACATGAGGAAGTACTCAGCATTTTCACCCTTTGGGTTTCGCCGCTTATATGCAATGACCGTTGGTGAATACACCGTCGAATTGGCAAACCTGGTCCTCGACAACGGGCAGACTTTACCGTTGCTGTGTCAGCGAGGGCATACCACGATGTATGTGAATAAATCCATGGCAGAGGTGCTATCTACGCATGTCTATAACAACAGGTAACCAAACTGCCTTGCCAACTGAAAATCGCCGGCCCCATAACGCCTCCCAATGCTTTTGGTGTACACTTGCAACCTCTTCCCCAATACAAATACAGGTTTATATCTTTTTGTTGTTCTTGGCTGGTAAGGCGATCTTACAGATCTCTCGGACAGGTTGTCAGGTATCCGGCTCGAGGCTGCCCTGGTCGTTTGGCATGTGGTTTTGATCGTGCCTCCAGGTATCCAGAACTTCCCCAGCTTCCCTCCCTGCCTGTTATCCCTGAGTACCACGGGACCAAAGCCAAACTCTCTGGGTATCAAGACAAGAGGCGCTCTCTTCCCGCTCTTTACTTGTCGATTTTCCCCTTTTCCGACTTGGTAGTCTCCTTCGTTCTGCCCGAAAACTCCATTGGCGGATCAACACAACAACAAGGGCGCATCGGAATTGTTGGGTTGTGAAAACGAGAGAAATTCGTTTAACCGTCGTTCAAGTCGGACTGCTTCTGGAGGATACGAGAGTGGCGATCCACCTCCTCGACGATGCTCTTGATGCCCATGTTCTCAACGTCAATGTTCATTTCCTTGCCGTCCTCTGTTCACAGACCGTGTTAGCCTCTGATTTCTAAGAGATAAAAAAAAGACAAAAGGAAAAAAGCAACAGAAACACAACAGGGATTGCAACTGCAACTACAACGGTGGGTGGGTGTGACAATGAGATAACGACGTACTGAACTTGACATAGAGCAGAGGACTCTCGGTAGAGTTCCGCGGCAGAAGCTGGGTGGTGATGTTCATGCCATCGGAGCGGGCGTTGGGAGGCAGGAAGGAGAGGAACAGGCGGGCGGCCTTAGCCTTGGGCGAGAAAGGGTTGAAGCGCGTTGATACGTCGGTGATGAAGCGGGTGAGCATGTTGGGCGAAGTCTGCGAGAGTCTGCGAGTCTGACTCTGTTCGGGTGGGTGGGAGTTGGATCCGGGAGGGAAAAGAAAAAAAAGAGGAAGCCTGAGACTGCGACTTTGCGACGTGCGATTTGCGACGGGACTGCAACACCGGACGGAAGACGGAGACGCGGGAGGAGTGCGGAGCGAGACGGGAGACGGGGAGACGGGGAGACGGGGTCTGTCCTGTGGAGGATCGGACGGGGGAGCTTCAGTTGTGTCGCGATTAGGACTTCGGTTCGGTCTTCGTGCCTGGCTGGCGCCGGCCGGCAGTGTGGGGGGATGCGATCAAAAATTACTGGAGGTACGTACCGATTGCGCCGGGGGCCGGGGGCCGGGAGGGGTGTTTCTAAAAAACGGAAATGCGGGACGGTGCGCGCAACGTGTGAGCGTGAGGCTGTGATTGGTCTTAAGTTTGGGCTTAAACAGCATGAAGGTTTATTTCATTTTCACATTCAGTTCACTAGAAGACTACATTTTACCACTTTGAAAAGAACTGTTCCTCATCTTGTTCTTACGTATATATAATCTATAGTATATAAATCTCTCTTCCTATTGCCTCGCGTCAACAAGCAGCGTACATACTTCAATCTCGAGATCCCCGTTTAGTGTAGCTAACTCTCCGTTTTCGCACTTCCGCATGTGATCCCGCCGTTTCAAAGACCTCCTTCCGAATGACGTTGCAACAGCGCCCGAGAAGCATCGCTACAGTGCTCTCCTTTCAGGCCAAGTTTCCACTATCATCAACCACAGCTGCTGATCAACAACCAACCGTGATTCTATACTGTTACATCCACCTTTTTTCAACACCTACACGTCTACACCCTACAACTAGAGTACCGACGCAAATCCAACAGTAATCATTAATGTCATCGTTCGAAACGCTCCAAGAGCGGCTCACGACCCTCCAGGAGACGACCGGCCAGCTTAAGGAGCTCATCGACCGTCTCGCCACCCTCAAATTCGAGCCCGGTTCCGTTCCTCTCAGCAACAGCATCAGCAGTCTCTCCAACGCCGGCGCCGATGGAAACACCGACAATGAGGCCGCCGATTTGAGCGCCGAAATTAGCCAGGTCTTGCGCGAGGAGGAGGAGGATCTGGAGTTGCTGCAGGAGGAGATCATCGACTTGCGCTCCGGCCATCCAGGGAGCGAGGCAGAACACAAGAAGACGAGGTTAAAGGAGGGCGCGCAACGCTTGGCTGTTGAGATCAAGGGGTGAGTTTCTGTCAACCTCCACGGTGATGATGATGACGACCAAGTAAACAGAGTTTCTAACAAGATCTGGTTTTCAAACAGCTGCCGAACCTCCTTCCGCAAAGCCCAACTCGCCGCGCGCCGCAACCTCGAAACCGCCCAGCGCCTCGAGCGCCAACTCCTGCTAGCCTCCTACGTCGCCGTCGCCGCCAACCTCGCCGCTACATCATCAGACCGCGGATCCGGCGCCTCAACACCCGCGCCTCAGCAGCCAACCTCGACCACCCCGCCCCCTCTCGCAACCTCCGCCGCCGCCGCCACTTCCTCAGATGCCGCCCCCCCTCTCGACACCCGCCAAGCCCTCTTCGGCAACCGTCGGCGCAAAAACCACCAAACGACCGCGGCCCCCTCGCACGACTCGGAAGTCGTCTCCGCCTCCTCCACCGTGACCGACGCGCTCCGGCGCACGCACGCGCTGATCGCCTCGGAAGTAGCCAAGTCGGCGTTCGCGTCGCAGACGCTTGCCGAGAGCACGGCCGCGTTGAAGGAGCTGCAGCGCAGCTACGAGGGGATTGATTCGCTCCTGACGCGCTCGCGGGACCTGGTATCTACCCTGCTGCAGAGCCAGAAGAGCGATACGTGGTACTTGCGGACGAGCCTGTACATGTTGCTGTGCACGCTGGGGTGGCTGGTGTTTAGGAGGTGGTTGTATGGACCGCTTTGGTGGGTTTTGTGGCTGCCGCTGAAGATGGTTTGGAAGGGTGGACGGGCTGCGTACTCTGTGTCGACGCATCATGGTGCGGAAACTACAGCAGGGGCGAGGATGGAGGTTTTGGTTGGGAATGATGGAAAGGGAGCAGGAAGGAGTGTGGTGGGGATGGCGGAGGAGGGGGCTGTTCCTACTGTCCAGGTTGGAGTTGAGAAAGGGGAGAAGAGGGATAATGGTAATGATGTGGACGAACCGGAATCGATGGTTGAAAAGGTTGGAAGGATTATCGAGGAGAATTTGCCGCCTTTGGAGGATGAGAAGGATGATACGCATCAGATCGTGGTCGAAGATCCGGACCTGGAACAAGGTTGGATTGGTCAGGAGTATATCTTTACCGGGAAACAAGGAGAGAAGGGAGAACAGGAGGAGGAGGAGGAGGAGGAGGAGGAGGAGGAGGAAGTGGTACAACGAAATCCCAAGAAGCGGATGTGGGAAGAACCCGTGGCGAACCAACCGATTAAGGATGAGCTTTGAGGCTTGATAGTTTGCAGGACTTTGGAAGACGAAGTCTCGGTCAGAAGCCACCTATTTCCAAGAAGAGTTTGAACATGGATTGGCGTCACTTTTGTTTGTTAACGACATAGAATTGGGATTACACATGGCTCGATGTCTGGCGTGAATCGACCACGTCTTTTCTTTAAAGCCCCATTACACGAGCACCATCAGCATTGTAATCCTCAACAATGTGCCATCCCAGAGTGCACATCGGACAACTTTGGCTTCTGGTAAACAAAACTGATACTGATATTCGATATATGTTATTTCTTCCCTCTATCCCCTGTGCCACCACCCCCACACGTTGTAGACATCATAATTCATTCCGTTCTGTTTCGCGAAGTTCAATGCTTGTTACTTATACAACATAAAAACATGATCATAAAAGGATGCTGCTATTCCTTCTTGACTCGATTCGCGTTGCCCGCCATCCATCCATCCTGTCCCGTCGTTTATCTCCTTTTTTCCTCTCATCCGTCTTCCCATTTTCCCATCCGTTTCGTGTTGTATCTCGTAGGAAAATGGTATATAATGATAATTGTGTAGAAGCCTTTCCCCGTATTACCATGCCCCATCATCCCCGCCCATCCATCCATTTAGTTTCGTGGTATATCGTGAACATGCAAAACGCCGTATTTGATCCTTAATGCCCAAAACCGTACCTCCAAAACCAACCAACCAAGGAAAAATAGTGATGGTGACTATACAAATTCATTGGAACGACAAGGCAGAAGACCGCCCAATGCAAAACCATAAACATGCAGTGAACGTATGAGAGCGGAGGGGGGTATGTATATGCAACAGAAAACCGCGATTGTTTTTTTCCCCCTCCGTATTGAAAGCATGTGTCAACTTTGAATCTCCCAAACGCCTTTCCTTTCCGTTCATCCTGGTTCATGATTTTCTTCTCGTTTTTTGTGTTTCTTTTCGCTGCCCTGAATCAAGCCAACCAATGTCCCTTATTGAGGAGCATCCGACTTGTGTCTGCGATGCAACAACGCCTGAAGGGGGAGACTGAAGCGGCGAGAAGTAGAGTTGATCAATGCATCGAGCAAGCCGACCTTAGCCCACTTGTTCTCATGATAGTGATGGAAGCCGAAAAAGCCAGCCGTGGGAGGAGGAGCGTATAGCTCAGGGGCCTCCTCCTCGTCAACATCCGAGCCACGGATGGTATCGACAGAGCCGCGGGGACTAACTCCGAATACTTGGCGGGGACTGGGGATGTCGGACGGTTGCTGAGCTGGCTCTGATGGCTTTTTAGTGATGAGCCCGATTGCTGGGGCAGAGATTGGCTCGTGGGGAGCAACCTCTTCGAGGAGGCACAGGTCAGGTAGGGCAACTGCGGGGATGTCGTGAAGCATTTCCTGTCCCGCAATCATATCCTCCTGCTTGACCGTTAGGATGGCAAGCGGAGTCTCGTCAAGGTCTCCAGTCTCATCGGCAATCGCCTCAGGTGCCGCGGGCAAGGGTTCCTCGACTGGCTCCAAAGCCGGTGTCACTTCCTCACCATGGGCTTTCTCATCCTCGCCAGTGGCAGGCTCATCGTCGGGGAGTTCTCTCAGCTTCCTCTCAACTGCCTCGGCGGATCGAACGAGGTTATCAAGTGACTCAACTCTGAGACACCCCTTGGCATCGCGTGTAGCTAGATCTCCAGTCGAGTCATCTGTGTCTTCAGCGCCAGGAGTATCACCCAAGCTTCGATCCACCACCTCGGAAAGAGTATCTTGCTCATCAAGATTCGCATCTTGCGCAAACGAAACCTGACTAGTTGAAGGTTCCTCCTCCTTGATATCGCTATCGAAGTTTGGCTGCGTGGTGTTGATCTCTTGGTCGGATTGAGGTTCAGTGGCAGCCAGAATCTCAAGATCCGGCTTAGCGACACACTCAGCCGAGAGCGCTGGTTCAGCATGAATGTCTAGCTGTTCGGTAGGCATTTCTTCATGGGTTGACTGAATAGGAGCCACGATCGATCCCTGGGTCGCCTCCTCACCGGTAGAAACAACAGCAGGCACATGAACCTGAACACCAGCATCCTCAACGTCAGCATGCTCAACCCAGGTGTCGCAATTGACGACGACTGGCTCAACCGCGTGTTCAGCAGCAGGGATGTCAGGCTGCAACTCGCTATCCTCGAGGCCTTCGTCTTCAAGGTTGGCGTGCTCAATGTTGGGAAATTCGAGCCGGACTTCTTGGATGATTGGCTCGTGTGTAGAAATTTCCGCGACGACTCGCTGAACAACCGGAGCAGGGGTTTCGAGAACGACATCTCCGACATCAGTATGCTCAACCCACGTGTCGGAATTAGTAATGACGGGACCAGTGGTAGGTTCAACTGCAGGGACATCAGATTCCACATCAGCATCCTCGAGACCTTCATCTTCGAGATTGGCGAGCTCAATGCCGGGATGCTCAAGCTGAACATTCTCAATGTCACTCGGCTTACTGATAGAAGCATCATCAACCAGGGTAACAGTAAGCGGTTGAGTATCTTGCATCTCAGTGGTATCGGACTCCGCTTGCGCAACCGTAAATGGCTCCGACAAGAGCTCGAGGGGCGCAGGTGGCACCTCATCAACAGCAGTCTCCGCGACCTCCGCTTCAGCAGGAAGAACAACCGAAGGGGCAGTTTGTTCCTTGTCTGCGGGGAATTCATCCAGGAACGACTCAGGGACTTCAGTGCTGGGGTTGAGGGACTCCTCTGTTGACTCGGTCGCACTAGTAGGGATATGCTCTTGCTGGGACCCTTCTGGTTGAGACCCCTGTTGCTCGAGAATCTCCTCTGCACGTTCATCTTGCTTAATATCAAGTTCCTCGAGCAAGGCTTCATTCTTTTTGACCTCAGCATCAATATCTTCCATGCTTGCCTGATTTTGCTCAATTTCCTTCTCTGTTTCGAACTGCTCGAGGAGCTCTTCGACCCTTTCCGTTTGCTCAGCGTCAACCTTCTCAAGGAGCTCTTCAGTGCTTTCGATTTCGTTTTCAAGTTGCTCAAGCGTCTTCTCATTTTCCTCGAGTGAGTGCTGGATCTCGAGGTTTTGGGCGATCTCAATGGTCCGCTCGGTTTGCTCAGTGTCAAGTTCCTTGAGAAGCTCTTCGGTTTGTTCAGCCTCGGCCTCGATTTTCTCAAGGGCATTGTCGGTTTCTTCAAGAGCTTGCTCAGTGATGACTTCCTCGAGCAGCTCCTTGACGCGCTCGGCCTGCTCAGTATTCGTCTGCTCAAGAAGCACCTCTGTTTGTTCAGCCTCGGCCTTAATTTGCTCAAGAATAGTCTCGGCTTCTTCGAGGGCATGCTCATCGATGACATGTTCGAGCAACTCATTGGCGCGCGTGGTTTGTTCGGTCTCCAGCTGCTCATAAAGGTCTTCCGTCTGTCCAGCCTCGGCACCAAGTTGCTCAAGAACTTGTTCGCTCAGATCGGTTGCTTGTTCGACGACTTCATCATTTAGACCCGCTCTCTCTTCACTTTCAAGTTGATCAAGACCACCCATGGTACGCTTAACGGCGTAGTCATGATCAATCTTCTCGTTCGGTTCTTGTACTCTTGCAGGGACAGAGATTGGAGAGATTGTCATGACTGCGTTAGGCCGGAATTGGGGCATGGTGGGATCGCGGTACGGGAGAAAGACATTGGCCCGGAACTGAGGCATCGTTGGGTCACGATAGTCGACCTGGCTGATCTTCGGAACTTCCGGAAATTTGAGCGCCGCTTCGTGCGCAGTCCCTTGCAGACCGTTCTCTTCTTTCGGCTCAAAGAGTGCATCATACTGATCCTGGTATAGCTCCTCCTCTTGGGTGGCTGGGATGTCCTCTGAAGTGGGCTTAAAAGATGGCTCAGACACCGACTCAGAATCAACCTCGGGCAGCTCAGGGTCACCGGCTTCAACCTTGCCTTCCTCCGTAACGGATTTGGGGTCGACCGGGTCAAAAAGAGAGTCATACTGGTCTTGAGAGAGCTCCTCTTGCTCCAGGATTTCTTCCGATTGCTCAGTGGTTGGCCGAGGTCCAGGTTGGGAATTCACGTTAGCAGGCTCACTGGGCCCAGCTTCGGCCTCTTCATTTCCAGTAACGGAGTGATTGTCAACCACAGATTCAGCGGGAAGGGCAGCATCCGGCTGGATCTGTTCAGGAGCTTCTACCTCCACGAGCTTTGCCTCTCGAACTCGTTCAGTACCAGGAGCTTCAACTTCGACGTGCTCAGGCTGAGCAGACTCATCGAGCTGCTCGGGAGACGCTGTATCCTCTGCGTGGAATTGTGTAGTTCCATCTTCGCCCTTCTCAGTCTCAACAGGGCCAACGTTGGTCACCTCAACGTTCTTTTGCGTCGTTGGCTCGGCATCAACTCGGTTGAGGTGAGGTAACTCCGGACGGTCCCGGTTTGGCTTGAATTGAGGCATTGTTGGGTCACGGTCCTCGGTGCTTTGATCACCTTGAGAGGAGATTTCCTCGTTATCATCTTCAGCGGGCACGCCAGATTGCTCTCCTTGCTCGAGTGATTCTCCAGAGATGGAGGGAATGGGCATGCTTTCAGACGTTGAGTTCGGTCTGAATTGAGGCATCGTAAGATCACGATAATCAGAATCGAAATCACCGGGCTTGAGAGCCTCGCCCGGGACCTCATCGATGAGTAAAGCCGGTGGCTCCTTATGCCCATTTGTCTCACGCAGCACAACAGAAACCGATGTGGGCCGAACAACACCAAGCGAGTTAGGTCGGAATTGAGGCATTGTAGGATCGCGATAATTAATATCGGTCTCGGCAGGCTGGAAAATCTTGACAGGGCTCTCATCAACCAGCGATTCTGGCTGCTCTTTTTGTCCGTTGGCCTCAGCCATCAAGATAGAGACCGAGGGCCTCCAAACACTGCCAAATGAGTTGGGCCGGTATTGAGGCATTGTAGGATCGCGATAATCAACATCATCCTCACTAGGCTTGGAAGTCTCGAACGGGGTCTCGTCGACGACTGAGGCTGGTGGCTCCTTGTATCCATCCGCCTCCGCCATCACCACGGAGACCGAGGGTCGCAGAACAAAGCTACAGGAATTGGGCCGGAACTGAGGCATTGTGGGATCGCGGTACTCAGCAGCGCCCTCGCCAGGATGAGAAACCTCCTCCCTGGATGCATCGACGGTTTGTGGAGAGGCATTGTTATCCTCAGTTACTTCTTCATGAGAGACGAAAGGGGTGAGCGCCGGTTTCGAAAGTTCATGAGGCCGGAATTGGGGCATAGTGGGATCGCGGTAATCGGCCTTTTCTTCTACACCACTGCTGACTGATTTGGTAGATTCGAAAGCCTCAAAGCCATCCTCTGCAGGCTCGCCAAAAGCATAAGAACAATCGGCAATCTCGGGGACGTCGTTGGAGCGGAACTGCAGCAGAGTTGGGTCACGATACTCAGCTGTCTCTACGCCGAGAGCTGCAACATCCTTGGGGGACATAGAATCAGGATAAGGTGTTTCAGGGTCATTGTCGAGGGCCTCCAGAGGAGCGAACGGAATGAAGATCGAGGAGGAATTGGGCCAGAATTGGGGGAAAGTAGGATCACGATCCTCTGTGCCCCTCTCATCGAGGTGAGGCTTCTCCTCAACGTCAACATCCCAATTATCATAGACATCCTCAGAAGCATGGCCACACTCAACAACGTCTGAGGTGCTGGCGAACGGCTGTCCGCGCTCCTCGATATTGCTGGTATCTTGAGCAGTCACGTCCGGCCCAGTGGCGCTGACCTCAAGCTTTTCGTCTTCTTGGGGATCCGGGGCTTCAAGAGCGGTCTCAGAGGTAGGCCCGACATCCTCGACGTGCTGGACGTGCTGGACGTGCTGGACATCATCGACAGCTTGGGCAGCATCGATATCTTCCGCTGTTTCGACCGTACCGAAAGACAGTTCGTAGTCTTCCTCAGCATCAGGAGCTTCCTCTACAACAGTCACAGACATTGGTTCGTCAGCCCTGTTGACCGGAGGTAGGGCCACCTCCGGCTGCTGAGCTTGTTGAGCATCGGGAGCCTCCTCAAAGGGAACATAATCCTCAAGGGGAACAGCGTCCTCAAGGGGAACATAATCCTCAAGGGGAACAGCGTCCTCAAGAGGAAGATCGGCTTCGGAGGCGACGTGGGCATGATCACTCTTCTTGATATCGCAAAACTCCGGCGCTACTTCAGGAGCCTCGCACAGATCAAGACCCTCAGACTTAAAGTCCACTAGTTCAGAAGGTTGAAGGAGATCGATGTCAACCGGGGAGTGAGGCCGATCCTCTTCCTCAAACTCCACATCGGCTTTTTCGAGGCTGCTCGGTACTCCATCGGGGATCTCGGATGTGTCATTCTCGAAGTGAACATCTTCCTTGGACTCGACGGACACTGATTCGGGACCGAGAATATTCTTTACATCCCTTGATTCAACGCCCGACGGCTCCCGAGGTTCAAAACAGGGGATCTCTGCGTGCGCCACCAGTGCACTCCCGTCAATGTACTGACTGTTGGACTCGAGAGGCTCTGAGGCGGGGCCGACGGCACTTGTCGTCCATGGGAAGAAGACGTGATGACCCTTGGTACTCGCGCCGGCATCCTTTTCGACATTGGAGATATGAAGTGATGCCAGAGTATTGATCATGTCTTCTTCCTCTTGATCCTCGACAAGGGTTTCGGACCCCGCAGGCGAGATACTGTCACCCTCTGCTAGTTCGGAGGACTCCTTGCCATGTTCGGAGGTAGACTCCTCGCTCGATGTGTCCGGTTGAACCACATCTTCTCTGGTTTCCAGGGGAGCAATGATAGGATCCGCAACCGAGGGCTCGGAGACGTCAATTGGAAAATCCACGGACCCATTCTGCTTGAGATCCTCCGTTTGGGGTTCGATGTTATCCTCCCCTGGTTCGGGTGCGTCCACTTCAGGGCTGAACTGTGCTTGCTCGGGTTCCTGAGCAATAAGCTCGGCGATAGGACTTATTTCGTCCGTTGAAGGTGCGCGAACATCCTCATCTTCAGGAATATTATCATTACGATCTTGGGTGAATTCATCTGTTGAAGAGGGCTCATCACGGGTTTCGCTTGCGTCGGCTTCAGCCTCGTAATTAACCAGGTCAGCAGTCTGTTCTTCGGGACCGGATTGAAGCTCGTTCACAGCCGATTGAACATCATGGGCAACCTCCTCGGTAGAAGGCGGCACATCCTCCACGTCGGATACATGTGCGTCGAATTCCTGGTCATGTTGATGCTCGGTTTTGCCCTCCTCGGGCCCGGACTGGATTATCGGTGGTTCCGCAACTAGGCCGGTCAGATCATCGGCAGGCTTATCAATTTGAGAGACGGGTACGTCGGTTGCTTTAGCCGAATTAGTATCGGAGTCGATGACATCCGCGGTCGGTTTGCTTTCGGCACGAGACTCGGAATTATTGAAGTAGTCGGTCTCAGTTGCAACCACCTTCTCTCCGACCTGAACAACGGGAACATTCTGCACCTCGGTCCCATTATCTGGAGCCGACTTTGTCTCCGAATTTGCGTCGCGGGCATCCACAGAGACCGTTGTCTCATGATTGGACTGCTGAGGGCGGATATCAGGGCTGGGGAAGTCCGACTCTTCAGGTGCAGTCTCATTGGACAGGGGTGCAGGTTCGGTTCCGAGTTCTTGATTCTCAGAAGCCAATGTCTCGCTCGATACAATAGGCTCCGGTGCTGTTTCTGGGTGCAAGAGTTAGATTATTGTGCGATACGGACAAGATCATAGTGGTAGTGGTGGTGGTGGCTCACTGTGCAGATCCAACGGCGTCGCCGTGGTATCTTCTTCCAAGATAACCGTCGCGCTAGCATCTTGAGACTCTGGCTTTACACCCTCTTCATCGGACCCTTCGGCTACTGGTTTAGGTTCTGTAGTGTATTCCTGCGGTGCAAATACAATAGATCGCACTTCGTCTTCCGGAAGCTCCAAGACATCCGTCTCCGCCACGACCAAAGCGTCCGCCGCAGCCGCCCCCGTCCCGACCTCGGGCTCCTCGGGCTCGGACTCGGGTTCAAAGTCGCTCGAAGTATTATCCTTCAACTCTGGATGCCTCACATGTACTGGGCTTATTAGCAAGCTGTGCCTCGGCGAAGACTCTCCACCTAAGCTCAATGCGGGTGTAGACGGTGCCGTAGAGTATGCATCGGCTCCGGGGCTCGCCAACCAATGGAAAGAATTAGGGGTATCGGCGTTTCGTGTCGTGAGCCCCGGAGTGAGCAGTTGGTGCGGAAACTCTTTGGCATCCTCATAAAGCTGCGGAGTGTCCATTACAGGTCGTTCCAAACGATCAACAGACCACCGCGGTTCTGTCGGTTGTGGATATGTCTCGAAAGTTTTGGATGCAAATCCGTGCCTGTTTGCCAGATTTGGGGTTGCTGTTTGGAAGGGTCGAGGATATTCAACAGATCCTCTTGCGGCAGGAGTGAGGTCATAGCTACCTAAGGGATTCGACGTCATCGAGCGCGTAGGGCGATGCAGCGTCTGACCGCCGCTTCCTTCTTTGGTGGTGTGAGCGCGCATTAACTTTGGCTCTGCAGGTGCTGCGGAAGCTGCACTAGCACTTTTGGAGGAGGATGACCTGAAAAACCGTCGCTTCGAACTCGACTCGCTTTTGGTATCGTTCTTCGAATCGCTCTTCGAGTCACTTTTGGATTCTTTCGATTTGAATATGTTGGAAATCTTCTTGCCGAGGCTGAACCTTTTCTTTGACGACTTTGTTGATGTTGCCGGAATGGGAGATACCGGTCTCGCTGGCACTTCGGGATAATGTGGGATATCAACAGAGTAGGCGTCGTCATGGCTGTTCAAACTGGACCTGCTGCTAGCAATAGACCGTAGGCTCTGCCTCAGTGATGATGTGGAGCGCCGTTTGAGAGAGAATGCTCGCTTGACGAAGGATAATGGGTTGTCGTTTACTCGCTCGGTCGAAGTCTTTGCCGATAAAGGAGGGAATTCAAGTGATGGCCCGTTTTGTCTATCAGGCCACTCAACCGAGAGACCTGGTGAAAGCGGAACCTCGATCGGATGAGGGTGCCGCTCCTCCTCTTCCAGCGCAATGTCGTCGATTGAGCAGGTGTCCTTGAAAATCATATCTATATCTTTCTGTATTCGTTCCGTGAGTCTGGATATGAGAACAGATCGTTCCTCCTCGGGTGATTGGAAAGTCTTTGACCGTCCGGGTATCTCATGTGTTTGTATCACCTCTTGGAACACTAAATGTCCCCGTTTCCGTGCATTGACCCGTACAGCCGTGTTGTGCCCCTGTAGCACATCACCGATGCCGGTTTGGATACGTTCCAAAACCGCCTGGATATCTCGTCGCCTATGCGATGCAGAAGCGCCCACTGTGAACGTCGCTGGTTCCTGGACTGACCATTTCACCCCTTTCAACTCGACTATGGTAAACTCGAAATCGTTCGTTTGGTTGATCTGGGTATCGATAGCCTGTGTGACATCTGCGAGGGACTCCTCAACATCTCGTACAAAATCTTCGCCGTGGGAATCGTGAAATAATGAGAGACTGCTTCGTATGCTGCGCTGTAGGTTGCTGTGAGAAGGCCCCATCCCGTTTGTTATCCTCACGTCGATGTTGAGAGCTGTGCTGTCGCGATGCTGGCATGTCATCGTCGTACATTGCTGCGCATGAACTTCAAGCTTCTGTTTCCTGAGACCTAAGCTGCGGTTAATGGCCTCCGCTCCATGGGCAAGTAGATCTCTGCCCATCTCAGCCGTGAGAGGTGTTGCCTGTTTGCTGTAAACCTTGACTACCCTCTTGAATGCTGGAATGAGTCGTCGTGGGTTCCTGTGGCGGAAGGCGACCTCAATACTGGTAACCGGGGACGGACTCGAAGGTCTGGGACTCCTCGACAAACCGGGGTGAGGGAACAGCACCCAGTGACATCTGTCCAACCTCTGACTCTAGAGAAGATTCGGCGGTTTCGGTAGTCGCATCGAGAACAGAGCCTCCCAGCCATCGGAAATCACTGTCATGTCGTCGGAAAAACATGCCTATCGTCTTGTGACTTGCGATAATGACCTCCTTGGCCGAGGCCGCTGTCAAAGGCCGTTGCTGATACGACCTGTACGTCCTGACGGCCCATTCGCCCATCCATCCAGCTCTAGTGACGCGATAGGTGAGTTCGAAGCGCAAGGGCTTGCGGTCGTGGGTCCCTTCCTTGATCACCTCGAGGGCTGTGGGGTCGGTCCGGGTGATGAGCTCCTCGGAGCAGTGCTCGATACGCCGAAGCAAGCCATTGCATATCCTCCCCGTAGGTTCAAAGTATGGCGAACTAACATATGTCTGGCTGTGAGTGACGGAGTGAAGGTCCTGGTCGTGGAACTGGATATGGACGTGGACAACGAGAGGGCCGGTGTTTGTGGCCTCTGCTAGCGTCGCTACAACGGGCTGTTCCTCTGTAATGGGCGATAGCAGGGCCCTCTCCAGTTCCATGGTCGAGTGAGGCGGGACAGTGTGTGTGTCGATATGGCGAGGCCGTTGGTGAGGGCCGGTAGGAGCAGGGGCGGGCGGTTCGACAACAGGAGGAGGATGTTGTTTTTGGGATCTCAGTGAAGCCCCGAGGCTCCGGCGCGACGAGTCCCACCATGCCATTCCCTCGGCAGCGTGGAACTGGAGATCCAGGATCTATCCTTGGTGGGTTCGGACGGGGTCGTGAAGAAATGTTCGCATGAAGCTAGCAGACTAGGGCGTCCTAGGCGTCCACCGGCGTCTAGGGCTGCCAAGCCGGGAATGGAGACAGTCGCCGACGAGCCCCGGACGGGCCTGGTGCTCTCGAATGGAGCTTCCCTCTTACTCAAAGGACGTTGACCTTGACCACACCTTGGTCATGGGCCAATGAGGGCAACGGCAATGCTACAATTAGACTAGGCGGGGTGGGGTTGGAAGGGTTTGGATTGCGGGAAAAGTGGAAAGTGGACAGGAAAATCGGGAAAATCCAGGGCCTTGTCTTGCGTGGAGGGATGGATGATGTGGATGGTTTCCGAGTCCTTGTGTCTTGTGGTTTTCGCCGCTGCTGTACTGTGTACCAGTTCATGGAGGTAAGTTGATGTCGATGACGGTTCCAGGAGTCAGTTGGAGTTGCTGGTTTGAGTGGTTGGTGATGTCATGTAAGGACAGGAGTCAGGAGTAAGTAAACAATGGAAGACGGGATGGCACCAGAGGGAAGAAAGGATGAAAGAGACAAGGCAAGATGGAAGATTCTTCCGGATGAAAGCCAGTGCGTTCCTGGCCCGTGGGATCACACGCTACTGGAGAGACGAAAGGCATGAATGGAAGTGCATGCGTGGGAGGCTTTGGGAATGCTTCCACCACCTCAACCACATGTGCTGCGGTCTTGAGGCAGTCTAACCTTGGTTGAAGTTGGATCTCCATTTTGGGTTTTGTTCTTTGATGCAGTGGGCAGTCTTGCAGGTTGCCGCACAATGTGGTCATTCGTTGCAGGCAGTCTCATTGCAGTTACTGTCGGCCGTGCATTGGCACCAGACACTCTAACAGCTGAGGAGAGAATCCAAAGAAACCAGAAATTGTCGCAGTCCTTTCCGATTGCCCGAAAATGGCAACACCATGCTTACTCGCAACTGCCATCTTGACAAAAGAGATGGAGGGGACTGGCGGGTTGGAACGGAAAGTGAAGGTTAGGTTTTCTCGCTTCTTTCTCTGGGCAGTGGCCTGACACGTTGTCGACTTCCTTTGACAGTGGTAGAACTGGTACGTACCCCTCGTGCCTTCCGCAGGCCGCAGGCCCCATGCCGCTACCGTTTGGTATTGGAAGGCACCCTTCGTTGTGTGCCCCTTCCCTATCGAGCCGTTGATGCCATGCCCACTGGAGCATCGCCTTATCTTGGACTTTTTTGGGGATTCAAGACTTTTCCCCCTCAGAGCTAACGCAGGCCCGCAGGTCGTTCCTGCGCTTTTTCGGCTATGATCCTCTTGTATTCCGGAGGGGCCTTCCATCCCAAGAACAGGCGGTGTCTGGCAGCGGAAAGAAAGTGCTCAACTTGAACGTCACAGCTGATGTCTTCCCCGAACTGAATGCCAAAAGGATGTGTGGTGAAGGACTTTGGATGAGTGTCAGAGACTTGGAAGGAGTTGGGCGTCACTGGGGTTTCACAGGCACCGAGAGCTGTCAGAAATGAAATCAAAGGAGATCTGGGAATCTGCGTCATCTCCCACGTTTCACGAGGCCATCATCAATGTTCCACAGGCGGATGTGCAATTCTTTTCTCTCTCAATCCTTCTCCGAGTTTCCTTCGGCATTATCTTCACAAGTCGCTTGAGGAGCCTCAACCTGCAGCGAGAGTGCCACGTCGGGTCCCAGGTGGGCAAGGTGGGGTTTCATCGTGTCGTCGCCCCTGGTACTAGCCGGTGGAGTCATGATAATCACTAGGATACGTACCTGGAGCTTTTGCAGGGCGTTGAGAGAAAGGTGGGAGCATCACATGGAGGAAGCGTTGGAATCGTCAATGCAAAAAACAACGACCGGCTTCGAATCTTGTGTTTGGCGTTCTCAACCAAACGGGTTTCTCTTGGGGGAGGCTCTTTCCCCAAAGTCCTGGTGTTGGAAAAAGGGGAAAGTGCCTCCATATATGAGACACCACCGGCACCACCACCACCAACCGCAAGCGCAGGTACAACTCGCGGGTTGGTGTCGACGATGACGTTCTGGAACGTCTTGTCACTGGTTCACAGCCAATGGCAGGCACAGCCGGCCTCATCCGGGACAGATTTCACTGGCCGAGCCTCCCAAGCCGCATGCCCTCGATGCCGGGGACAGCAAGTGAAAAAGACGCAAGTGGGCCCGGCCCGTCTGATAGGCCAAGTGCTACATACCGGGTCGTGGCCGACTCCGGATTTGCTCCTTCCAGCTTCCCCGCACCGCAGGAAGCTCGGCCCTGTTCGGGCTGCGCAACAAGTCGTCGCCAGCGAGTCTATGAAATTTGGGAAAGTCCAATGACACCATGAGTGACGCTTCACACTTCTTCCACTCCTCATTTCGACACCGACATTTCCTTCGCTGATCGTGCCCACGAAGCACAAACGGCACGATTTGTCCCCTGGAAGACGCCGGCGTGCATGTCAACATGCTTCACCACGCCCCGGGCATGTCGGCATGGCACCGATATGTACAGCGGCCATGGATGGATGCAAGACATGCTGCGGAAAGGCACACTTGACGGCATTCAAAACATTTGCCCATGTCTCGACCCCGGATTTCCGCTGTCGTGATTCTTGCCAAGTGAAAAGGGCTCCCCTTTGTGAAGAAGGGCACGGTTGGGATAAACGAGGGTTAGGTGAGAAGGTGTGTCTCGCAGTGTGATACAGACGGGACATCGGTAAGCACGCCTTGACCATCAACACCAAAATGATCACCATTTTCGATTTTCCGGAATCGATGAGCTGGCGCAAATCATATGGCGTCGTCTCCTACTGTCGCAGCTCCCCTGTGTGCTGGACTCTTACAAGTGTGCCTATATAAAGCCTTAGAGGTCCCTCCCCCTTCCCTGTGCCCTCCCACTGAAGCGGCCCCCAGCATCCAACCAAAGGGTGATCGCATATCCATTGGGAGACATCAAGTCAGACCCAAGTTTCATCGGCCCGTCTTCCAGTCTTTCGTGGTTCATCTACTGCCCTTCCATTTTCTCGGTACGACCAAGAGTCTCAAGACTTGACAAACAACATGGCATTTGTGTTACCCATCTACTGGTATAAGCCACCTTGATCCCACCCAGAATTGTACTACAGTATATCTGTCCAACCAACGAAGCGCCCTTTCACACATACGGCCTATGTAAAGCAGGCGGCCCGTCAGCCAGTCGCTGAATGATGTGGAGGGCGGCATCACCCGAGTACCTATCATGCCATCCGTTGACTGACGTTGGGCATATCGGGCATCTCTCGCCATATCTATTGTATTCCTTGGACTCCATCCGGCCGGCGGGTCAAGATATCGCTTCGCCGACTTGATGCTACGTACATACCCTTTCTCAATTAAGGCGACAATATGCCTCAGTTGATCCATCTGTCCGATTTGAAGTAACACTTCGCGGCCAGATATCAAGCTTTGAACTTGTGCTGTTGTGGGCGTTGAAAGTTTTCGAGTCGCTGGCCGTTTGATATGGCTTCTTGGGCGTTGAGCGGGAACTCACAGCTCCCAGCAACCGGGAGCCAACCACTCATCATTCGTTTGTTTCCCACGTAGTCCAGTCCAGCCGTTTGGTTTACACCCATCAAGAACGTTTCCTTATCATCAATGGTACAAATGGTTAGCAGGAGGGCCTTACACGCCGGTTTCGCCCCTCGTCTCTAAAAAGAAGGCCGCGATACTTCCTCCATCCTGAAATGGCCTCACTGGCAGCGAATCACTTGTTAACATATGAGACTCCAGCACACATGTTCGCCTTGTTCGCCTCGTCCTGGGCATTATTGGAGTCCAAGACTGAGGGGAAGAGGCTTTTGAGTGGCAGTTGTTGTCTTCTCGCACGTTGATTTGACGGAACGGCTGTAGGCTTCGTACATCAACCAAGATGCAACAAGACAGGAATGGTAAACACCAACGGACAGCAATGCATTTTGCAATGGCTGAGGATGACCTCTTGCATTTGCTTCTGAATGTGAGCAGAAATTTAAAAAGACTCCAACTTTCCAACCGCCACTATGTGAATTCCAAAGCATCTCGTCTGCTTCACAAATTCTTCTTTTGGTTGGTTTGACAACTTCAATCTTGGGAACAAGATCTCCCAAAGAGGTAAACACCATACCTCTAATAGTACTCAACAGTCAGTTTATTCTTGACTTGTTGATGGCTAGACAACGTTGTGTCTGCCAAAACCTTCTTCCTTCATTCCATCCGTCCATTCACCACCGGAGACCGTCCAGCCAACCCCCCTCCTAATCAAGATCCACCAAAACAAAAAAAGAAGAACCATGGCCAAGAAGAACAAGAACGGTGGTGGTCCGCCCAGAATTGTCGGCGACTTTTCTCGCTACTTCGGCGAGGACACGCTCGAAAACTGGCAACGTCTCTGCCGAGACATTGGCATCAACAAGGACCTTCCCAACATTAAAACATGTAAAAAGGTGCGCTTTCTTTTTCCCCGACTTTCCTTGCTGATAATCCCATTTTTGATCTTCAAAGACCCAACTCCATCTTATATAATAGTCATCTATCCCTCTCCCCTTTTAACCTAACCAATTTTGCTAACTCTCGTTCCCGCGCGTTCCTAATTTTCTTCTTTTAGATTCTTAGAGGGGTCCACGTCAACATCTTCGACCTCCTAGAAGCTGTCCAGAAGGGAACACAACCTAAGCGATTCAGGAACGCCGACCAGCTGGCCGAGTACTCAGTTGCCAACCGCAAGATCTATCCGAGAAGGTATGTGAAGAAGGAGAGTGCGGGACCGGTTAGGGTTTTGTTGAGGTTGTTCTTCTAGATAGACAGAGGGACAGGACAGGACATGGCAGGGCACGGCAGGACAGGACACTTTTTGGTTTCTGAAAGCATGTGGGGGACCTGTGAAGGAGCAATATGGTGGGAATGAGATGGGCTGAAGACTATGGGATGGAATCTGCTCGACACGTCCCATGGGATGAGGAAAGGGCATGTGGGTGGTCAATGACAAGAGAAGAAGACTCTGGCAGAAGTCTTTAGTAATCTGCCCAGGCTTTCTTAGTCGGTTTTTGTATGAACTCAGCGTTTGGATACTCAACTTGAATGCTTCCCACAAGTAACGACATACTCTCCTACTGTGTCGCCAGTTAAAGGAGTTTCTTCAATTCCCTTCCTTTTTCCTCTCTGATCATCTACTGTTCGCTTCTTCCATAAGAACAGCATTCGTTATGGTTGTCGCAATCGAGTGTTGAAGCCAGCGGCTACCAGCTTCTTCTCCATCCGTCTATCGTTTGTCACAACTCTTGTCAGTCCCTCAGTCCTTCAATCCGTCAACCCCGTTCCCGTTGTTTCTTGCAGTTCTTACAACGGACATAAATACTTATAATCCACCGCCAACGGAAATACCATACTTAAAAGGCGGACTACCCGTTCTCTAAGTTTGTGAACAAAAAGTAGATCAATGAAGACTGAGATTTAGCCACATATCACGGGCACTCAATATCGCTTTCAACGGCCTCCATACATATCATCAAGGACACTCGTCCTCCGCTTCCATCTTCACAACCATGAAGTGCAAAGCCTTCTCCCCTCACCCAACGCCTTGGCAGGTTATGATAACATTCGCACCCGACCCGGAAGACACTTACGTTCAACACTGCCATGGACATGAATCAACTCAGCCTCAGCAAGTCCAGCAAGCCCAGCCAGTTTAACATATCGGTCCCAGTCTTCGTGCCGCCACCTCAAGTATACGCGCCACCCGAGCAGCAGCAAGGACCGATCGGCCTCTGTGTCGCCTGTAACCAGTTCCAGAATCTAGCCACCATCCATAATCCCCCCTTCTTCGAGGAGCCACCGTTATCAGAACTTATCATCGGTAAAAGGAAGAACAGACCCGCTCCTCCGCAAAGACACGATGTCGTTATGCGATGGAAGAACTACTTTGGTGCCGGCCACTTGGACGATTGGCAGCGTCTATGTTCGGATCTGGGGTTGACTGGTGACTTACCTAGCAAAAATAAATGTCGTCAGGTATGTGTGCAATGTCCAATCTTAATCCCCGCTCTCGTCCTATGTCATGCTTGCGCTTGTACTGGGTGTTGGGCTTGGGTCCTTCGTTTTTAGCGTCTATAAACCATCAAGGACGAGAAAAACACTTGTGATTCTGGAACGGAGGAGTAGTTGGGGGAACTCAAGAGACAGTAAACGTGAAAGAGGGGCGACACCATGAGCAGGCATACTAACAAGCTCGTATTTCGACCAGGCTCTAAGAAGCATCAACGTCAACATCTGGGACTTCCTCCATGCCGTCGACGTGGGAGGCATCCCGCAGATATTCCTCACCAAGAAAGAGCTTGTCTAGTACACTTGGGATACGGGACGGACATTCCCGAGAGACGAAGCGAAGGATATGGGGCCCGTGGCAGCTCTGTTGAAGTCATTGCGTTAAAGGTCATGGGTTGTGATGCTTGAGTGGCCGAGATAGGTGAACGGATGGAAGCTGGAGGGGTCTTGCTCTATGGCGTATCACATGGGTCGTGTGACATCTATGAGCTCGAATGAAAGAGAAACGGATGCAGCTCCGAGAAATGGTCCGGTTTGGGACGGCTCGAGTGCTGTGACTTGAATCGGTGGTTGTTGATGTGTTAGCTCCTTAGTGAAAAGAACCTTGATGGTAACCGGTGAGAGTCTGAGTCTTCGCGGAAGAATTCCGTATGGTCTTCCGCGTACGACTAGGAACGCCTCATCTATTGTGTGAGGTCTCGGCCTCGAGCCACCCTTTTACGCCCAGAGGCAGTGCTGTAGCCGAAGGTGACTGAATACCATGAATGAAACAAGTCCGACGAAATGATGCTAGTGGCATACTCTATCACAGGAGGTAAGCTTTTGTTTTTACTCATGCTAGTAAGGTAGGGTAAAGAGGAGAGATTGGAACATACTCATATTGGTCAAGAATGCCCCTTAACCTTCAACCTAGGTACTTGCCATTAGGCAACCTCTCCGGCCCTTCATCCGCAGCCACTCGTCCACAATCTGTGACGCGTAATCACCAGGTTGGCCTGAGACAAATCAGTACTACCAACAAAAGCAAAGCAACCCAGAAAGCAGTGTGAAAGTCAAAATGAACCTCACCAACTCTCTCCACGGTCACACACACACTCACATTCACACGTCCCTCACATTCACGGCCCTAGCCGCCCTCATCACATCCTCCCCCACTCATCACATCCCACACCATCCCGAAATCGACATCCACTTTCCCAGTCTCGATTTCCAACAATCCCATCCCGATGATGATGAGTAATCTTTAAACAACAGCCTGATGATCCTCGGAAACCACTTCCCCTGTGCTGTGTCTCAGACCCAATCCACTTGCTGCCCAACGCTCCCGATTTATCTCAACGTCCGTCGATTGCACAAGGACCTCGCTCGGTAGGGTGGCCCTTCTCTAGCGTCAACAGACCCAACTCGTCCGATTATGACGAGAGACCTCGCTTTCCTCTTCCTAATTCATGTAATATTAGACGAAAGAACAGCGTGCTCGCTCAAACCCAACCCATTTGCCGAACGGACCATAGTGTTGCCGGAAATTCATCTATGTATGTACGTCGGTCGGTCAATCGGTCGGTCCAAGATAGGTTTTCTCCCGCACCTAACCTCACATCCTTGCTTAATCCGAGGTCTAGGCGGCTCCATGAGGTTGTGATGCGGTGATGCGATTTGCTAGTGCGGAACACAGACAACACCCTTGACCCCGTATGCTGTGCAGCACCCATCTCCCGATTCATACGGTGCGGGTTGAGATGTGGTTGTATCCCGCCGGACGGGGCTATGGTAGCTGGCTGCTTTCTAGCCACACCCCTCGAGTCAGCGGGCTTGTGTCCATAGAAGTTGCCTCTGGGGCCAGAGCTCAGAAATTGGAGTGGCATCCTCCCATGTTATGGAACAACCGCCATTATCAATCGATATATATAGACACCCGGACCGAGAGAAAGAGGGGAGCTTTCGGCAGTCTGAGACCGAATAGACCGCGTATATCCGTTCCGGCTCGCCTGACAGATGAAGATCACGGCCCGTTGATGCAGATATTCTTCTCCTTTCTCACAGTGTCTGCCAGGGGCGAAAAACGAGCGAGTATTTGGCGAGCTATCTTCTTCCAGTCCTTGTGGCACTCGGTCGGGGCCGATTCGGCAGCGCACTGCACCCGGCTTCCTGGTAATCGGTGTCAGAATCACCAGTCCCTCATCTCCATGATTAGATCCAGGGGCTTTTCTAGTTTATGGGTGATGTCCCCACAGTCAACGCCATAACCACGATGACGATCTTCCCGAATTTCCCCCTTCCTGTTCAGGTCATACATCCGTCAGCTCTTACAAACGGTCTGGTCACATGCAATTAGAGTTAGAATTGCGTCCATGATCCTGGAAACCAAAACGGGTAAACAGCTTTACGGCCCGGAGCGTAAAGAAGATATGACATCGATGTTCTGTCTCGTACCAGAGAACTGGGTTCGTTCGTGCATGCGATCGGGGGACTGTGCGAATTTGTCAAGGTCGGGAGATTGGCCCGTGATCCTTCATGGATGAATTACCGGTCGATTGGTAGATGACGATGGGCGTAGAGGGTGAGTGAATCGGATGTTTCGACCGGGCTGAGAGGTCAACACGGTTGGGAGATCAGTTGCGTAGGTACCTCACTCGGACCATTGATGCCCCGTGAAGGATACGGAATCCAATATGGATGGATCTCGGCTAGTATCGACTCTTTGCTTTTCCCATCAGGATTCCTCCATCCGCCCATGCTACTTCCAAATGTCGGTATCGGGGTTTGTAGGTCCTTTCTGGAGTCGCCAAGTCCCTGGGTTTCTCCATGATTTTGAGCGACACTGTTTTTCGAAGTTTAGAACTCGATTTCGTATTCGTATCCGCCAACAGAAATGTATCATAGCATCTGACTGAACGGAAGAAGAAAGCCTCCAGGTTGAACACGGACAACCTTGAGACCTTGATGCAACAACGTTGTTGACACTGTCTAACTTCGACCAAGGGCCCGTTCCAATTTTCGTCCATGGAATCCGTTTCCTATACAAAATCGACCCCTACTGTTGATATGTAGTTGATCACACCGCATACTGTATGAAGGCACTTAGGCTCTTAAGAAGTACTATCTCTACTGGGGGGCCCTGTCCAATCCCTATAGCACCTTTGTAATCGACTTATTGCTTGCATATATCTTGTTTGTATTTTTAAAAAGATAATGTAAAGCGTTAATAAGAGCTATTAATTGTAATATTTACGGAAAAGCTGTATTTTTACTATTGATTGGGCATAATAAGGATTCTATTGTAGTATATTAGTAATATTAAATATGACAGGCTGGGGTGCATATGCTCAGACGGCTAAACCTACAAAAGATAGGACGATGTTCTGCTTGCAAGGCAGAACTTAGAATGCACACTATATAGCCAATGTCAACCTGTGACATTAAAGGTATTAAAAGTGCTAGTAGTCGCTCTCTCTCTTTTATATAACTTTATTTACTCTCTTTATTATTATTTTGTTTGCTGCAATACCCTAACTGGCCTATAATAATAGCACCAGTATAGAGATGCTACAGTGAACAATGCACTTGTAGCAGAATGGAGCGGAAGCGGTAAGAAGTACGACAGCAGTGCTGAAGGAAGCAGCGTAGTTGCAAAGACAATGAGGGGATGTTATAAAAGAGGTCTTGGAGAGAACTCTGCTCTCAAGACAGAAGAGTACAATGGACTCTACACTATGAGAAACAACTATTATAGTGAACTCTGCACTATAAGAGTAGACTGTATTGTATTGCTTAGATTGTGCTTGCTTGCTTGCTTAAGGAGTGACTAACTAAAGAAGAGAAGAGGTCTTTATATACACGAACGTTAAGTATCTAGAAGCTTCCAGAGTGTAGAAGCTTCTGTAAGTTAATAGGAGTGCTTGTAGGAGCACTATACTATAAAAGAAATAAACTGAATCTATGAGTTTCTGATGCATTCTATGATGACAAATTAGTCTAGAAGGAGTGCTGAACAAGTTAGAGAATCCCAAAATACAGTGGCAAAACTTCTGTATTCTAGCACGTTCTGTGGGGGCTGAGTTGACTGATTCCGTAGAAGAAATGGTTCAATCAGCTTTCTATACTACAAGGTAGTACAAGGCAGTTACAAGGCACAATACTAGCCACACGTTAACATATTTAATATATATATCTTGTCTTATCACGCTAGAACTATTTATATAGTCTACCTAATGAGTAAGCGGTGCTGCTTCCTTTCTTAGTCTAAGAGAAAAAACTGTATTGTTGAATACTAGATAAAAACTCTCAGCTTCTTCATTTCCAACCGTAATCCTAAATCTGAACTTTCATCCCGTCTCACCATAGAAGCCCGGGGAGCCGTGGTTGCTTTGATATTTATCGTCCGTTCTTATCGTTATCTCCTTTTGTCTTAGTAAACTTCGTTACTTCTAATTAGCTAGTATACTGAGACCTCCTCCCCTCTTCTACTTTACGCTTCAGTTGCCTCAAGTATGCGCCGAGTGATTCTTTTTTCATCCTATCTTCAGAGTTCAGGGGTGGAGGAGAAGTAGTCTTACTCGTGGTACTAGATTTCTCCACCGATTGGCCGGTTAGCTGCCTATAAGACGTTGTGAGGCCGGGATCTTTTGAAAAGAGAGATAGCGATTGATCAATTGGATTTATGAAGGTTCTAATTTTGAGAACTCTTATTGGTTATCTTAGTATTACCACAACTAATGTTACTAAGCCAAAGGAAAAGATTTTCTACACGTGCCTAGTCACGTGTACCCATGGGTAAGCTAAGGACTAGAGTGAGCCCGTCATCATCTTTAACATCTCTTATAACTAGGAATGCGGAGGAAATTCCATCCAATTTTTTAAAAACTAGATAGAAGTAAGAGAAGCAGGATTTGACCTCACAACCTTTTAGATAACACTAAAGGTAAACTAAGTAAAGATCTTCCCAACTGAGCTATCTTCCTAGATTTATAAATTTCTTAATTAAATCTTTTTTTTTTTTCTTTGATTTTTCACTTTAGTTTTCCTTATAAAAGTAGTACTTTTGTTACTACGCTTTTTAATATTCTTCTCTTTCAACTACTATTATAATCACTCTTTTAGTTGAATAATATACTTATTTCTTACTTTATTTATAATAAATACTATAATACATTCGTAACAGTATTCAAAAAGAAGTAATTTGATTTATTTTACTACGGGTAATTTGTTAGTTAGGAATCAAATTTATATCATATTATTAATTTTGAATCAGTTAATTGATTTGTTAAAACTTATATTAGTTTCTTAGAAGAATTTACTTTCTAATTTATAATTCTCTTCATAAGTGTTCTACCAATTGTATAATTGTTTAATATTCTAACTAACCGTGAGCTGGCGAATAATAAATCCTTTCACTATTTCATTAAAAGCATACTTTAATTAACTAGCTATGTTATCATAATGTCACAGGTTGACATTGGCTATATAGTGTGCATTCCAAGTTCTGCCTTGCAAGCAGAACATCGTCCTATCTTTTGTAGGTTTGGCCGTCTGAGCATATACACGCTAGCCTGTTATACTACTATTATTACTTTTACTATACCAGTTGATATTTATATTATTTAGAATATTATCCGGGTATATAAATAGTAAAAGAGGAAATTTAAATAATATAAAAGAAGGAAGCGGTTCGCAGCGAGGCAATAGTACAAGTGCAATAGTATTAGATTAATTTATTCAGCTACTTCAACTTTTACTCTAATTAGTACCCCGATTTGCTTATATAGAAACAATTATATTGGAAGGACGAGGAAGAATAAATTAAGGAGGTAGTTAATTAATATAAGTGCATTTATTAATATAATACTTGTCACGGCGCTGGCGGACCACTATATCACTAGGCTATGTTCCAAAAGGATACAAGTAACCGAAGCTGGCAATTCGGTCGCTCAAGTGATCTTATATAGTTGTGATAGCAGTCAAAAGGCACAACTGCAAGGCTGCCATCACAAAGGTAATTAATAGCAGTAAAGCTAATGAAGGATTGAATACTAATAATAGCATATTAATTTAATTTGTTATATTAAAGAGCATCATATTGTAGTAAGTTAATATATTGCGGCGGTACTTTACCAAGGCTGATAGTATCAATAGTGAGGTCTTTTTACTTTATAGAGCGTATTTGTATATGAGGGTTATTGTAAATGAAATTATATAAGCCGAAAGTATTATTATTAATAAAGTTAGCAATATTAAAAGGGTTAGAAAATATGATATATAGGATAATAGGTTAATTAACAAAATAATAAGTAAAACAATAAATGAGAGTAATAGCAATAGAAGGTTTTAATTAATAATATTACTATATTAATATTTATATTTATACCTGATTCAATTTCATTTCTTTTTATTCGACTAAATATTCGAAATTTACCATTTATATTAATTTGCTATTATTGTCAAGGCACGTAAGTCTCGAGGGCAGTGCGCACGAATAAGTTAAAAAAATGTAATAAATAATTAACTATCAAGAGTAAAAGAGAAGAGGAGGAAGTGCGAGTCTGGCTGGCACAACTTGTAAGGGTTCTACGAGGTATACACACAGGTAGGCCTTGGTGAAAGTGATAATATTCGACAAAGAGGAAAAGGGAAGTCTGTGCCAGTATGGCATGGAGCTTACAGCTAAATACACAAGAGAGGTGCGTATATCGAAGGTGCTAGAAACGCCAAGGTCGAAAATGTGGTTCGTGCGGCATACCCCAGGAGTGCACCCAGTCAGAGGGCAGGCCTGGCTTTCATAGAGTTCAAGCCAGGCAAACACCCCTAGGCGCCAGCCCCATGACATTACCTCCTTTCTCCCCCCTTGAACGTGGCCAAAGAATATCCTCCAGGTCAGACGTCATCTCCAGAGTCCCCGTGTGCTCGAGCACTCCCTAACTCCTAGCTGCCTGGGTTTATGTGAGAGAACAACGATCAAGTAAACAACTGACGAAAGTATCCAAACAAATCTCCCCCAGGAAAGTCCTATTCGTCACCTCAACACCTTATCATCTCACGCGTGCGCTGGTGCCAGCCGCTAAGCTCAAACACCCCCAGACTACGCGGAGGCCTCCGCGCCGAGCCCTCGGCTCCGTAGCGTCCGGTTCCATCCATCCGTGAGGTCACTCCGCCCTGCTAACTCTAACCCATCCGTAATGGCGAGTCTCAGTGTGTGTTTGGTGGGACTTGCTCACAGTAAGCGTGCAAGCAGGGTGCACGCCCGACTACCTCTCCAGGTCACCGCCGGGCGCTCTCTAGCCCCGACGGCGGTATTACCAGGCCAATGTCCTTGTCTAATGCTCATCGTCGTCGTAAATCTCGCCGTCTTCCTCCAGGCCCCCATCCGACTCGGTCGCACGGATATACCGGATACGGGTTTGGCCCTGGTTGATTGGACACTCTTTTGACCAATGTGAGGGTGAGCCACAAGCTATGCAGGCACCCTTCTTCTTCCACCTCTTCCTCTGTGCATCAGACGGGCCACTGGAGCTTCCTGCGCGGCTAGAGCCACCAGTAGGCTGAATCCTAGCGACCGCGATCTCCATGGGTTCCCCTTTGTCTTGGACGGCGGCACTGGAGTGCCCCGTGCTCCCCCCAAGAAAGTTATTGCCGTCAAGACGCCGAAGGTAGGCACACAGCTCTGAGTAACTGTCTGGAGCATCTGGACGCTCGCGGAGGCGCCCGAGCCACTCATCGTTTAAAGAGCTCATTAACGAGTTGATAATGGCCTGATCTGGCCACGTGTTAGCTTTGGCTCGGTAAAGAACCTCTTCAAAACGGACGAGGAAGCTGGTGATGGGCTCTCGGGACTTCTGCTGCAGAGCAAAGAGCTCGAGTCCAGCCTTCTTATCCTGGTTGACCTCCCCGTAGTTAATACGGAGCTTCTCGAGAAGCCTCGCCGGGGTACGGTTGCCCGGGATCTGGGCGAAAGCGAACAAAGTCCGGCGGACGGCGGGCGAAAGGCTGGAGTAGAGGTAATAGAACTGAGCCTCCAGATCGCCAATAGCGTGACCGTCAACGTGTAACTTCGCCTCGGCAGTATAGATCCATGTATCGAGTTCCTTTTTGTCCCCCGTAAACTTGTCAAGATGGGGAAGGACTGGCTTCGGTTGACTGGAGCCGCCAGCGGTTGTCTGAAGACGACCAATTTCGCCGATAAGGGTCTGAATAGCGACGGCGAACTGTTGCTGGCGTTCGGAAGCGTTCTGGGACCATGGAATGGAGGCCATGACGAAAACAATTTGGCGGGTGTGACGGTCGAGAAAGAACGGGAGTACTCTTCGGGCAGCTGGGGAGGCGGCGAGTGTACCAGAGACCGCTAGGGGAGCTGGGGTTTTGAGAAGAGGGTCGAATATAATGTAAGGGTTCTACGAGGTA